CATGGCTGCTCTGCCATCATCAGGGGAGTTCACCTGAGAAGACAGAGTAGGCAAAAGATAAAAAGAACTGGGTCTTTCAAATTGTCACTGAGCCAATGAATTAACCAACTCTTGGTCAATCTGCATTCAGACTTCTTTTTTGTCTTGGACAGGGTCTCTCTATCACCCAGGCTGGAGAATAGTGGTGCTATCCACAGCTCACTGCAGCCTCAACCTCCTGGGTTAAAGCAATCTTCCCACCTCAGCCTCCTGAGTAGCTAGAAATGCAGGTGCGTGCCATCACACCCAGCTAATTTTTATTTTTTGTAGAGACAGGGGTTCACCACTTTGTCCAGGCTGGTCTTGAATTCCTGGGCTCAAGTAATTCTCCCGCCTTGGCCTCCCAATATGCTGGGAGTTCAGGTATGAGCCACTGTGCCCAGCCCAGGCTTCTCGTTGTATGAGATAACAAGCACCTTTTTTGTCGTAGCTGTTTGAGTCAGGGTTTTCTGTTACATGCAGTCAGAATCATCATACATGAGAAAATGAGTAACGAATGAATGACACCCCACTAGCATAAGGAAGCTAACTCCCTTAGAATCAACTTAAAGTCCTGCCTGGGAGACTTTTTAAACTCCTTGAGAAACTCAAGGCAACAAGACAATAAAACCTTAATTATCTGTAAGTTTCTTTAATATAATTTTCTGAATAATTGGCTTTATTCAGAAAATTACAAAGTGTAGCTGAAAGCTATTATTTATTTTTTTGAAATGGAGTCTCACTCTGTCATCCAGGCTAGAGTGCAATGGCAAGATCTCAGCTCACTGCAACCTCTGCCTCCCAGGTTCAAGCAATTCTCCTGTTTTAGCCTCCCAAGTAGCTGGGATTATAGGCGTATACCGCCATGCCCAGCTAATTTTTGTATTTTTAGTAGAGATGGGGTTTCACCATGTCGGCCAGGCCGGTCTCAAACTCCTGACCTCAAGTGGCCCGCCTGCCTGGGCCTCCCAAAGTGCCAGGATTACAGGTATGAGCCACTGAGCTGGCCTGTTAGGGCTTTATTATAAGAACAAAGGTAATATTCTTAAAGAAGTTCCAGGGTTAATACTCAGTCCAATCTCCTAAGTTTTAGCATGCATAAGAGTAACTTAGACACCTTCTTAAAAAGTAGATTCCTGGCCCCACCTCTGGAGATTTAGATTCAGTGGGATATGGTAGAGTCTAGGACTCTGCATTTTAGCAAGCATTCTGATGCAGCTGGTCTGCAAACCACACTTCAACAAACCCTACTCTAAAACTTCTACTTCATATCTATGGAATGGAACTACATGAATGGCTCCCATCTTCTGGATCTTTCCATCATTTGAATCTGCTCCCTTGATTATTGTGTGAAGTGTGGCCTGCAGACCAACTGCATCAGAATTCTCTATTCACCAGAATAAGACATTGATTAGATAAGTCATTTAAACTGAGTCTAAATGTCCCCATTTATTAAAAATAACACATAATAATAATTCCCTGCATTGCCACTCCTCAGATTGGTTGTAAAGATCAAATGATCTCAGTAGCTGCACTGTACAAATATAAGAAAATGCAATTTATCAGGACTCTGGTGTTTATTGTGCTCTTTAATTGAAGAAAAAAAAACTGTGTTCTTTAGACTCTGTTTATTAAGAAATAGAGACTTATATTGTGGAAAGATTGCTACATGGTCAAACTATAAAAGTGGTTTTGCTTAATCTCTAGTTAACCTAAAAGTTGTTGTCTAGACATCCTCTTCCTAAGCATTCTGTTTGCATGTTTCATCAACCGTGTAAGTAATGTATGAGTAGATTCCCTGACAAAGGGAGCTGCTTTGACTCCAGCAAAAATGAGTGGGTCTAAGGTTATATGTCATATGTTGTCCATTCATATAACCTAGAAAAAAACAAAACTATAGTGACAGAAAAGGGCAGTGCTTGCCAGGGGCTAGGAGGTGGGGGAGAGTATGACTGCAAAGGGGCAGCAGAGGCCATTTTTTGGGGTGGTGGAACTATTCTGTATCCTCATTGTGGTAGTAGTTACAGGAATCCTCATCATGCTAAAATTCATCAACTATACAAAGATTAAGCAGTTTTACTATATGTTAACTTTAAAAAATTAATTAATAGGCCCAACTCAAAGTGACTGTTTTCCTTACCTGGATAAAAGCAACATAAAGGATTAGAGTTGTGGAGAGAGAAAAGAAGAATCAGAAATATGAAGAGGGTAGGCAGGAAGACAGAATGAGAAATGTGCACACTGTTGTTCTGAGTACTTTTTCACTTTAGTTGTTATTGTTGAGATAGCCTATTGCTGAGGCTAGTATGCAGTGGTGTGATCATGGCTCACTGCAGCCTTGACCTCCCAGGCTCAAGTGGCCCTCCCATCTCAACCTCCTGAGTAGCTAAGACTGCAAGTGCATGCCACCATGCCCAGCTTTTTTTTTTTTTTTTTTTTTGAGATGGAGTTTCACTCTTGTTACCCAGGCTGGAGTACAATGGCGCAACCTCAGCTCACCACAACCTCTGCCTCCTGGGTTCAAGCAATTCTCCTGCCTCAGCCTCCTGAGTAGCTGGGACTACAGGCATGCGCCACCGTGCCCAGCTAATTTTTGTATTTTTAGTAGAGATGGGGTTTCACCTTGTTGACCAGGATGGTCTCGATCTCTCGACCTTGTGATCCACCCGCCTTGGCCTCCCAAAGTGCTGGCATTATAGGCATGAGCCACCGCGCCTGGCCTTTTTTTTCCCTCCTTTTTCTTGTTTGTTTGTTTTTTGTAGACACAGGGTCTTGCTATGTTGCCCAAGCCAGTCTTAAACTCCTGAGCTCAAGCAATTCTGCCCCTATTGGCCTCTCAAAGTGCTGAGATTACAGGCATGAACCACCACACTCAGCCCAAGTACTTTTTTTTTTTTTTTTGAGAGGGAGTTTCACTAGTTACCCAGGCTGGAGTGCAATGGTGCGATCTCGGCTTACTGCAACCTCCGCCTCCTCAGTTCAGGCAACTCTCCTGCCTCAACCTCCCAAGTACCTGGGATTACAGGCACGCGCCACCATGACCAGCTAATTTTTTGTATTTTTAGTAGAGACGGGGCTTCACCATGTTGGTCTCTATTTGTTGACCTCGTGATCCACCCCCTCGGCCTCCAAAGTGCTGGGATTACAGGCTTGAGCCACCGCGCCCGGCCCTGAGTACTTTTTTATTCCTTTCCTTTTGGGGGAGCTGTTTCCTAAAGATCAGTTTTATCTACTTTTTGGTACTTCCTCCTTCTATTCTGAAGTATAAAACTATTCTGATTAATCAGTAATTTCTACTGTTTCTCCTACACAACACGCAATACTTCAGTTAATGTTTAGGTTGAATTTCACTTTCCAGATTATCTCATACCCCCAAAATAATCAGAACGGTTAAGCTTCTAAAGCAAAGCCCTCTCTAACAGATTCAGACAGAACCTGGGAGAGGCATTTTCACATCAGCTTTCCTCTTCATACTTCACCATCCCCCTGTTGATCGGATCGTCTAGAGATGTAACACAAGACAAATCTGTAATTTAAATCTGTAATTTAAAAAGTAAATAAACCAGGTGAAATTAATTCTAACACTATATTTTATTTAACCCCATATCTCAAAATGTTATTTCAACATGTCATTAACATAAAAATTACTAATGAGCTATTTTGCGTTCTTTCTTTGTACTAAGTCTTTGAAATCCAGACTTAGTAAGTGTGTTTTACTCTTAAAGGGCATTTCAGTTTGGACTAGCCACATACCATTAGCTCATAGCTGTTGCATAAGACAGTACAGGTCCAGGCTATTTACTTTTGAAGTCCAGTACAAACAACCTCTCATTCTTCGCACTTTGATAACTTGAATATTCGAGCCTACAATCTTCATTCGGTCATTGGTCAACAGCCACTGGAGTGTTTACTGTTCACAAAGCACTGTGCTTTCAGAAGCTAGAAGGACAAAAGTGAACAAGACATTGTTTGCCCTAAGGCTCAGTCTGTGGGGGTGAGAGGCACATAAAGAGACAATTATAAAATAACATGAAAGAATGGTGACAGAGAAGCACACTATTTAATGAGAACCGGGATGGGGAGGGAAGTGCTATAAATCTTTTAGAGGTGGCCCTGAGCTGCCTTCAAAATGTGTGACGTGAACTCTGAGAAGGGGATGGAAAGGGCATTCAGAGGTACTAGCTTGACCAGCAGCACGTAAATGAGAAATGGTAAGGCTCAGGGAGCCTCCTAATGCATGTCAGCCGGGTGAGGTGGCTCATGCCTGTAATCCCAGCACTTTGTTTGGGAGGATCACGAGGTCAGGAAACCGAGACCATCCTAACTAACATGGTGAAACCCCGTCTCTACTAAAAACACACAAACACAAAATCAGCCGGGCGTGGTGGTTTGTGCCTGCAGTCCCAGCTACTCGTGAAGCTCAGGCAGGAGAATCGCTAAACCTGGGAGGCGGAGGTTGCAGTGAGCCGAGATCGCGCCACTGCACTCCAGCCTGGGCGACAGAGCAAGACTCCGACTCAAAAAAAAAAAGTGCATGTCAGGGCAGAGATGAATGGAGAGCAAACTGGATAGATATGCAAGGCCAGAGAAGAGCCTGGTATGCCATGTTTACTTTCTAAACTAAAACATCTTGAAAACTTCCTAAAATTCCAGATGAAATGCAAATGGCGCTGTATTTCAGCTTTTGCTGGTAACCGTGGCAGCTGAATGAGGGCAAGGCCATGTTTTGCTCACCACCCTACTCGAGTCACAGAGCGGGCCTGGAGGGTTTACTCGGGCTGAAATACTTGCCTTCATTCTTTCTCCTCCGGGCCTCCCATCTGCCTCAGTGAACTGGAAAAAGTGGAAAAAACTGGCCTCTGGAGTTCACAAAAAGGTCTTCACCTTTCTGAGCTGCTTCCAAGTGTTTACAATGAAGCTCACCACTCCCTACTGTCCAGGACTGTTGTGTAGTTCAAATGAATTCGTGGAAAGCGCCTCCCAAAATGAAAAGGTGGCCCTGCTTGCCTTGTGCACACCGAGTGTCAGGTTTCCACTCTCCGCCCCTGGGAACCGCCAGCTGGGCCACAGGGTAACTGATTTAGGGCCGGAGCGCCTACTAGCCCTCGGGCGGAAACCCAATGAAAACCGCTTAAGGCGCGTCTGGAGGAGGCGTCCCCTAAGGAAGAGTGGAGCGGACGGCCCCGCAGCCCCGAGGACCGGGAGCTCTGAGTCCCCACCGCCCGCGCCCGGAAACCCCGGCGCCGCAGAACGCAGCAGACCCCACCAGAACCCACCCGGGCACCCCCGCCTTGCGCGGCGGCGGGGAGAAAAGGGTGGAGCGACGCGACTCCCTCAGCCAATGAAAACCGCGGGTTCCTGGTCCGATCCCCAGCGCGGCTCGCCATTGGTCGCCTCGCGGGTCTCGGCCCACCGAACCTCGGCGACCTGAGCCAATCGCGAGGCGGCGGGCGATAACCGCTCCCCTGGCGGCGGGCGGCGGGCGCAGAGCGGGCCAAGCGCGGAGCTGGCTGCGGTGACTGGCGGCGTGAGCCTGCAGCCCTCCCGGCGCGGCGTCCCACCATGGAGCCCACAGTTTCGCTGGCCGTGTGCGCGCTGCTCTTCCTGCTGTGGGTGCGCGTGAAAGGACTGGAGTTCGTGCTCATCCACCAGCGCTGGGTGTTCGTATGCCTCTTCCTCTTGCCGCTGTCGCTCATCTTCGATATCTACTACTACGTGCGCGCCTGGGTGGTGTTCAAGCTCAACAGCGCGCCGCGCCTACACGAGGAGCGCGTGCGGGACATCCAGAAGCAGGTGAGCGGTGCCCGGCGCGGCCGGGGCGCAAAGCCGCCGGCTCCCGGGGGCGGCGTGCGCGGGGATAGCGGGACGCGAGGCGGCGACGGGAGCAGCGGTGCGAGCATTCCCGGGGGCTTTGGGGAGCTGGCGTTGGAAGGGGGTTGGAACCAGACAAAATTGTGATGGGGGCGGGGGAACAGAATAGCCAAAGTACCTACTGTGTGCAGGGTATATTAGGGTACGTGGAGGGAGATGAAGAAGGAGAAGAGGGGAGGCAACTCTGGGGCACTCTCACCCGGCCCAAGCATTTCCGAGGAGGAAGGGCTTCCGGGAGGTGGAGCTGAGTCTAGAGATTGGGAAGTTGGGGAAGTGACTGGGGGAAGGTGTTTGGGTGGAGGGACTGGTGTGAGCAAAGGTTGGGAAGCCGGCAAGTGCAGGACAGAAGCGGGAGAAGGTCGGACAGTCTTGTGCCAGGCTGGAGAGGGGCCTGACGCCAAGGCCGAGTTTGGAATTTATTTTGTAGCAGCAAGACGCTTTTGATTGGATTTAGGTTAGAAGACTAAAACAAGAAGGTAAACCCAGCCCAGAAGCCTCACTGCCTCTGGTGACGGAGGGCTCACTGTCTTGACAAAGGCAGTCTGTCCATCTCCCAATTCCTCAGCCACCCACGGAACCAGTGACCTGCTGTGGCTCACAGTGGAGTCTCCTCCGCATCCAGGGCTGGCATGGGCCTGGGGCCTGGGCGGTTTCTTGACTCCCTCTTCCCCTCTTGATGTTCCTCTCTTGCTGGCATCAGGTTGCAGAGAGCTTCTGTTAACTGCTGCCGCCCTCCCGTAGGTGTAGCAGCCTCCATATTCTGCTTGCGCTGCTTTGTGAAGAGCATGAAGATGGATGCGGAGAGATGTTCCCATGAGGCAGAAGACCTTGGCCCGATGGGGAACGCAGTGTCTGGAAGTGCTTTGCCCTATAGCTCTGGGTTTTGCTGGTCACAGTCATGGCTTCAGAGCCTCTGCCTGTCCTCCCTCCCCGCCTGCACCCTGCTTCCTAGCTCTTTTCTCGAGTTCAGATTCTCCATTTACCTGCTTGTCTCCCCCATCAGACTGTGAGTTCCTAGAATGCAGGGACTGTTATGTGACTCGCCTCTGGCCCACAGGGCCTGGCTCAAAACAGCCTATCGAGTGTTTATTAATCTCAGCTAAGCCACAATATTCACTGTGAGCAGGAAGACAAGGGCCCAGGTGGACTAGCCTCTACCCCCGACCTGCCATGTGCCATTGCCATCCTCACACCAACCCTGGTAGATCTTGTGCCTATTTTACAAACAGAGAAAATTGAGTTTCACAGTGTGAGTCATGTGCCCAGGAAGATGTAGTCAGTAAATGGGACTGGAACCCAGATTAGCTTGATTTCAGAGCCTGAATTCTGACATTTCTTCTTTTCCACTCTTTCCCTTCCCCTGCTAGGTCTGGTTCAGTTGCCTCACACCTGGCTTGTAACAGCTGTCCGACCCAGTTGCCCTTTTTTCCAGGCCCTCCCTTTGACCTCCAGCTCAAATGTGGCACCCCTAATCAATCCCTCCTATCTTTGCGCTTGTGTCAAACTCCGTGGCTGTAGATTCAGGCAGGGACAAGACCTGGTTGGTCAGGGAATCCTACCTCTCATCCCTTTCCCCCCAGATCACAGGATTCTCTTAATACCTGCTCCCTCCGGGCTCCGTGGCCTCTGATCAAAGGAAAGTCCTTCCCGGTGTTGCGCTGTTTGCTGGCCAGCTCCAGTGCAGCCTTCTCCAGGTGACCTGAGAGTATTTGACCAGATCTTTGGTTGCAAATGTAAGAAGCTCAATTCAAACTGACTTGAGCAAAAAGAGATTTTATTGGATCATGTCCTGGAAAGTCTGGGAGTATAACTGGATCAGGCATGGCTGGATCCAGGATCCTCTGCCTCCCATCTCCATGTGTCCATCCCTCTGCCATCTCTTGGCCCTACTCTTTCTCTTTTCTTCTTCTTGAGACAGTCTTGCTCTGTTGCCCAGGCTGGAGTGCAGTGGCATGATCTTGGCTCACTGCAACCTTCACCTTCCAGGTTCAAGCAGTTCTCTGCCTCAGCCTCCTGAATAGCTAGGGTTACAGGCACCTGCCACCATGCCTGGCTAATTTTTGTATTTTTAGTAGAGATGGGGTTTCACCCGCTTAGCCAGGCTGGTCTTGAACTGCTGACCTTCTGATCCACTCACCTTGGCCTCCCAAAGTGCTGGGATTACAGGCGTGAGCCACCGCGCCTGGCCTTGGCCTTGCTTTTCTAGGTCGACTTCATTCTCTGTAGCCTCTCTTCCTGCAGAGGCCCCAACAGTTTCTTGCTCATATCCAGCCAGCTTAGTGACCCCACTAAAGAGAGAGTGGCCATCCTGGAACTGGTCCCATTGTCTTGACTTGGGTCATAGGTCCATCCTTTAACATGTCTCTTTGGCCAGAAGGATAGAATCAGACCTCAGTCATGTGCCCATCTCCTGGGTTAGGGGAATAGAATCAGTCTCACTTGGACCAGAGGAAGATTGGGATTGTTAGAAGCAGATGAAGAGGAAGTGGATAGTCACAGGTCAAAACAACAAATATCTACCTCCATTGCATTAGTTTATCTCAGGAGAAAGGGAAACACTTCCTCCTGTGTTTCTGATGGGCTTATTATCTGTGGGCCATGTGTTCTGTGTTTTGTGGTCTGGTCAGTTACCTTAGAGGTTTTGTAAAACCTCTTCCTTCCATTAGCTTGGTGGTCCTTCCCTGCTCCTCCTCTCCAAAGTGATAAATGAGTTAACATATACAAATGTTTAAAGAGGCCTTGGCATGTGATAAGCTGCCATACCCATTAGCTGTTACCCTGTGGACTGTTACCACAACCCCATCTATCCTTCTTGTCCTGAAGTCAGACAAGCCCTGTCTATGAATCTGAGCTCTGCCATTTACCAATTGTGTGACTTTGGACAAGTTCTTTTGCTTTTGAGTTTCCTCATCTGCAGAAGGGTGTCGTCATCCTAACTTCCTGGGACTGTTGTAGGAATTAAACAAGACAGTGGGCAGTAGATGCCTAGTGTATTGGGAATACCCAGTAAATGATCATCATTTTTCTAATTGCTGTTATCACCATGACAACACCTTCTCTGAACTTCCCAGTTAGAATATATGTTTTCAGAATGCTTTGATCCTCTATTCTAGCTCTTTCTTCATTCTGCCTTGTGCTACAGCAGTATGTTGGCTTTTCTGTCAGCCTTTCTAGCCAAGGAGGTGCCAGAGGGTAGGGCCAGCAAGCCTTTTCATCATTCTGTTTCTCCTGTGCCTGATGGAGGTGTCATTCCCAGCTCCGCTGCTCTGGGGATCCCCAGTGGGGCCAGCTCAGTCTCTGTCCTGTGGTTGCAGGTGCGGGAATGGAAGGAGCAGGGCAGCAAGACCTTCATGTGCACAGGACGCCCTGGCTGGCTCACCGTCTCGCTGCGTGTCGGGAAGTACAAGAAGACACACAAAAACATCATGATCAACCTGATGGACATTCTGGAAGTCGACACCAAGAAACAGGTGAGAATAGCATTGTTCTGGGCTCTGGAGCAGGTAGGGGACTGCCCCTCGTGCAAGTGACTCATACGGAGATGATTTTAGCCAAGGGCATCCCAGAGTGGATAGGACCAATGCCCACAGTCATAGAAGATTCTACCTGCCATTGCTGTCCTCAGGCCTCACAGGCCTGGGGGAGAGATGGGTCATAACCCCATCTCAGAGGTGGACAAACCAAGAGCTCAGGGGACCCTTCAATTGTCTGTGTTTCCACAGGAAGTCAGGAATGGGGAACTCATGGGCAAAAATGAGAGACAAAAAAGGAACCTACTTACCCCTTCCTGATAAGGAAGTGTGCTGGTGAAAAATGGGCTACAGAAGTGACTGGGAGGCGTGGGTCTGGTTCCAACCTTCCTGGAGACCCTCCTGTTTAATAGCCTTCAAGATGTGCATACTTTTGGGCCCATCTAGTAATTTTACTTCTCGAAACCTGGCCTAAGGAAAAAGGAAATCGACTTCAATATAATTAAAGATACCCAACACACAGAGATTGTATCACAGCTTTATTTCTAATTGACAACAACACAATATCCAATGATAGGAGAGTCATTAAATATGCATATCTACTTGATATCATTTTCTTGTTTTTGTGGGACCTTGGCCAAGTTACTTAAACTCTCTGTGCCATTTTTTTAAAATAGCTTTATTGATGTATTTAAGGTGTGGTAAAAAGGCTGGGCACAGTGGCTCATGCCTGTAATTCCAGCACTTTGGGAGGCTGAGGCGGGCAGATCACAAGGTCAGGAGTTCAAGACCAGCCTGGCCAACGTAGCAAAACCCTATCTCTACTTAAAAAAAAAAAAAAAAAAAAATTAGCTGGGTGTGGTGGCACATACCTGTAGCTACTTGGAAGGCTGAGGTGGGTGAATTGTTTGAACCCGGGAGGCAGAAGTGGCAGTGAGCCGATACCATGCCATTACACTCCAGCCTGGGTGACAGAGTGAGACTCTGTCTCAAAAAAAAAAAGTGTGATAAAACTATTACCACAATCAAGACAACAAACATATCCATCACACCCCAAAATTTCCTCATGCTCCTGAGTATCCCTTCCTCCAGCCTCTAGCCCTGCCTCTTCTCCTACCTGCCCCCACAGCCTTAGGCAAATGATGACCTTTCTGCCACTATAAATTAGTTTAATTCTAGAGTTTTATATAAATGGAATCATATAGTACTTTTTGTTTGTCTAGCTTTTTTCACTCAACATCTTTATTTGGAGATTCATCCTTGTTGAAGCGTGTATCAATAGAGCGTTCTCTTTCCCTGCTGAGTCATATTCTATTGTGTGCAGTTGGTTTATCCATTCACCTACTGATGGACATTTTGGCTGGCTCCAGTTAGGGGCAATTACAAATAAAGTGGAACATTTGTGAGCAGTCCTTGTGTGGACATATGTCTTCCTTTCTCTTGGGCAAATATCTAGGAGTGGAATGACTAGATCATATGGTAGGTGTACATTTAACTTTTTAAGTAACTACCAAAAGTTATTTTTCAAAGTACTTGTAGCATTTTACATTTCCACCAGCAGTGTGAGTGTTCTTGTTCCACATTGTAATAAACTTGGTATGGTTAGTCTTAATTTTAGCCATTCTAACAGGCGTGTAGTAGTTTTTCATTGTAATTTTAATTTGCATTTCCCTAGTGACTAATGATCTTTTCACATGCATGTTTGCTATTTGTATATCTTCTTTGGTGAAGCCTGATCGAATCTTTTGCCAATTAAAAAAAATATCAGATTTTTTTTATATATTCTGAAAACATCTTTTTTTTTTTTTTAACTTTTCAGTTCAGTGGTACCTGTGCAGGTTTGTTACATAGGTAAACTTGTGTCATGGGGTTTGTTGTACAGATTATTTCACCGCCCAGGTATTAAGCCTATTACCTATTAGTTATTTTTCCTGATCCTCTTCCTCCTGCCTCCCTCCAACCTCTGATAGGCCCCAGTGTCTGTTGTTCCCCTGTATATGTCCATGTGTTCTCATCACTTAGCTCCCACTTATAAGTGAGAACATGCGGTATTTGGTTTTCTGTTCCTACGTTAGTTTGCTAAGGATAATGGCTTCAAGCTTCATCCGTGTTCTTACAAAGGAACATGGCTGCATAGTATTCCATGGTACATATATACCACATTTTCTTTATCCAGTTTACCATTGATGGGCATTTAGGTTGATTCCATGTCTTTGCTATTGTGAATTGTGCTGCAGTGAACTTACACATGCATGTGTCTTTATGATAGGATGATTTATATTACTTTGGGTATGTACCCAGTAATGAGATTGCTGGGTTGAATGCAATTTCTGTTTTTTGGTCTTGAAGGTATCACCACACTGTCTTCTACATGGTTGAACTAATTTACACTCCCACCAACCACTGTGTATAAATGTTCCTTTTTCTCTGCGACCTTGCCACCATCTGTTATTTTTTGACGTTTTAATAATGGCCACTCTGACTGTGTGAGATGGTATTTCATTGTGGTTCTGATTGGCATTTCTTTAATTACCAGTAATGTTGAGTTTTTTTCATGTGCTTCTTGGCCACATGCTTGTCTTTTCAAAAGTGTCTGTTCATGTCCTTTGCCCACTTTTTAATGGGCAATGCTGGATATTATACCTTGAAACAATACCCTTTATTAGATTCATGATTTGCAAATATTTTCTCCCAGTCTGTGGCTTCTCTTTGAAAACAAGAAGTTTTATTTATTTTTTCTTTTTATGGCAGAGTTTCACTCTGTCGCCCAGGCTGGAGTGCAGTGGTGCAATCTCAGTTCACTGCAGCCTCCACCTCCCAGGTTCCAGCGAGTCTCCTGACTCAGCCTCCTGAGTCTCCTGCTTTCAAACCTCAGGTGACCCTGCCCACATTGGCCTCCCAAAGTGCTGGGATTAAAGGCATGGGCCACTGTGCCTGGCCAAGCCAAAAGTTTTCATTTTTAAAGTCTAATTGTTATACATTGTGGGGTTTTTTTGGTTTGTTTACATTTTTGTTTTTTGAGACAGAGTCTTGCTCCGTCACCCAGGATGGAGTGCAGTGGTGCTGTCTCAGCTCTCAACAACCTCCTCCTACCAGTTTCAAGCAATTCTTGTGCCTCAGCCTCCCGAGTAGCTGGGATTACAGGTGCACACCACCACACCTGGCTAATTTTTGTATTTCTAATAGAGAGGGGGCTTTACTGCATCGGCCAGGCTGGTTTCAAACTCCTGGCCTCAAATGATGCACCTATCTTGGCTTCCCAAAGTGCTGGGATTATAGGTATGAGTCACTGTGCCTGGCCTACGTTGTGTTTTTGATGTCTTGTTTAGGAAATCTTTGCCTAATCCAGTGTCAGAAAGGCTTTCTTCTATATTTTCTTCTAGAAGTTTTATAGAAACCTTAAAGTGATGCTCTCTGGGCCTGAGGTTTTCTTTGTGAGTAAGTTTTTAAGTATAAATTCAATTTCTTTAATAGATATTGGACTCTGTAGTTTATTTCTTCTTGGGTTAGCTTTGTGTCTCAAAGGTATTTCTCCATTTCACTAAGTTGTATAAGTTATTGACATAAAGTTGTTCACAGTACTTCCTGTAGACATCTGGAGCTTTGTCAAGTGTTTCGTTGTTGATATTGGCATTTTGTTTCTGTTCTCTTCCTCCTGAACAATCTGACTAAAGGCTATTGAATTTTACTGATCTCAAAAACTAGCTTTGATTTCATTGATTTTTGTCTTTTCATGTGTGTGTTTTGTTTGCAATTTCATTGATTTCTGCCTTGATCTTGGTTTTTTTTTTTTTTTTTTTTTTTTTTTAGATGGAGTCTTGCTCTGACATCCAGGCTGGAGTGCAGTGGTGTGATCTTGGCTCACTGCAGCCTCCTCCTCCTCCTGGGTTCCAGCAGTTTTCCTGCCTCAGCCTCCTGAGTAGTGGGATTGCAGGCATATGCCACCACGCCTGCTTAATTTTTGTATTTTCAGTAAAGACAGGTTTCACCGTGTTGGCCAGGCTGTTCTTGAACTCTTGACCTCAAGTGATCCGCCCACCTTGACCTCCCAAAGTACTGGGATTACAGGTGTGTGCCACCATGCTCAGCCTCTGATTTGGTCTATATTATTTCCTTTCTTTTCTTACTTTGGGTTTAATTTTACTCTTTTTCTAGTTTTTTAAGGTTAAAGTTTAAGTCATTGACTTAGACCTTTTTTTTTTTTTAATATAGATGTTTAGTGCTATAAATTTTTCCCTAAGCACTGTTTTAGAGGCAGCTCGCACATTTCTGTATTTTTCCTTTTCTTGTTTCAGTTTAAAATGCTTTCTGATTTCCCTTTTGATGTCTGCTTTACCCCATGGATTCATTAAAAGCATGTTGATTTTTATAACTAGTTTTCAGCAATTTTATTAACATGCACCTTGGTATAGTTTTCTTCATAATTCTTGTTTGGAATTTATCATAATTTTTCATCAAATTAGGAAATTTGGGGGCCATTATTTCTTTATCTGTTTTTCTGTCCCCCTTTTTTTCCCCCTAGTTTGGGGACTGCTAGGGTATATATTAGAGGGCATTTCAAGTTGTTCTACAGCTCAGGTTACTGAGACAGTGTTCATTAAAACATTTTTTTTCTCTGGTGTTTCATTTTAGATGGTTTCTGTTGCTATGTATTTAAGTTAACTATTCTTTTCTTCTGCATTTTCTAATTTGCTGTTAGTGCCATCCAGTGTGTCTTTTATTTCAGGCATTGTGGTTTTCATATCCAGAAGTTTGATTTGGATTTTTTTTTTTTTTTTAAGTGGAATCTCACTCTGTCGCCTAGGCTGGACTGGTGCAGTGGTATGATCTCGGCTCACTGCAACTTCTGCCTACTGAGTTCAATGGATCCTCTTGTCTCAGCCTCCGAAGTAGCTGGGATTACAGATGCCTGTTACCACGCCTGGATAATTTTTTTTGTATTTTTAATAGAGACAGGGTTTCACCATGTTGGCCAGGCTGGTCTCAAACTTCTTATCTCAGGTGAATCGCCTGCCTTGGCCTCCCAAAATGCTGGGATTACAGGTGTAAGCCACCATGCCTGGCCGTTCTTTTTAATATATTCCTAATGTCTCTACTTAAATTTTTGAATGTAGAGAATATGATTATTATCAATGTTTTGATGTTCCTGTTTGCTAATTCTGATATCTATGTCAGTTCTAGGTTTTGTTTGCTTGATTGAGTTTTCTCCTTTCCTGCCTCTTTGTATGCCTGGTAAAATTCTATTGGATTCTGATATTGTGACTTTCTGACATTTTACCTTTTGGGGAGCTGGGTGTTTTTGTGTTCCTATAAATTTTGAGTTTTGCTCTAGGAGGCAGCTAAGCTACTTGGAAATAGTTTGATGCCATTGGGTCTTGATTTTTTAGATGGGGCCAGGGCAGTATTTCATCTCGAGTTAATTATGAGGCAAGATCATTTTGAATATTCTACGCAGTGCTTTGTGAATTGTCAGGTTTTCCGGTCTGGCTTATGGGAACAGACACTGCCTCCTGCTCTGTGTGAGCCCCTGATACTAAAACCTGTTATCTTTTCTGACAGTTTTTTTCCCTGCCTTTAGCCTCAGGTAATAGCCTCACGTGTATATACCTATTAGTACTCAGTTGAATTCCCAAGGACGCCTTTTGCATTTCTTCAGTTTTGTCTCTGTGTAACTCTCTTCTTTCCAGTACTCTATCCTGCAAACTCTATTCACTTGGTCTTCTAGAGTTCTCACCTTCATCTTTTTTTTTTGGCGGGGGAAGGGGGGAAAGTCTCGCTCTATTGTCCAGGCTGGAGTGCGATGGCAGGATCTTGGCTCACTGTAACCTCAACCTCCTGAGTAGCTGGGATTACAGACACCTGCCACCACACCCAGCTAATTTTTTGTATTTTTAGTAGAGGCAGGTTTTTGCCATGTTGTCGGGCTGGTCTTTGTTGATCCGTCCACCTCAGCCTCCCGAAGTGCTGAGATTACAGGCATGTGCCACCATGCCCAGCCTCACCCTCCATCTTTTTAACTCTTAGAAAATCCAAAGTCCCCCGTGGACCCCACCTGGGTCTCCTTCCCTGTACTGCCTCACTCCAGTCAGTTACATGGGCCATCCCTAGAGCTCACTTTTTAAAAAAAAAATACTTTTTTATTTCTTTATTTTACTCCTTGCTTGTTGCCTTGGCTGGTCTCGAACCCCTGGCCTCAAGCAGCCCTCCTGCCTCAGAGCTCACCTTGTTTATTTTCTATTCTCTGAGGGATCACTAACTTTGATTGTTTATGTCCATTACATTGAAAACCCTTATTTCATATATTTTGTCAGTTTTTTTTTCTTCAGGCAGCAGGGTAAACCTGGTCCCTAGTGTCCCACCTCAGCTAGAAGTAGAAGTCCAACTGATGTATACATTAAAAATTGCGTGGTCCAGGAATGTGTAATGATAAGGGGTAATGGTCATAGTGTAATATTAAATTTTAAAAAGGCAAGACAGAAAATGAGACAGGCTGTTTGTGTGTGTTGTGTTAAAACATATAAAATAGTGTGAAAGGAAAATCTTGGTGCCCCAAAATTACTAAACTAAGAGAAAAGTCGAACAGAACTGCTCGGGACAAACCTGCCTCCCATTCTCTTCAGAGTCATCCCTCTGCTCACTGAGATAGATGCATAGTCTGGTTGCCTCCTTTGAAGGGCCTGTCAGAAACTGAAAAGAATGCAGCCGTTTGTCTTTTATCTACCTGTGACCTGGAAGACCCCACCCTGCTTCAAGTTGTCCCCGCCTTCCTGGACAGAAGCAGTACACTTCTTACATATATTGATTGATGTCTCCTGTCTCCCTAAAATGTATAAGACCGAGCTGTGCCCCAGCCTCCTTGGGCACATGTCACAGGACTGCCTGAGGCTGTATCATGGGCACGAATCCTTAAGCTTGGCAAAATAAACTTTCTAAATTAACTGAGACCTGTCTCTTATATTCAGGGTTCACAATAGCAATATAGTGTGTGGGGGGGGGAAAAAACAAAGTAAATACATAGTGTACACACTGTTATTAACATTGGTAACTCTGAAGAACTAGGATAGGTGATTTTTTTTTTTTTTGAGATGGAGTCTCGTTCTGTTGCCCAGGCTGGAGTGCAGTGGCACCAATCTTGGCTCACTGCAGCCTCTGTCTCCTGGGTTCAAGCAATTCTCCTGCCTCAGCCTCCCAAGCAGCTGGGACTACAGGTGCTTACTACCATGGCTGGCTAATTTTTGCATTTTTAGTAGAGACAGGGTTTCACCAAGTTGGCCATGCTGTTCTCCAACTCTTGACCTCAGGTGATCCGCCTACCTCAGCCTCCCAAACTGCTGGGATTACAGGCGTGAGCCACCTTGCCCAGCCAGGATGAGTGATATTTGTTTTCTTTTTTACTTTTGCTATATCTTCTAAGTGAATGAGTATTTCTCCTGTAATTTAGAAAAGGATAAGTCAAATATTTAGTATAAATATACTTGAAGGGCAAGGTTAAACGCTAGCTAACAGAGAGCCAGAAATCCCATTCCCTGTAATTAAAGGCAGAGTTCTAGAGAGCCTGTAAAGGCTGTATTGGGATTTCCCTGCAGGGGGTGTTTGGGAAGGTTTGAGATGATACCTTCTGTGTGCAGGAGCCCCCACCGCCTTGGGCCTGGCTGCCTCCTTTTGACCCAGGATCTGTTTTCTTGTGTCAACAGATTGTTCGTGTAGAGCCCTTGGTGACCATGGGCCAAGTGACTGCCCTGCTGAACTCCATTGGCTGGACTCTGCCTGTGTTGCCTGAGCTTGATGACCTCACAGTGGGTAAGGACCCCATGTTAATTGGCGATAGGAGACAGATGGTCCTAGGATCAGAGCTGATGGGCCTTGGCCACCCTCCATCTAGTCCTGGAATTGCCACTATTCCATCTGTGACAGAAGTCACTGTCTCTTACTTGCCTGCTCCAATGACAGGGATGTTCACTGCCTGCTGTTCATTTCTGAGCAGTTCAAGTTATCAGATGGCACTTTTAATTTCTGGTTTGAATCTGCTTCCCTGTGACTTATTCCCATTGCTCCAGTTCCACTCCATGGAACACACAGAATAAGTCTAGTCTCTCTTTTTCTCTCATAGGATTCATAGCCCCCAAAGCCTCTTCTTCTCCAAGAAAAACATCTTTGGTTCTTTTAACTATTCCCATGGGACAGGGCTTCCTGTCATCCCTTCAGCCCCCCTTTTCATTAAAGTCCCTCTCAAAATCAATGCATACAGATTTCTAGGTTGAGGCTGGCCAGAGGTGAGGTGTGACTATCCTTGATAAAATCTGCTTACCACCCTTTGCCTTTAAGGATGACCTCAGGCTTCCATCTGAGCCCCTCCTTCCCTCTTCTGCTCTCTAGATTGACAGGTGGGAAATCTCCCCTAAGTCAACAACCCCATTTCTGCTAGCCTGCCATCCCTCCCTCATACTAGGAGGTCCCCAGCTCCAACCCACCCCAACCCTGTACCTGAAGCTCTCCCTGCTGACACTTTGTGTGATGTCTCTGCAGGGGGCTTGATCATGGGCACAGGCATAGAGTCGTCATCCCACAAATACGGCCTGTTCCAACACATCTGCACTGCCTACGAGCTGGTCCTGGCTGATGGCAGCTTTGTGCGATGCACTCCGGTGAGTTCAGCGATGGGGAACATCCATGCCAGCCTGCTCTGGGCATTAAGGATCCTAAGGTCAGGGAGGGGGCTTCTCTGGATGTGCCTCATTTCAAATACACCTGTTCAGTCTGGGGCTATATCCATAATAAAAATTTGTATAGCCCCTTATATGTGCTTGGGCGATGTTGTAAATACATTATATATATTAAGGCATGTAATCCTTCAACAACCTTATGAGGAAGATACTATTATTATCTCTATTTTATAGATAGGAAACTAAAGCTCAGAGAGGTTAATAAACTTGTCATAGATCACACAGCTGGGACTCATACCCCAGTAATCAGCCTCCCAGATCCCTTCCCCCTAGCCATTCCTTATGCCATCCTGCCTCTTTGGAGGAAGTCAGGCCTTGGCATCAAAGCTGGGTATCTTACATTGTGAGGTGCGGTTGTGTGTCACATAACAATAGGGATGAGTTATGAGAAACAAGTTGTAGGCAATTTTGTCATTGTGCAAACATCATGGAGTATACTTACATAAACTTAGATGAGAAAACCTACTTCACACCTAGGCTACATGGGACAGCCTACTGCTCCTTGGCTGCAGACCTGTACAGCAATGGTCCTGTACTCAGTACTGTAGGCTGCGGTAACATATGGTACTTATGTATCTAAACATAAAAGATAAAAAATGGTGCACCTAGATAGTGTACCTACCGTGAATGGAGCTTGCAGGACTGGAGGTTGCTCTTGGTGAGTCAGTGAGTGCATGCGAAGGCCTAGGAGATTACTGTACACTACTGTAGACTTTAGAAATACGGTGCACTTAGGCTATACCAAATTTATTTTTCAAAATTTTCTTTCTTCAATAACAAATTACTGTTAGCTTACTATAACGTTTTTACTTTATAAACTCTTTAAAAACTTTTGACTCTTATCATAACACCAAGCTTTAAATGCAAACATATTGTGCAGGAGTACAAAAATATTTTCCTTCTTTATATCCTTATTTTATAAGCTTTTTTTCTTCTTTTTTTAATTTTCTTTTCCTGAGATGGAGTCTCTGTTGTGCAGTGACACAATCTTGGCTCACTGAACCCTCAGCCTCCCAGGTTCAAGTGATACTTCTGCCTCAGCCTCCTTAGTGGCTGGGACTACAGGCGTGCACCACCACGCCTGGCTAATTGCAGTCAGCCCTGATTACACCAGAGTGAGACCCTGTCTCAAAGAAAAAAATGTTAAAACACTAACACACGGTAGTTAGGCCTGCCCAGAGTCGCTTCCACTTCCACATCTTGCCCCACTTGAAAGTCTTCAGGGGCAAAACACACATGGAGCTGCCATCTCCTATGACAACAGTGCCTTCTTCTGCAGTACCTCCTGAAGGACCTGCCTGTGGCTGTTTACAGTTACCTTCTTTTTCTTTTTGAGACAGAGTCTCACCCTGTTTCCCAGGCTGGAGAGCAATGGCATGATCTCCGCTCCCTGCAGCCTCTGCCTCCCGGGTTCAAATGATTATCCTGCCTTAGCCTCCTGAGTAGCTGGGATTACAGGTGCCTGCTACCACGCCCAACTAATTTTTGTATTTTTAGTAGAGATGGGGTATCACCATGTTGCCCAGGCTGGTCTCCAACTCCTGACCTGATGATCTGCCCACCTTGGCCTCCCAAAGTGCTTGGACTTGGGTGCTTGCACCCAGCCTTAACTTCTTTTTAATAAGCAGAAAGAGTGCACTCTAAAATAACAATTAAAAGTATAGTGTAGTAAATACATAAACCAATGACAGAGTCGTTATGAAGTATTATGTGGTGTACATAATTATATGTGCTATACTTTTATACAACTGGCAGTACAGATTTGCTTACACCAGTGTCACCATAAACACACGAGTATGACATTAGGACAGCTGTGTTAGCTATGATATCACTAGGCAATAGCACTTTTTCAGCTCCATTATAATCTTATGAGACCACCATCGTATCTGCGGCCCATTGTTGACTGAAATGTCTTTATGCAGCACGTGATCATGTAACTAAGTGATTAGAGAGTCTGTTTTAGAAAAATAAAAGGCAATTCTACCACCCAAACTGGGATACAAACATGTAAAGCATTTTACCTAAGAGGTGGGATAGGATTGAAACTTTAAATAACCTTGACTCTGTCCTGGCAGGTATGAGGGGGCTCCTGGCATGAGAGAGACAGTCAGTCTGGTTGAAGTGGGTATTTCAGGGAGCCACCAGAGTCGTTCACCTCACAGAAGAGGGCCAAGGGAAAGACTCCCAGCTTGACAGTACTGTTCTTAGATGAGAGATACCCCTAGCAAGATTCAGACCAGTTCATTCTATTTTCCTGAACGCTTGCTGGGGCCCTGTCTTTTGACTTATTTATTATTGGCAGAGAAAGGACACAGACATTTGTGAATTCCTTCCCTTCTCTGAGGCCCAGGTTCCTCACTGACAAATATGTGGTTGAGAGGAATAAGTAGGTCCTGTATGGGAAGCTCCTTGCATAGAGCTGAGCATGCAGCAGTGTGTCATTGTCACTGCCATGACCAGGAGAATGTGATTAGCTGTAGGCCCGAGGGGGAGTCGGTGGGCTCAGTGCTGCTATTCCTGAGGCTTCTGCCAGCCTGCTGCAGAGCCTCTGTGCTCCAGCTCTCCTGCCCACTACATTCACTGTTCCCACCACCCAGAGCATTCAGGTTTCGTGGAAACTGCACAGGGCTGTCCTCTTAGTAAAGGCAGGACAAGGCTGGACTTTTTCAGAAGGAGCTTTATTAGAACCAAAGAATCCCAATTAGAATGGCCAAGGAAAAGTCAGTTATCTATGTGGAAGACATATGTCAAAACAATAAAATGGTGAGATTGGACATGGATTTACGGAAGCAGATGAGGTGTTGTAGGAAACGCTGGCTGGGGAGATAGGTGAACTTGCCTGGGCCTTGGCATTGCTGCAGTTGACTTTTCTGGGAAGCCTTGACTGGGTCATGGCAGCTCTCAGAGACTCAATTTCTTTCCTTGTAATAAGGGGGTGCCAGCATCCTCCCTGGGCTTTGTTGTGGATGGATCCCACAGGCCAGTGGACTGGGAAAGGCCATGTAAATTTTAGTGATGGTTCAGAAGTGAGGAAATTTAATGTTCCCCAGCTACACTGTGTGACACCCAGTAAGGGTTCAGCTCTGTTTTAGGCCTTGGACCCCTGCCCCTGAGTCACCCATTGTGGGTTGTCAGCGGGGGGCAGTGCTGGTCCCAGCTTTTTCCTGAATAGCCTCTGGTCAGGGGCTGTGCTTAGATGAGAGAAGGAGGATGCTCTCTAGTGAGCATCCTTGAAACAGCGGGCAGCATTATGTTCCATATCGTGTTGAAGCTGCAGAGAGAAAACTAAAGCCCATAAGCTCAGTGTGTACAGTTCATTGTTTGGGTTTACACGAGACATTGAGAGAATAGGGACTCTCCCAGGCTTTGCTCCCTGACTGACTGCGTGCCACAATATGGGACCCAAGATTCCAGCTCTCAACATGTCAATTCTGTCTCACAGTCCGAAAACTCAGACCTATTCTATGCCGTACCCTGGTCCTGCGGGACATTGGGTTTCCTGGTGGCCGCCGAGATCCGCATCATCCCTGCCAAGAAGTACGTCAAGCTGCGTTTCGAGCCGGTGCGGGGCCTGGAGGCTATCTGTGCCAAGTTCACCCATGAGTCCCAGAGGCAGGAGAACCACTTCGTGGAAGGGCTGCTCTACTCCCTGGATGAGGCTGTCATTATGACAGGAGTCATGACAGATGAGTTAGAGCCCAGCAAGGTAAGCCAGGGTGTCAGCTGCTTGCAGACCAAGACTTGAGAGGCATGAATGTACTGAGACTGAGCCCGTTCCCCCATCCTGACCCTGGTAGCCACCTCCTCAAGGCTGGGTCAGCCCACCTGGGATACAGACAACAGGATCTGTCGTCAGAGATGTCTTAGACAGTGATGGAAGCTTCCACCTATTCCCTACCACCTGCCTGTGATGTGCTTGTCTCTTAGTGGATGCAATCTTTGGTCCTCATAGCAACCCCATTTTACAGATTAGGAAACTGAATCTTTAAGAGGTAATGTAGGCTGGGCATAGTGGCTCACACCCGTAATCCCAACATTTAAAAGAGATAATGTAAACTTCCACAAGATTTGAGTAAATTGATTTGATGCCTTGGAATCTAGATTGACATTCCTTCCACGTATGCCATGTAATTTTTACTAGCAGTTTTTTCTGCCTTTAGAAAGGATTTGTGCTTATTGTAAGAGACTTGGAAGGTACAAACAAGTAAAGAGGAAAGAAAAGACTCCACCTGTAAATATGACCCAAAGCCAGTATTGCCAATGTATTTGGTATACAGTTGGTCCTTGTGTCTCTGGGTTTCACATCAGTGGATTCAACCAACTGCAGATTGAAAATGTTCAGCGGGCAAAAATGGATGGTTTCATCTGAGCTGGACACGGACACTTTTTTTTTCTTGTCAATTCCTTAACTATTATATAGCATTTACATTGTATTAGGTATTATAAGAAATCTAGAGATGATTTAAAGTGTACAGGAGGATGTGTGTAGAGTTATATGCACATACTACATCATTTTATGTACGGGACTTACGCATTCATGGATTTGGGGGGATCCTGGAACAAATCCCCCATGGATACTGAGGGACAACTGTATTTATCTCCTCTTCCTGTGTATGGACTTTTTTAAAGATTTTAAATTATAAATGTAATGGAACAATGCCAAAATACATAAAGAAAAAGTTAAGGTACATCTCCTTACAGCCAGCATGTAACCACTTACGTATAACAGTTTTGTGTGCATTCTTCAAGACCTATTTTTTTCGTTTTCTTTTTTTTTGAGAGAGAGGGTCTCTGTCACCCAGGCTGGAGTACAGTGGCGCAGTCATAGCTCACTATAGCCTTGAACTCCAGGGCTCAAGCAAGCAATCCTCCCGCCTTAGCCTTCTAAGTAGCTGGCACTACAGGCGTGTGCCACCATGTCTGGTTAGTTTTTAATTTTTTTTTGAGATAGAGTCTCTCACTCTGTTGCCCAGGCTGGAGTGCAGTGGTGTGATCTTGGCTCACTGCAACTTCTGCCTCCCAGGGTCAAGCAATTCTTGTGCCTTAGCTTCCCAAGCTGGAATTAACAGGCATGTGCCACCACACCATGCCTGCCTAAGTTTTGCAATTTTACTAGAGATGGAGTTTCACCATGTTGACCAGGTGGGTCTCAAACTGCTGACCTCAGGTGATCCACCCACTTTGGCCTTCCAAGCCAAGTGCTGGAATTATAGGTGTGAGCCACTGTGCCCAGCCTGGTTAATTTTTTGTAGGGGTGGGGTCTTGCTATGTTGCCCAGGCTAGTCTTGAACTCTTGGCCTTAAGCAATCTTCCCACCTCAGCCTCCCAAAGTAGTAGGGTTATAGGTGTGAGCCACCAAACCCAGCCAAGACCTATTTCCGTGTGTGTATGTGTGTGTATGTGTGCATGTCTTCATTTCATTCTATAACATCCCATTTTTGCATGTAAATAATTGGCTTAATTTAGTCCTTACTGACATTTATGTTGCATAAACTTTTGCTCTTACAAATAATATTGCATTAAAGATTTAAGACTGTCTTATATTTATCCTGTCCTTCTGTACAAATATTTGTGTTGGATTGAATCAGAAAAATGGAACTCATTACACAAAGGTTTGAGCACTTTAAATGTTAATAGATAAAACCAAACAACCCTCAAGAAGAGCTGTGCTTATGCCTACTTGCAGCAGTGGTGTGTGAGAACACCTTTTTCCCTACATTCTTGCCAACACTAAATAGGATCACTCTTTCATTTTTGCCAATCTGATAGGGTTAAAAATAGTATCTCGTTTTATTTTGCAGTCCTTGGATCACTCATGAGGGTGAGCATCTCTTTGCAGTTTTGTTTGTCTTCAGCTGTGATCACCTGTTCACATTTGTCTTCTCTTGTTTATTGTTTTTTTGTTTTGTTTTGAGACTAGGTCTCGCTCTGTTGCCCAGACGGGATGCAATGGTGCCATCTCAGCTCACTGCAGTCTCTGCCTCCCAGGCTCAAGCAATTCTCCTGTCTCAGCCTCCCTAGTAGCTGGGAGTACAGGGACACACCACTGCACCTGGCTAATTTTGGTGTTTTTAGTAGAGACAGGGTTTCACCATGTTGCCCAGGTTGGTCTCAAACTTCTGAGCTCAGATGATCCTCCTGCCTCGGCCTCCCAAAGTGCTGGGATTACAGGCGTGAGTCACTGCACCCAGCCTTTTTCTTGTTTATTGTAATGAGCATTTCCCCATGTTGTTATATTGCCTTCATAACTATTGCTGTTAACGTCCACCTGCAGAACATTGCATAGAGCAAACGAATGAATGCCCTATCACTGCCCAGAGTTGAAAATTTAAGTTGTTTCTGATTCTTTTGTTATTTTAATTAATGGAGCAATGAACAACTTTTGTCTGTAATTCAAATAATGTCTTAACATAGAAATCGCAGATCAAAGGATAGCATCCCTTCAGACTCTTAATCTATACCTACATATATACTTCAAACATTTTAAAGTTGAAAAGGGCTGGAAAATCACCTGGTACAATCCTCTCCACAAATAAGAAAATGAGGCCCAGAAAGGGAAAGAGACTTATCTGAGGACACACAGGTAGCACAGAACAGATTTAAATTCCAGCTTCTGACTCCTGGTTTAGTCAGTTCTCCAACATATCCGCCTGCAGACTTTAGTATCATGCAAACATTGCTCCCTGTGGGACTCTGTGGTAAGTGCGGAGGTCCTGGAGCAGCAGTGGCAATACAGCATATCGAGCTGAAGTGTATGGCCCTCCTGGGCCCCTGGATCTGCCTGACCCAGGCCAAAGCCCAGACAGTATGTGTCACCTACACCAAGTCACCAAGCAAGGACATCTAGACAAGAGGTTTCCAACTACTCTGAGGCATTCCCTTGAGGCAATAGGGTAGAAAAGCTGAGGGATGGGACCAAGGGGAGTTACCACCCCCACTGTACCCAAAGTAGCACTGCTGTCTTCTGTTAGATGCCACCTAAGATTATGATTTGGCAGAGGGGTTTGCACTGCTTTTAAAATATTTGGAGACCTGATCTGATTCCTTTACTTCCCAAGGAGAAGACCGTGAGGCCCAGAGGGCCTTACCCAGAGGCAGCAGCAGAGGAATATTTGCCAAGTGCCCCAGTGAGCAAGACCTTGATACCCGATGGGAACAGGGCTGGGGCAGAGTGGTAGATGCCATTAGACGTCTGGGCACTTCATTTTAGAAGCATTTCTTCCAAACAGTTCTGTTTCCAAGCATTCAGGAAGTTGTCCCTGTGTGCCAGGCCCTGTTATGGGCCCTCTGCAGGCACTGCCATATGTAAAGCTTGCGACAATCCAGTGAGAAGTGGCTTGCAATCAAGGACTGAGGTGGCCTGGAGCTCGTGCAGCCACTGGCCTCCTCAGCTGGTGTGTGCCTGGAAGAGACATACTATCTAGGTTCTTTTCCATATCCTGAGCTGCTCTGCATGGCTTCTGATGCATCAGCGTGCGCCAGGAGCACCTGTATCCAGGTAGCCCTAAGTCTCACTTTCATTATGCAACTGTGGTGCCACTGCCACGTATATGCCACGCCTCACCTGGGGTTAGATCAGGTTGCTCTGTTTCCTTCTGGGTTCCCCTTTTCACATGAGCAGGCAGAGGCCAGCATGAGTGTTTTTTGCCCTGCCCCATACCATCCCCACCAAAACTAATTTGGGCAAAGAGGCTCTTTAGTCCTAGTTTCCTGACCCTGCAGTGTTGTGAGAAGCAGGGTGGGCCTGCACAAGCAGGTGAACACACAGAAGCTGCAAGTGCTGGAGGCCAGAGATCCAGGGCAAAGTGTTGCCTGGCTCTAGGGTAGAAAAGGTCAGCAACGGGGGTGGGTGGGGACTGAGACTCCAGCCCCCTGTGAGTCAGGCACTATGCTTGGCACTTCCTACATCTCTTTTAGTCTTCCAGAGATGCTAAGTAACCTGCCCAGGCTCTGCCGAATGTGTTATAAGTGGAAAAAGCAAATTGGCAAACAATAAGTAAAAGATAATCCCATTTTTATAAATACAATGGGCATGTCTATGTAATTTCTAATAGGCAAAGAACTGCCACAAAGTATGTATTTTTATTGTCATGTTATATGTGAAGAAACAGGCTCAGAGATGATCTGCCTGAGGTCACACAGCTGGTGGGGAACTGGGTGTGTCCCCAGCTGCCCATCCTGAAGCTTGTGCTCTTTCCAGGATCCCCCCTGCCTCCCTATGAGCATCTGCCAGAATTCATTTATGGATGAGGAAGCTGAGGCTGGGAGAAGCTCAGCCATCCTAGTGCACACAGCACATTGAGTCCTGCCCCTTTAGAGCTGAAGGAGACACCAGCTCAATAGAAGATTTGGGTGTGAGAGCCCCCAGAGCCAGGGTCAGGGCCAGGGAGAGGTGTGAGGTTTATTGATGTGAGCATCCTCCAGACAATGGCTCCCTGGGGAGTGCTGTGCCCAGAGGACTGTGGAGCTTGGTCCAGGGACAGCAGGGAAAGTGCCATGACCAATTAATGCTTTGAGCCCTGGATTGCATTGGCAGGCTGACCCATGCCCAGAGTTCGAGCTTCACTGGCCTCAAGGAGGGTGGGAGCAGAGGGAGGGAGGGAATTCCCCTGCCTGGAGCACTGCATCAGGGCAGACACTATTAAACATTTGCACCAGGCTAGGCTGGGGTCACTGAGTTCTCTAGACTGTCGGGGACTCACTGTGTGGCCCTGGGCACATACCACTTAACCTCTTTTGAGCTTCTGCTCTCTCTGCTAGAGGATACCCACTGTGCATAACCTCACCAGCTTTCAAGAGTCTCAAAGGCGATAATAGACATCAGAGAGCTTTGAAAAGGCCGGGAGTGCTGAACAGAAGCCGGGTATCACTGTTACGCCCTGATGGCGCTGGGCGCTTGTCTGCAGGCTGATCACAGTGCCCTCTGTCATTTCAGCTGAATAGCATTGGCAATTACTACAAGCCGTGGTTCTTTAAGCATGTGGAGAACTATCTGAAGACAAACCAAGAGGGCCTGGAGTACATTCCCTTGAGACACTACTACCACCGCCACACGCGCAGCATCTTCTGGGAGCTCCAGGTGAGGCTTGGGTTTCTGTAGCCCTGGCTCCTCCTGGCCAGCCGGGCAGGGATCCCAGACAGTTAACACTGTAGCCATACTCTCTCCCTTCAGGGGAAAGAGTGGCTTTGTCCTAAGTAACCTGTGATGCCTTCTCAAGCAGCAACACAGCCGTTTCCTTTTGAAGGAACCAGCTACCTCCAGTTTAAGCAGCAGGCTTTCAGCAAGCATTTGCTTGGTGCTGGGGAGTGGGCCCCTGGGCCGGTACTTTGGAGAACACAGACCTGTTCTGCTCTTGAGGAAGGGTTAGCCTCTAGCCACGGTGAGCAGACAGATCCCTGCACTGTAAAGGGCCACAGAAACAAAAGGAGGAAGTGGCTAGTTCTGCCTAGGGCTCGGGGTGGCAGCCAAGCCTGGCTGTGAAAGGTGAGTGAGAATTTGCTGTTGCCTGTGTAGATGGGTGGGTGGATGAGGAGCAGTGACACTTTAAGTGGGGGAAGGTCAGGAAGAGCCCCTCAGGAGATGACTTTGTGAGCAGGGACCTGAACCTAGGGAGGGCAGGCCAGGAACAACTCGGGAGGACTCTGGAACTCTGTTCCCAGGCAGAGGGACAGCCAGAGCCCAGGGCTTGAGCTGGGCTAACAAGAAATTAACTGTTACAAAATGGACAGACAGTTCAGGGTAGTTTAGTGCATTCACAGTGTTGTGCAGCCATTCCCTTTATGTAGTTCCAAACATTTTCATCACCTAAAAGGAAACCCTATACCCATTAAGCAGTCACTCCCTATTCTCTCCCCGGCCCCAGCCTGTGGCAACAGCCAATTCGTCTTCTGTCTCTATAGACTTACTGATTCCAGATATTTCACATATACGGAATCATATGGTATGTGCCTTTTGTAACTGCCTTCTTTCACTTAGCAGAGTGTTTTCAGTATCAATATTTCATTTCTTTTTATGACAGGACAGTAGTTCATTTTATGAGAGACCACATTTGGTTTTTTCACTCATTTATTGATGGACATGTTGTTTCAACCTTTTGGCTACTGTGAACAGTGCTGCCATGAACATTCATGTGCATATATTTGTTTGAATACCTGTTTTCAGTTCTTCGGGATATAGAACTAGGAGTGGAATTGCTGGGTCAGATACTAATTCTGGGTCTAACTTTCTGAGAAACAACCAAACTCTTTTCCACTGAGGCTGTGCCATTTTACATTCCCACCAGCAATGTATGAGTGTCCTAGTTTTTCAACATTCTTACCAACACTTGTTATTTTCTGGTTTTTAAATTATTAGTATTGTTATAGCCATTCTGGTGGGTTTGTGGTATTAATTTGCATTTTCCTTGGAACTAATCGTGTCGAGCATCTTTTTATATGCATGTCAGCTATTTTGTTTGTCTTTGGTGAAAGGTCTGTTTGAACCCTTTACCATTTTTAAATTTGGTCATTTGTCTTTTTTGTTGAGAGGTAAGAGTTTCTTATATATTCTGGATACTAGACCCTCATCAGATATGTGATTTGCAAATCTTTTCTCCCATTCTGCAGAGTTTTTTTCATGTCTTGGTAAAGTCCTCTGATGCACAGAAGTTTTGAATTTAGATAAATTCTAATTTATCTATTTTCCCTTTTGTCATTTCTGCTTTTAGTGCCATATATAAGAATTTATTGCCAAACCCAAGGTCATGAAGATTTATCCCTGTGTTTTCTTCAAAGACCTTTATGGTTGTGGCTCTTATATTTAGGTTGTTGAGTGGGGTAGGAGTCCAATTCCATTCTTTTGCATATAGCTATCCAGGTGTCCCAGCAAGACTGCATGTGTTTGAAAAACAGCACGAGGGCTGTGGAGTAGCATTCCCACGCTGAGCCATGGTGAGGAATGAGGTCAAACAGCCGCCAGAGGCTAGATCATATGGCTCCTTGTCGGTTAAGAAGGACTTTATATCTTATTCTAAGTATAATAGGAAGCCAGCGAGGGCTTTGAACAGGAAAGTGGCATGGCCTGATTTTTGTTTTAAAAGAGTAACTGTGACAGCTGGATGGAGTGGATGGGGGCGGGAGTGGGCAAGAGTGGAAGAAAGAAGACACCTGTCTGGGCAGCACAGAGGAGAAGTGTCAGATCTGGAAGATGCAGTGCGGGTTGAACCACCAACAGGATTTCCAGACAGATTGGCTATGGACGTGATTCCAAAGTTTGGGGCCAAGGTCGACTGCCATTTTAAACAGGGGGAGGGGACTGGAAAGGGGAATCAGAAGCCATTCAGATGTCCAGGTGGGACGACAGCAGGAGCCAGTGACATGTGTCAGGACTTAAGGAGTTCAGTGCAGATTGGAGCCCCACATACATATTTCTTAGCCTCAGAGAAATGTTTTCTAAAGCCATGGAGGTAAATGAGTAAGGGTGGCTAGAGAAGACCCTGGGACACCCTGCAGGTTAGGGGAGGAGGAACCAGCCAAGGACAGGAGGAGGTGCTGTCAACCAGGGCAGGGGAACAAAACCAGGAGGACGTGGCATCCCAGATGCCAAGGGAAGACTGTTTTAGAAGGAAGACCAGCAACTGTACCACATGCTCCTGAGGGAGATGAAGACAAAGACCTCTGGATTTGGCTGTGGGAATGTCATCACTGACTTTAAGCAATAGGGGTGAAACCTTGACCAGTGAGTGCGAGAGAGAACCAGAGGCAGTGGAGACAGTGAAAACAAACCTGAGAGGCTCACTGTCAAGAGAGGTGGAGAAACAGGGTGACGGCTGGAGCGGGTATGGGGAAAGGTGAAGGTACCTTGTCTGTGTGATTGCTTTTAAGATGGGAGAGATGGCAGTCATGACAGTGGTCCAGTGGAGGGGAAAAGGACAATGCAAGAGAGGGTAGATTGATAGTGTGAAGTCTTCAGTTGGGACGTGGAGTGGCTCCTGAGCTCGGGTGGAGAGGCTGCCTTTTGATGGGCACATGGAAAGTTCATCCAGTTGTCAGGAGGGAAGCCGGACTCATGGCTACAGTTGCTACAAATGGGAGGATCGTAGGGTGGTAGGAGGGTGTAGGAGTTCTCTTCTGATTGCTTCTGTTTTCTCAGTGAAATAAGGATTTCAGCTGAGATGAAAGGGGAGAGGATGTTGATGGTTTGAGGAGAGAAGAAATGTGAAGCTGTCCCTCAGAGAGTGGGAAATGAATTAACAAGGGAACGCTGTGGCACTGCCAGGCAGCATTGGTCCTACCAGGGGTTTGTGCTCATGAATTTACAGTAAGATCAGTGTGGTTGTGGTTTTTAACCCAGGAATCTGTGTGGGTGGGGTACAGAGTAGGCAGAGTTATATTTAACCATGGCTGAGGTTTTGCAGGGAGTGTGATGTGTAGACAAGAGTGAGGACCCAAGGGTGTGTTTACAATGACATCTAAGCCAGCCACAGCGGGGAGGCAGGATGTGAGAGGCCCCCAGGAACTGACAAGGGACTGATATGGTGGACGGGGTGCCCTGGGTGGAATGAAGCATTAAAGCCAGGGGACTAGAGGGCATAGGCTAGTAAGAGAGGCGGTGATGGCTGAGAGCAAACACTTGCAATTGAAGCTATGGAGACAGTGAATGTAGACATCGTGGCAATCTTTCGTAAAGGCCAAACGACAAATATGTTAGGCATTGCAAGCCATGGAGTCTATCACAGCTCCTCAGATCTGCCACACGGAAACAGCCAAGGACAGTACATAAATGGATAGGGATGACTGGCTCCAGTAAGATCAAATTTACAAAAATAGCAGCTATGCCACATTTACCAGTGGGCTCACTTCCACTCCCACACTGGATCTCGATGAGTGTTAATTTCTGTCCCCTTCGCTAGAGTATGTCGTGAGAGTCAGTGGCCAAGCACATGTGGAAGATAAGGTCACTAGAATATAAAGAAAGAAGGCCAAGGTCAGGGAGGCCAGGGGCATAGAGGCCAGGCGTGGGCAGAACCATCTCTGTCGGTATTAAATCACTGAAAGTTAATGTTGAAGAAGGTGACAGTTTTCCAGGATCCGGTGAAAGGAACCAAAGATGTTGGAGTTGGGAATCCAGTGATCCACACTCTAGTGAAGAGAACCGTGGTTATCAGGGCAGGTATTGGGCACATGTTTCCAAGTTTCTGAGGTTGGTTTCTGGGCACAGGGGAGGAACAGAGATCTGGAAGCAGGAATGAGGGGTCAGGAGGACTCTGCCTCACCTCCATCTAGCCCAGTGGCAGGAGGGTCGTAGGGGAGACAATGATACCACTTAAAGAGAGCTTCAGGGTTCTAGTTAAGAACAAGGAGGGGAAAGGAATGTTCAGAGAATAGACTGAAGGTAGAGAGGGTTTTGCTACTGTCAGACCATGAGAGCACAGAGGGAGGGCCTGAGAGGAAAGGCAGTGGGGCAGTGGCAGATGAGGTCAGATTAAGAGATGCTGCATTGCTGTGGCAGGTGAAGATCACAGGTAGCAAGGCCCCTGGAAGGCCATGGTGACTAAGGACAACTGAAGGTAAGGCATGACTGAATTACAGCTGGTGGGCCCCTGGGAGAGGGTGATTGGTCATTTCTGACGTTGGAATAGCTACCTTAAGCAGAATGTGATAGGTGGTGGTAGGGGTAGAAGAGTATAGGGGTGAGGGTCTCATCATGGCCTGGGGGACTATGGGGTCTCCCCCACACCCATTAGTCTTAATCTTGGGCGATGTCCAGGCCCACAGCAGGTGGTGGGCATCTTTGCCAAAGGTAGAACTTGAACTTTCTGAGGCTAAGACTGGAAAATGAATGGTTTCAGCTGATGTATTTGGTTAACAATGGACTATTTTTAGGAAAAAACACAAATGGTTTTTAAACATCAAAGTGACACAGTCTAACTCAGAATTAGAGACAAGCAAAACAGAAATCCAGGAGTCCCGTTTTTCACCTATCAGAATGAATGACGGTGATCTAGAAGTTCGATACCACATCGTGCTGGCAGGGGAGCAGGGAAACTGTTCTCCTGCCTTGTCTATTGTCTGGGAGAGTATAAAATGGTACAGTCTCTGAAATGGCATCCATTAAAATTACCTAGACTGTTTAAGCCAAAATCTTCCACTTCTAGGAGTTTATCTTTCTGACACATACAAATGGGCAACAAATACAAAGGATATTCGTTGGAACAATCTGGAAATAATCTAAACATCTGCCAGTAGAGAAGTGATTAAATAAATTATGATACATCCCCATAATTGTGCAGGTGTCAATTACCTTTTTTTTTTTTTTTTTTTGAGACGGAGTCTCGCTGAGTCACCCAGGCTAGAGTACAGTAGCTTGATCTCAGATGACTGCAACCTCTACCTCCCAGTTCAAATGATTCTCCTGCTTTAGCCTCCTGAGTTGCTGGGTTTACAGGCACCCACCACCACACCAGCCAATTTTTTTTTGTATATTTTATAGAGATGGGGTTTTACCATGTTGGCCAGGCTAGTCTCAAACTCCTGACCTCAAGCGATCCACCCTCCTCGGCCTCTCAAAGTGCTGGGATTACAGGCATGAGCCACCATGCCCGACCCAATAAGCATTTTATACAATGGGCCAGACAGTATATGATCCAGGTCTTTTGAACTTTCTAGTAACTGCTCTTCCTTGTAGCCTGGAGGCAGCCATGGACAATTTGTAAAGGAACACAACCAGAGAGCGGGCCGAATTTGTGGACCCCTGCAGCACACATTAGGCACCCACAACCGAAGGCAGTAGTGCTCGCTGCATTGGTACACAGGGTACAGTGATGAGCAGGTATGCTAAGATGCCATATTTGTGAAGTTTTTTGCTTTCTATTTTCTTAAAGCTCTTCTGCTTCTCTGTGTATCAGTTGTCTCCTGAAGGGTAAGCAAGTCATTCATACCAATGCTTGCCATTAGGGAGTGGGAGGGGAGTTGAGGGTGGGCGGTGAGTGAGGTCAGGTTATTGCTGTGAGGGAAACAGGGTCAGGAATGTGCAGGGAGGCTCAACCTTTGTACTACTGGGATTTCTGCTGTGGGCGTGTGTAGATCTTCCAAAGGTAACCAAGGAAACAATAAAAGCCATGCTATTTATTGAGCTCCTGCTGTGTGCCAGACATTGGCAAAGGCGTGGGGATCTAACAGAAGAAAGCAGGCAGGTTCCTAACTTTGTGGGAGTGGTCTGGCAGTTCCAGGGAAGTGAGGGAAAGGGTCACTCAGCCTTCAACACGTACACACGTGACTGCTTTGGGGAGTCTCTGTGCCTCCTAGTCTGATGTGGACCTTTGCATGAGCTGCCCCAGCCTCTGTTTGTCCCCATTTTTCCTACATTGTCATCCAGTGGCCTATGTCTTCCACACCTGGGGGAGTGGGCGTCTTATGGACAGAGACCATGTCTCAGTTATTTTGGTTCCCCAGCACCCAGCATAGAACCTAGTTCCTGATCTCAGAGGCCCCTCAGAACTATCTAATGAATGGAGGAGCGGCCCTGACTTCAAGGGCTCCCGGAGCTGTGACAATCAGGGATCCGCAGATACTGGGGACCCTCAGGAACATGGCAGGACTCAAGCAGGGAAGATGGTTGTGAGCCGGGGGCCAGAGTCTCTGTTGGAGATGGGCAGAGCTGGGGGGGTTGTGTAGGGCATTGTCAGGAGGCAGCAGTGCTGAGTGAGGCAGCCTCTGCTGCGTGACAGTTTGAGGCATGGAAGAGAAGAACAGCCTCTGCCCGAGAGGGTTTCCAAGGAGACCAAACTGGGGGAGTCAGGCGAGTGGCCAGGCTGTGAGCAAGGGATGCTACAAACCAGTGGGCTCCTTGTCGAACCTGAGCCTGACTACACCGGCCCCGTGAGAGCTATCTCTGGCTGTGTGCCCTTAGGGAGATTGCGTTAGTTCCCTGAGTATCACTGTGCTCATTCAACAGCATTCATTTCTCAAACATTTATGGAATGCCATCAGCTAGACCAGGAATGATATTTACCTCATCATTGGACTCCAGCCACGGGGTTGCATGCCTTCCATTTGGTATTAATATCTCATTATCCTCACAAGTCCCATTTTACAGATATGAAAACTGAACTCAAATAAGTAACTAGCCCAGGGTCATCATTGCTGGTAAATGCCAGAGCTGAGAAGCAAACCTAGATCCAACTGGTAAAGTCCTAGGTACCATCACGCCCCCTCCAAAGAGGGGAATGGGACTCTGCCATGCTTCTATTGAGCACAGAATGGGGACCTGGTCCCCAACCCCTTGCACTTGGAGACATTCAACCCTTGTTGTTTTTTCTCTCCATCCCTAATCTGTGTTTTCCAGGATATCATCCCCTTTGGCAACAACCCCATCTTCCGCTACCTCTTTGGCTGGCTGGTGCCTCCCAAGATCTCCCTCCTGAAGCTGACCCAGGGTGAGACCCTGCGCAAGCTGTACGAGCAGCACCACGTGGTGCAGGACATGCTGGTGCCCATGAAGTGCCTGCAGCAGGCCCTGCACACCTTCCAAAACGACATCCACGTGAGTGGGGCAGGGCAGGGAGGGCGCATCAGGCACATTCCCTTGGAATCCATGGTCTCCTCCCCTGAAACGTGTGACTGACCTTGGGCACACCTGCCCTCTGGGCCACAGTTTTTCCAACTTTAAGATGAGACCCTTGTCCCTATCCCTACTGAGGCCTCAGCCCACTCAGCGATGGCCCCCCGGGAGAAGAGTCATAGGGCCTGACAGCGAGCACTCCCATGACCTGCTCCAGTTGTGTCCTCCAGGGTAGTGGAGTCAGGGTGTTTTTAGCCAGGGCTGGGGGGTAGGGAGTGAAGCCAAGAGCACCTTGTGGGGGTGGTCTTGAGAATGCTGCAAAACCATTTGGGTGGGTATGAGCGGGCCAGCCATGAGCCTGTTACCTGTTGGAGAAAAAGTACCAATACCTATCTCCTTGGTCTACCCAGGTCTACCCCATCTGGCTGTGTCCATTCATCCTACCCAGCCAGCCAGGCCTGGTGCACCCCAAGGGAAATGAGGCAGAGCTGTACATTGACATTGGAGCATATGGGGAGCCGCGTGTGAAACACTTTGAAGCCAGGCCCTGCATGAGGCAGTTGGAGAAGTTTGTTCGCAGCGTGCATGGGTGAGTGGCCCAGAGTGTAGTGTGGTCCCTCTAACTGAGAGCCCCAGGGGAGTGAGGCCAGCTCTGTCAAGAATAGGAGCCCCAGGCCTAATGAACTGCTTCCTCAGGGCCCCTGGAGCTGTGGCAGCCTCTGGGTCAGGAGGTGAGTTGTGAAAGCTGGGCAGGGTGGACTTGCAGGACCACTTGCCCTCTTTTCCCTGCACCCCCTCCTCCAGTGAACACATCACCCCTCCCAGCGGCTCAAGCCAGAAATGGGAGTCACCCCACTCACCCCCATGGGACAGGTCATAGGTGTGGGCTTAGCTGTGTCCAGGGCCGACTGCTCCAGATGGAAAGGCCAAGGCTAAGGAGAGTGGGATTCCTGACTGTGAAAACCACGGAGAGGCCCAGGACAGAGGCTTGCCCAGAAACAGCCTGAATAAACTATGGAGTGGAACACAGACAAAGCCAGGAGAAAAGAATACCGTATGATTCCTTTGATAAAAGATTCCCAAAAACACACCTGAATCCATACTAACAGAAAGCACATCAGTAGTTGCCTTGGTGGTAGCAGAGGAAGATGGATAACCAAGTGTGGGGCTGATGGATATAGCCACGATCTGGACTGCAGTGACTGCTTACCTGTGTCGAGCTTATCCAGTTGTACACTTTAAATGTGTGTAGCTTATTGAAAGTCAATAACAATGAAAGGAAAACAGCCCCATCAGGGAGGCACCTTTGCCTTTGGCCAAGCAGAGGGGCAGAAGCCCAGCAGTCTGAGTTCTACTCCTGACTCTGCCTCCACTGCTAAGCTACCTAACCCCCAAGCCCCAATTCCCTACCTGCAAAAGGGGGATAAGAATTCCTGCACCATCTTCTTCACCAGGTTAAGGGGGTTAAACAAGGGAAACTTCCAAAACCCCTTTCTGAGCTTCAGAGCGAGCGGAGGGTTTCTCTTACACCTCACGCTCCACGCGTCTCCTGACGTCCTCACCTGCTTCTCTGCCTCTGCAGCTTCCAGATGCTGTATGCCGACTGCTACATGGACCGGGAGGAATTCTGGGAGATGTTTGATGGCTCCTTGTACCACAAGCTGCGAGAGAAGCTTGGTTGCCAGGACGCCTTCCCCGAGGTGTATGACAAGATCTGCAAGGCCGCCAGGCACTGAGCTGGAGGCCGCCTGGAGAGACCGATACATGTGAGTGGTCAGGCATCTTCCTTTCACTGGAGATTGGCTGCTTTCCCAGATCCACGCCTTCAGAGAGAAACCCCTCCAGAAATCCCCCCATGACAGCCCAACACCACCTTCCTCCTGGCTTCCAGGGGCAGCCCAGTGGAATGGAAAGAATGTGGGGTTTGGAGGCAGACAAGCCTGAGTCCAGTTCCCCGTTTAGAACTCAGCTGTGTAACTCTGGGTGAGTCCCTTAAACCCTCTGAGCCTGGGTCTCTCCATCAGTTGAAGGGGATAGTAATACCTACCTGCAGGTTGTCATCTGAGTTGAGCACCAGTCAACTCAATTGCAGGTGCTGGGTAAGTGCTAGCTCTTGTTGCTTCCCATTCAGCTTCACATCTGCAGTGGAGTCTGAAAAGGCTCCACGTCAGGTCACCTGTGCGCAGCCATGGGCCATGGCTGGAATGATGAAGGGGATGCCCTGGAGTTTCCCTGCCATCGCCTCCATCAGCCAGACGAGCCTTCACAGGAGGAGGACAGCTATTCCCCACCCTGGAGTCTCAGGAGGGCAGCCATGGGGCAGGGAGGCCCAAGATGTGCTGTGCCAAAGCCAGGTCTGAGGCCAAAGTTCTCCTCGCCTTGGTGCCATCCTGCCCCTTCCTACTCTATGCCGCAGCCTGCAGGCCCAACCCAACCACCACTGAGTCCACTCGGAGGGGCCTGTGTTCCTGGAGAAGGCATTCCAGGGTTGAATCCTGCCCTAGCCTCAGTCTGGGACACCTAAGTGGAGAGAGTGGTCTGCGCTCTGAATTGGATCCAGGGGACCTGGGCTCATTCTTGGCTCACCAACGCTGCTGGCCTCATCTTGTACCAAAACCCACTTTGTCTTGGTGGGAATGGGTCTATGCTGCTCTGCAGCATGGGGGCTGGGGAGTGGACAGCATCAAGTAGGAAAATGGAGTCCACCATCATGTTTCTGTGGGATTCTCACTGTGGGGCTGGAAGAAAAGAGCATCAGCTTGATTTCTCCAACCACTCATCTCTCTTTTTTCTTTCTCCCACCACTCCCCACCCCAGCTGTAGTTAATTTCAGTGCCTTACAAATCCTAAGCTCAGAGAAAAGTTCCATTTCCGTTCTAGAGGTAAAGGAACCTCCCTAGGTCCTTCCCCTGCTTGTTATAACTGAAAGCTTGGTTGTTTATGCAACTCCGTCTTAAGAACTGCCCAGCCTCAGCTGAAAACCCGAATTTGAGAAGGAATTGTCATGTAAGGGAAGCTGGAATTAAGGGAGCTGAGCCAGTCATGGTTGTGAGGTGTGAGTCGGAAGACCTAGGTTTCAGTCCCTCCCTACCGTCAGCGAGCTGTGCAAGGTGGGCAAGTCCTTTGTCCTCTGAGCTGCGGTTTCCTCATCTATCACATTGCTGCAGACAAGACCTCCCTGGAACCCTTCTGATTGTCTTAGATACTGTGGTTGCAAAACCTATGGAAAGCCTCATTTGGGTGGACAGTCAGAGGAAAAATAAATGATCCAGTGAACACTTGGGGGTTATCTGTCATTCGAGATCCATCCTTCAGCCCCAAGGCCAGCTCCCATCTCGTTTTCAGAAAGGCTTATACCTGGCTTGCAGGGAAGCATCTGCCTTGTCATTCCCACAATCCTCTTAGAGTCACGCTTTGACTGAATAGTGTTCACCCATCCTTCCCAAGGCTTGGCACACTGCTAGTGTCTGAGCACAGTCCTGTGAGGGCTGGGGGCATTAAGGCACTCAGAAGGCAAAGGAACCACCCAACCCATTTGGCTTCTGGAGGAAGCAGAAGGAAAAAGCAAACCTCATTCTCTATTTTGCAAAGCATGTGAATTCTGGCATTAGTTCTCATAGGAGACCCATGTGCTTCCTTGCTCGGTGCAAAACTGATGATTCTACTTGTTATGGATGAATGGTTAACACGAGCTAGTTAATCCAACAGTGCCATTGTTTTGCCAGTGGAGCCCCCATCCCTAAGCCACTGGGACTGTGGCCAGAGATGCCAGCAACCTCAGTCACTCTTAGTCATGTAACCAAAATCCAGACCTTACCCACAACCTGGGGCTTGGAAGGGAAGGTATTTTGGAGTCACACCCTCAGGTTAATGTTGCTCCAGTAAAGTCTTGCCTGGAAAGAGGCAGTCTTAGCATGGTGAGCTGAGTTCATGGCTTTGTTTTTTTTTTTTTTGTCGCCAGTCCTGTCACTAGCCATCCATGTGATAGTTTTGGGTGGAGTTAAACTTGTCCCAGGGGGCAGTGCATGTGGAAAGTATCAGAGTAAACCTCTCCCCTCCAGAGCCCTGAGTTTCTTGGCTGCATGAAGGTTTTCTGTAAAATCAGAATTGTAGCCAGTTTATTTGGCCAGAAGGATGAATAATTGGATATTACTGAAAGGAGGGGTGGGGATGGGTGTGGCAGTGTATGGTGTGTGCTTTTGTTTTCTTCTTTGGTCATGGGGACCAAGGAGAAAGGCATGAGTCTCCCCTATTAGGCTCTTGCAGCCACAGGCACTGTGTCTACTGTCTGGAACACAGGACCTCATGACTGTGAGGCTGCTGCTTCTGTTAAAATAAAAGTATGGCCTAGAAGCTGGTGTTTGTCATTTCTTGTTTGGGGGACCAAAATGTGTTGTCAAATATGGGCTCCAATGCAGGCTGTGCCATTCCCCAACTGAGTTGCTCTCACTGAACCCATGAGCCCAGGGGCAAGGGCTAGAAGAACAAGTTTGTTTCTATCACCATCAGGGTGTGATTAGAGGATGTGTCGAAAGGACCCCTCTATGTGCACAGTGGTAAGCAGACCAGTGAGAAGGCCACCACTGAAGTCCAGGTGATAGATGATAGTGGCAGAGGCCTGGCTTTGTCACTTGGTTGTGGCCAATTTCAGCAAGTTAGTAAATCCTGTTGAGACTACTGTCCTCATCTACAAACTGGTGGACCCACTAGCTATCCACTAAAATGCATTCTTCCCTTCTTTGGACACACAGACTACTAGCCTTTCCTAGCCTTCCTTACAGTCAGTTGTGTCCTTGTGTTGGGAGTTTTCCAGTGGAATGTAAACAAAAGTCATAAAAATCTATATGAGGTCTCCTGGCACTCCCCTCCCCTCAGTGCAAATGACAAGCCATAGGTGGTAGGAGAGTCTTACATCAGAAGGAACCTGGATTGCTCAGTCGCTGCAGGAGGAGTGCTTATGGCCAGTTCAAGACCAAGCCTGAACAACATAGTGAGACCCGTCTATAAAAAATTTTTAGAAAATTAACTAAGAATGATGGCAAGTATCTGTAGGCCCAGCTACTCTGGAGGCTGAGACAGGAAGATTGCTCCAGTCTAGGAATTTGAGGCCAAGGTCAGCTAGGATCGTTCCACTGCACTCCAGCTGGGGTGACACCAAACGAGACCCTGTCTCAACATATAAGGCATTATCTGGGCTGGTTCCTGAGAGCCCAACCCAGAGCTCCTTGTTTTGCTGGGCTTAGGTTCTAGACTGGACAATCTGTATGTTGCTGCTCCCAATTCTAAATCTGAATCTTAGCAGCAGCTGCCTTACAAGCCTCAAGCCATGGGCCTGGCATCTATGAGAGGAAGCAAGAGGGCCACCTGAGGGGCCATGGCTTGGTTTAGCAACTTTCTTACAAGAGGGTGTCAGGAATCTGTTCACTGCCTGACCTCTTGGAAGCTGAAAGTAGAAGAGAACTCACATGTGTGTCCTTGGAACTTGTAGTAATCTCACCGGCAGACCTGAAGTCTGATCTATCTTGGAGGAGGGGTGAGAAAGGTGTTTATGGGAGGGGGTCAGTGGTGTGCTGTGTCTGGCTTGTACCAGCTTACAGGGGTCATCATGCACGCCTTCCACTTCCATGTTCAGTGACATTGGCAGCCTGAAATTACCCACAGCAGGAGCATTTTCACCACAGAAATTAGCAGCACTACAAATCAGGGCTTGTTTTGTTGTCTGTTGCATTAATCGGTGTTCTCCAGAGAAACAGAACTAGTAGGAGATACACACACACAGGCATGCATCACTTAACACCGAGGATAAGTTCTGAGAAATGTTTCGTTAGGTAATTTCATTATTGTGTGAATATCATACAGTGTAGTTACACAAACCTAGATGGTACAGCCCACTACGCACCTAGGCTATATGGGATAGCTTATAGCTTCTAGGCTGCAGACCTGTAAACCATGGTACAGTACTGAATACTGTGAGCAATTATAAGACAATGGTAAGCACTTGTATATCTAAACGTAGAAAAGGTACAGTGAAAATACAGCATTATAATCTTATGGGTTCACCATTGTATGTGCCATCTGTCATTGACTAAAATGTTGTGCATCACATGACTGTATGGAAAGGCAGACACCTGCAGAGACAGAGAAATAGACTTATTACAAAGTACTGGTTCATGTGATTATGGAGGATAAGAAGTCCCAAGATCTACAGTAGTCAAGTAGATACCCAGGAAACCCAGCGATGTAGTTCCAATCTGAGTCCAAAGGGCTGAGAACCAGGAGAGCCAATGGTGCAGGTTCCAGTCCAAAAGCTGGTAGGCTCCAGACCCTAGAAAAGCCCATCTTTGAGTTGAAGTCTGAAGGCAGGAAAAGCCTGATGTCCCAGTTTAAGCACTCAGGCAGGAGGAGTTTCCTCTCATTCAGTCCTTTTGTTCTGTTCGGGTCTTCAGTTGATTGGATGAGGCCCACCTGCATTAGGAAGGGCAACCTGCTTTGCTCAGTCTGATTCAATGTTAATTTCTTCCAGAAACACCCTCACAGACACACCCAAGATAATATTTGGTCACATGTCTGGGCACCCCATAGCCCTGTCAAATTGACACATAAAATTAACCATCACAGGCTTTGTTTTGTTTTGAGAGACAAACATTTACCAGCATACCACCTAGCAGAGACCTCTCCTAATAAGCCCTCCAAATCCAAGCTTAGTAGGAAAGATGGCTCCTGCACCCTGGCTCTGGCCTCAGTATATTCACCTCTCAGGCTTCTGAACCTTCTACATCTCTACAATTATTCCCCACTTCCTTGTTCATCCATTCTCATTATTAGTGAACCCCCATTCCCTGGCTAATGCTGCAGCAGGTCCAGGAAAAGGGAGTGGGTCCACCAAACCTGGAAACAGGTATAAACTTTCTGAGAAGGAGGAGCTCCAAGGGTCAAGCTGGAGAAGGTGAAACTGCCTTCAGGGCCAAAGGACTGTGGCAGGGTCTGAGCCCATGGGACCTGGGCTTGCTCAGGCCCAGGACAGGCATCGAGCAACCCACAGCGATGAGGATGGGAGGACCTGAGCTTTGAACAAGGGGAGCTTCCCAGAGCTGTGACCAGGGATGTTGTGGCCTCAAGGTAAAAAGCCAAAGACAGCACAGTACCCTATTCATGGTGGTCAGAACCATCACCCTTAGGTATTGATAAGAACCTAACACAGCAAAGTCCCATTCTTTAACAATGTTTGCTAAAACAACCACCGTGCAACTAGTGTAAACTTGTTCCTCCTATGGGCTTCAGCTTCTTGTAAAGTGAGCAGCTATGCCAGCCATGCTTCACCTTGCCAAGGCATTGCAGATGACCCGCCGCCCGTGCCCACTAGCTGATCTTCAGAACCTGGTTGCAGCAAGACTGCCTACCTGTGATGCCCACTCGTTACCTGTGGTCCATGTTGCAAGGTGGCGCTGAAGGCATAGTAAGAACCTGGATGTTAAGTCTGGTGGCATGGCTTATAAAAGGCTATCTTTGGCCTGCTCAGGGCTTCCCACAACCTGGCAGCATCTCACACTGGAGTGGGAGAGATCACTACCCTCCTGAGCAAGCAGGGGGGTGCTAGAGCCTGATGTTTTACTTTTATAAGATTTATGTGCTGGAGTGTTCATCCCAGTCACCTGCAGGACCACTTCAAGAGACTGAAGGAGAATGTGGTGGTGATTAAATATTCATTTAATTTTTGGCTGTAGAGCTCTTTTTCCGCAAACAAAGCTTTTAGGGAAAGTCCAATATATAATGAACATGTAGCTACTTTGAGACAAGCTGGATGAGGCCAGGAGTCCAGCCTCCTGGCCCACCCCTGTGCCCTCCTTCCCCAGGGATTGCTGGAAGCCCCAGCAGAGCCCTGCTAACAAACTGCAGAACTCCATGACCTCTTACAGCCCTGCCCAGCCAGGAGGACAAAGGTCAAAACAAGCTAGATTTCAGCTCAACATCCAAAGGACCCTTTTACAATCAATCATAGCTGCCCTGCACTGGGAGGGCACTGCCTGCCACTGGGAAGGTGTGCAAGGAGAGGCTAGACAGATGTAGTTACTGTCACAGAGCAGAGCGGTGGTCACCAAATGAGGTTCCAAAGCCCAGGGTGTAACAGCACGATGATCCATCGGGATGCCTGAAAAAATGTTAGTGTTTGTCTTGGTTTGGGTTTTCCTAGAAGCCAACCCTAAGACAAGGGTTTGAATGCAAGCAGTTTATTTGGGAGGTGAAGAAAGCACCAGTAGGGGATGGGGAAGGGATGATAGCCAGTAATGGGTTCATTCTCAAGCAGGTTACCACTGGGGGCCACTGAAGTATAACTGCACTGGGAAAACTGGAAACCAGTGTAAAACATGCATTTCAAAGGTACCTCCCACAAGGGGTGAGGGATATATACCAACTTCCCTCAGTGAGAGCGCTGTGGAGTCCCTAGCACTTCTAGCCCTCCAAAGGCAGCAAAGCCGGCTGTGGTATCCAGAGAGCCTTTTGCTCCATTATAGATGAGTGTCCCTCCTCAGCACACATTATTTTTGTAACACACATGAACTCATTCTTATCTCATGGCAAAATATTTTAAAAGAATTACTTAATTTAAAGTTGTGGCCAGGGGCCAGAGTGGTGCCTCATACCTGTAATCCTAGCACTTTGAGAGGCTGAGGCTGGTAGGAGTTTGAGGCCAGCCAAAACCCCATCTCTACTAAAAATACAAATATAACTGGGCGTGGTGGCTCATCCCTGTAGTCCCAGTTGCTTGGGGGACTGAGGCATGAGAATTGATTGGATCTGGGAGGCAGAGGTTGCAGTGAGCCAACAACGTGCCACTACACTCCAGCCTGGGGGACAAAGCAAGACTTTGTCTCAAAAAAAATAAGTTGTGGCCAGCCTCAGTGGTTCATGCCTATAATCCCAGCACTTAAGGAGGCCAGGGTGGGAAGACTGCTTGAGCCCAGGAGTTTGAGACCAACCTGGTTAACATAGCAAGACCCCATCTCTTAAAAATACAAAAACATTAGCCAGGCATGGTGGTGCAGCCTATAGTCCCAGCTACTTGAGAGGCTGAGAGGTGTGAGCATTGTTTGAGCCCAGGAGATGAGACTGTACTTAGCCATGATCACGCCACTGCACTCCTGCCTGGGCTGGACACAGCAAGACCCTGTCTCAATAAATAAACAAAGTGGTTACACAGGTTTCTCTTATAAAAATGCAAGCATTACAAATTTGCTGACCTTCTCTCTTTTTTTGTTTTTTTTTTTTGTTTGTTTTGTTTTTTGAGATGGAGTCTCGCTCTATCACCCAGGCTGGGCTGCAGTGTAATGGCTCAATCTCGGCTCACTGCAACCTCCGCCTCCTGGGTTCAAGCAATTCTCCTGCCTCAGCCTCCTGAGTAGCTGGAATTACAGGTGCCTGCCACCACGCCTGGTTAATTTTTGTTTGTTTGTATTTTCAGTAGAGACGGGGTTTAATTTTTCTTTTGTATGTTTAGTAGAGATGGGGTTTCACCATGTTGGCAAGGCTGGTCTCGAACCCCTGACCTCAGGTGATCTGCCTGCCTTGGCCTCCCAAAGTGCTGGAATTACAGGTGTGAGCCACCATGCCTGGCCTTGCTGACCTTCTCTGCAGTGAAAGTGACTGTCTATAACAGCCGACAGACATATTTGAGCAAATGTATTTATTTTGGAAGATAAACGGTCTCTCTAAAAAGTTGTATTGCATATATTTTAACTTGTTTAATTACTTTTATATTTATTTGTAATTAATTCTACAGAAAAGTTGCAGTGGTAGTACAGCAATTCCCGTCACCTGCCTTCCCCTGATGTTAACATCTTCTACATGAACTGAGATAGTTGTACCATTTTACATTTCCACCAGCAGTGTATGAGAGTTCCACATCCTCACCAACACTTGGTATGGTCAGTCTTTTTAATTTTAGCTATCCTAATAGGTGGGTAGTGGTCTCTCATTGTGGCTTTAATTTGCATTTCTTTAATGACTAATGACATTGAGTTTATTTTCATGTGCTTATTTGCATCCGTATATATTCTTGGTAAAGTGTCTGTTACATCTTTTATACATTTTTTATTTTGATGTTTCTTATTGAGATATATATGAATTCACATATATATTCTGGACATAACTCCTTTATTACAGCGGTCCCAGCCTTTTTGGCACCAGAGACTGGTTTCATGGAAGACAGTTTTTCCACAGATCAGGGTGGGGTGGGACGGGGCAGCAGGGAAGTATGGTTTCAGGATGAAACTGTTCTACCTCAGCTCATCAGGCATTAGTTATATTCTCATAAGGAGCACGCAACCTGGATCCCTCACATTTGCCGTTCACAATCGGGTTTGGCTCCTGTGAGAATCTAATGCCAAGGCTGATCTGACAGGGGGCGGAGCTCACCCACTGCCCACCTTCTACTGTGAGCTCACCCACTGCCCACCTTCTACTGTGAGCTCACCCACTGCCCACCTTCTACTGTGAGCTCACCCACTGCCCACCTTCTACTGTACCGCCTGGTTCCAAACAATCTCTGGGGAAGGAGGGCACAGGGGCTGGCCAGAGGGCTGGACTCCAGCCTCACCCAGCTTGATTCAAAGTAGCTCCATGTTTTATATTGGACTTTCCCTAAAAGCTTTTGTTTGAGGAAAAAGAAAAAAAGAGTTCCACAGCCAAAAAAAAAAATAATAAATGCTTCATAACCACCAAATTCCACTTCAGTTTCTTGAAGTGGTCCTGCAGGTGATTGGGTTGAACACTCTGGCACGTAAATCTGAAAAAAGTAGCATCAGGTTCTCAGTACCTTTCTGGTCGCTCAGGAGGGAGTGATTTTTCCCAATCTTAACGTCAGGTTCTCAGTGTGTCTTCAGCACCCCCTTGAAACAAGGACCACAAGTAACAGAAGTGAGTGGGCGTCACACGTAGGCAGTCCTGCTGCAACCAGGTTCTGAGGATCAGCTAGTGGGCATGGGCAGCTGGTTGTCTGCAATATGTTGGCAAGGTGAATAAAGATGGTTTTTCTTCTTCAGAAACTATTGTTTTGACACAGGTGAAAAACTGCTTTTTGGGGTTTTTGGGGGTTTTTTGAGACAGAGTTTTGGTCTTGTTGCCCAGGCTGGAGTGCAATAGTGTAATCTTGACTTGCCGCAACCTCAGCCTCCCAGGTTTCAAGGGATTCTCCTGCCTCAGTGTCCCAAGTAGCTGGGATTACAGGCATGCGCCACCATGCCCGGCTAATTTTGTATTTTTAGTAGAGATGGGGTTTCTCCATGTTTGGTCAGGCTGGTCTCGAACTCCCGACTTCAGGTGATCCACCCACCTTGGTCTCCCAAAGTGCTGGGATTATAGGCATGAGCCACTGTGCCCCGCCTTTTGAAAAACTGCTTTTTGTAAGACACTCGTGCACTGAAGAAAGTGTTTCAAGTATTTTTTTTTTACCATTATGTGAGCTTTGTGGACGAGGTTGTAGTATCCCAGTGTCCTCTAGGGACAACCTGCTCCCATTCTCACTGACATAAAACAGTGAGGGAAGGGGGCCTACAAGGGCTGACTCAGGGATGAAGCCAATGTTCCCCATGGCTGGACATTGCTTGAGATCAGCAGTTTCCTCATCAGTGAGGCCCTGCGAAGCATCCAGAAGCATCCTGGGATGGTGATGGGGGGCTCCTGGAGAGTCCTAGAACTGCTGTATAATAAATGCTACACTCTCCCACCACTTTCTGAACTTTAATAAACAAGGAGCCAAGCACTCTGGCTTTAGAATAGAAAGGGTCCCACAAGTGTCCACCACATCCCATCCCTTCAGTCCAGCTGCTATCTGGCCCCCATGTTCACGTCACTGGCTGAGTTGAGTTCTCAGGATAATTGATCTCCTGCAACAAGATATCTGCCCCCAGCTGTCCCGGAAGACACTGTGACCTTCAGGTATACAGCTCCAGCAAAGGTGATCTCCACAAGTCTCTCCCCTCTCCCAGGCACTCTTGTGTCTCCTTTCCCTAAAACCCCCCACTCCCACACCCATGCTTTCCCATGCCCATACTCTCACCCCCAGAATTGTTTTCAGGCCTTTGGGTTCTCTGGTCACTGCGAGCTGTCCTTCACATGTGGCTTTAAGGAGTGGGATCTGAATTGTAATCCACAGTTGGAGGGCACTTCCCCTTAGCAATTGGTGTGATCCTTTCCCTTTAAAAAGAGAGAGAAATTAAATATGGAAATGATCCTTTGGAGGGGAGCAGCCTCCTTATCCCTGGAGGGACACCCATAGGGGATGAACAGGTACCTGTTGGTTATGCTTCACAGAAGATCCTACATTGGTGAGAGGCCAAAATTGATGACCTCTAGACCTTTACAACAAAACAGATTCTAAAGATGAGATTCCACCAATTCACACCCAGTTCAGCTCATTAAAGCACCCAAGTTGGCTTGTAAGCACTTCAGGTATAAAATCATAGTGCCTAGAAGATCATCTAACCCAACCCTGAGAGGAAGACCAAGGGTCAGAGAGAGGAGGGAACCTACCTGAGGGCACCTGAAGGCCAGCATCAAGGCCTCAGCCTCCCATCCCATGAGCCCTTTGAAGATGGCACTTCCCTAAGAACCCTTTGCTGTGTGTGTCAAAGAGCATCTGCCAGCCCTTACATTACACACTTTATGTATCTGCTTGTTGTCTGTCCTTCCCAACAAGACGTGAACTCCATGAATGCACAACTTGGATTTCTTCATCAGTATTTCCCCTACACCTAGATCGTTACCTGTGCTTAACAAATATTTGTCAAAGGAGGGCGGACTCACCAGGGTGAAAGGGGTCTTTCCCACCATCCAGTGGGTTTCCATGCCTCCTGTCTCTCTACTCCTTGCCATGCCCATGGCCCCTGGCCTGGCACTGTGCCTCATTTCTCATCTCCACCATTGAGGCAGCCTCCTTGTCTCTGTCCCCATAAAAATCCATAATACCATAAGCATGCTTTTTTTTTTAAACATCAGAATTACTTCCCATTAAAATCCTTCTGGATATCTGGGATAAAATACTTGCAAAACACATATCTGATAAAGGACTTATGCCTAGAATATCTAAAGAACTCAGAGCTGAATATAAGAAACCAAGCAGCCCATTTGTTTAAAATGTGCAAAAGATTTGAAAACACTTCACCAAAAGAAGACATCAGAGGATGCATATGAAAAGATCCTCAAAATCTTGTCACTAGAGAAATGCAAATTCAAACCATGATGAAATATACTATTAGAATGGCTAAAAGTAGAAAAGAAAAAAACCCTGACAATACCAAGTGCTGGTAAGGATGCAGAACCATTAGACCCCTCACACATTGCTGGTGGGAGTACAAAATGGGCCAGCCATTTCGAGATAGTTCAGCAGCTTCTTATAAAGTTATATACACACCCACAAAATGACCTAGAAATCCTATTCCTAGATATTTACAGGAGAGAAATAAATACATGTCTACGTGAAGACCTGTAACGTAACTGTTTATAGCAGCTTAATTAAAAATTCCCCAAACTGGAAACAATCCAAAGGTCCCTCAACTTGAGAATGGATAAACAAACTGTGTCACAACCTTACAATGCAGTCCAACTCAGTGTTAAAAAGGAACGAACTACAGATACGCACAACAGCATGGCCAAATCTCAAGAGCATCATGTAACAAAAAAGTAAAAGATACAAAATTCTACACACAGATGACTCCACTTATATAACATTCTGGAAAAGCCATAACTCCAGGGATGGTAAAGTTGCCAGGGGCCAGTGGGAGGAGTGGACTGACTACAGATAGCACAAAGGGGATAAGAATATTCTAGATCTTGCCTGTGGTGATATGCATGACAACTACATGCATTTGTCATAGAATCGGGCTGGGCATGGTGGCTCATGCCTGTAATTCCAGCACTCTGGGTGGCTGAGGTTGGTGGATTGCTTGAACTCAGGTGCTCAAGACCGGCCTGGGCAGAATGGCAGAAGCAATTTTCTACAAAAATTTAAAAATTAGTTGGGCGTGGTGGTGCACAACTGTTGTCTCAGTACTTGGGAGGCTGAGGTAGGAGAACTGCTTGAGCCCAGAAGGTGGAGGCTGCCGTGAGCCGTGTTCACACCCCTGCACTCTAGCTTGGGTGATAAGAGTGTTCACCCTATCTCAAAAAACAACAAGACCTCATAGAATTGTATACCTAAAGAGAATGACTTTTACTGCATGTGAGTTATACTATAATAAATTCAACTTTAAGCCAGGCACAGTGGCTCATGCCTGTAATCCTAGCACTCTGAGAGACTAAGGAGGGTGGATCACCTGAGGTCATGAGTTTGAGACCAGCCTGGCCAACATGGTGAAAACTCATCTCTACTAAAAAAATACGAAATTAGCCGGGCATGGCAGTGCATGACTGTAATCCCAGCTACTAGGGAGGCTGAGGCAGGAGAATCACTTGAACCCAGGAGGCAGAGGTTGCAGTGAACCTAGATCGTGCCATTGCACTCCAGCCTGGGCAGCAGAGAAAAAAAAAAAAAAAAACTCCATCTCGAAAAAATATGTTCATAAATAAATTGAACTTTTAAAGAATACTGTGGCTTCTCACATTCAGTCTAAGCAGTTTAGCTATGCATTCCAGGCCTCTAAGGACTGACGGAACCACCTCTCCTGCCTTATTCTCCACTATTCCCTTCTACACCCCACACATATCATTCAAAATGGGCCATTCAGTATTTCCCAGATATGCCCTGAACTTTTTGCTTCCTTTCCTTCACTCATGCTCTTCCTTCTGTCCTATTTTTTTTCTCCTCCCTGGAAGAAGAAAACCCTTGAGGAAAGAACACAGCTTGGAGCCAGTTGGACTAGAGATCCAATCCTATTCTGAGACTGTACTAGACAGAGAGCAAAAATGGCCCAGGCCTCCGCAGCTCCTTGTATTGGAGCCCTTTCCAATGTAACTTCTCAGCCTCTCCCATCACAAGGCAGAGTCCACTTCCCCTCCCCTTGAATCTGGGCTGGCCGTGGAACTTCCTTTGACCAACAGAATGTGGTAGAAATAATGGTGTGGCATTCTGAGCCTGGGCTGCAAAAGGCTTTGCACACTTCCTCACTCAAACTCCAGCCTCCTCCATGGCGACAAGCCTGGGCTACCCTGCTGAAGGCTGGAGTCCATGTGGAAGAGAGTCTGGTTGTTCCATCCAAGAACATCCCAGACCAGCCAGCCTCCAGCCAACCCACAGACTCATGAACAATAACAAATGGCTATTGTTTTAAGCCACTGAGTTTTTGGGTGGTTTGTTATGTAGCAATAGCTAACTGCTACAGTCAGTAACTCGCTGTGGCCCTAGAACGTTACTCAGTGTCCTCGTCTAGATAATAAAGGCAATACTACATACTTCACATGGCTTTGTGATGTCCATGAGAGATGATTTTTTTAAATTTATTTTTTTAATTTTTTTTTAATTGAGATGGAGTCTCACTCTGTCTGTCACCCAGGCTGTCTGTCAGAGTGAGATGGAGTCTCACTCTGTCTGTCACCAGTGCAGTGGTGCAATCTCAGCTCACTGCAACCCTTGCTGCCTGGGTTCAAGTGATTCTCCCGCCTCAGCCACCCTAGTAGCTGGGATTACAGGCACTTGCCACCATGCCCAGCTAATTTTTGTATTTTTAGTAGAGACAGGGTTTTGCCATGTTGGCCAGGCTGGTCTTGAACTCCACACCTCAGTTGATCTGCCTGCCTCAGGCTACCAAAGTGCTGGGATTACCAGTGTAAGCCACCGCACCTGGCCAAGAGATGATGTTTATATGGACCTGCGTATAGTTCCTGGCACACAGTCAACCTTTGATTAACAGTCATTATTGCCCTTCCAAGCCCACCTCTTATCCAGCTTTTGAGAACCAGATCAAATGCCACTTCTTCCAAGCAGCCTTCCCTGCTTGGAAGGCTCCAAATTCAATGTAATACTTACCTCCTCTGAACTCCCACAGTACTTGCCCTCTCCCCATCCAATACACTCTATCCTCAACTAGAAGCAATTTGGAAAAACAGCCATAGCCTTAAACGTAGGTATCCATTACAGATGTATACTCAAAGCCAGAAAAAGATGAAATGATCTGTATAGGAGAGGGAGAGAAAGTCTGTTCTCCTGCCTCCCAGGCCTCTGCTCCATCCAACATTACACACAGCCCCCTTCAAGGGAGATCTAAGCAGACTTTCTTGCACATCCTTGGCGCTCAATAAATATATCCTGAATTGAATCAGCTAAGTTGGGGGTGGCATTTTCTACTTCGAGGGCCGTGAAAACATGCAGGAGGGTTTGGGAATTGTCCCAAAGACTGGGAGCCACTACTCCCCAGCCAGTGGGCAGGCACCTGGAACACTAACCATCCTACTGGACAGGAGAGTCTTTCGCCATGAAGAAGAGGCACCTCACCCCTCCCACAGGCCAGCAGTGCCCTGCTGTCAAATTTTCAGACAGGTCTATTAAGAATTCTCATTATTACTATGGGATTTTGTTACTGTTATTTTGGGTGTGTAAAAGTTTATAGTTAGGCTGGGCATGGTGGCTCATGCCAGTAACCCCAACACTTTGGAAGGCAAACGTGGGTGGATTACTTGAGCCCAGGAGTTTGAGACCAGCCTGGGCAATGTGCTAAAACCCTTTCCACAAAAAATACAAAAATGAGCTGGGTGTGGTGACATGTGTCTGAAGTTCCAGCTACTTGGAAGTCTGAGGTGGGAGGATGGTTGAGCCTGGGAGGTCAAGGTTGCAGTGAGCCGTGATTGTGCCACTGCGCTCCAGCCTCCAGCTCGACCCTTCATCAAAAAAAACAAAAAGTTCATGGTTATTATAATTTCTTCATGGATTTTATTGTTTATCATGATTAAATACTCATCTATGTTCCACTTAACATTTTTGCCTTGAATTCTATTTTGCTTAGTGTTTGTATATTACTACTCTTTCTTTTCATTGTTGGTTACATATATATGGCCAGGAGCCCATTTATACAATAGCCAGATATATATATATATTTGGAGATGTAGTTTCACTTGTCATCTAGGCTAGAGTGCAATGGCACGATGTCAGTTCACTGCACCCCCTGCCTCCTGGGTTCAAGCAATTCTCCTACCTCATCCTTCCCAGTAGCTGGGATTACAGGTGTGCACCACCACGCCCAGCAAAATTTTTTTGTATTTTTAGTAGAGATGGGGGTTTCACCATGGTGGCCAGACTGGTCTCGAATTTCTGACCTGAGGTGATCCCCCCGTTAGGCCTCCCAAAGTGCTGGGATTACAGGAGTGAGCCACTGCACCTGGCCATGTCTTCACCTTTCTTAAGCTCTCCATGTTAATTCATTTTTCATTTGACTGGAGTATATCCTCCAGTAATATTTTCAGAAAACATGCATTTGGTATAAATCCCAACACTTATGCATCTCTCATTTGCCTTGCACATGAATGATTGGTTAGCTACCTACATTGTCTCTACATTGTCCCAATTATTTTTCTTGAGAATTCTGTAAACAGTGTTTTCTATCATTTGTGTTTCAGAAGAGAAGTATGAAATATGCCTGTCTTTGATTAAGATTGCAGATTGCAATCTAAATCAAAATCTTACAGATTGCAAGATTTTTATTTTGCCTTTTAAAACCCAGAAATTTCACCACACTTTTCATGGATTGAATGGTTACATTAATCTCTCTCCCTCCTGAAACCTCACTAAAACAAAATAAAGGAATAAAAATGATAAGGCATATACCCACAAAGGCAAAAAGAACAGAAGCAGCAGCAGAAAGAAAAAATATTTTAGAAGTTGAAAAGCAGATGGAAGAATGGTAACTAACCTCATAGACCCAAGAAAGCTGACCCCTAAATCAGTAGAGGGCAAAGCTAAGATTCCCCCCAACTCCAAAAGACTAAGGAATTGGCAGCACCAGGTACCTCTGGAAATGAGAATGAAGGTGAAACCAAAAACGGGGTTTGAATATCAGTTTGAAAGTCTGTATCTCAGTTTCTCACCACCCCCGCCCCTGCCCAATGACTGCAGTCAGATGAGTGCCCTTCATTTAGCCTGGAGATTTATTCTCTGGAGACAGATTTCTGTTCAGGATGGCACCAGGCATAGTTGAAATCATGAGTACCATATTTAAAACAGGGAATTGAGCTGGGCATGTGGTTCATGCCTGTAATCCCAGAACTTTGGGTGGCCAAGGCAGGCAGATCACCTGAGGTCAGGAGTTTGAGACCAGCCTGGCCAACATGGTGGACTCTCTCTTAGAAGCCTTGCCAGGTGCAGGGGCTCACACCTATAATCCCAACACTTGGGAAGGCTGAGGCAGGCAGATCACCTGAGGTCGGGTGTTGAAAGCCAGCCTGACCAACATGGAGAAACCCCGTCTCTACTAAAAATACAAAATTAGCTGGGCATGGTGGTGCCTGCCTATAATCCCAGCTACTTGGGAGGCTAAGGCTGGAGAATCACTTGAACCTGAGAGGTGGAGGTTGTGGTGAGCCAAGATTGTGCCATTGCAGTTCCAGCCTGGGCAACAAGAGTGAAACTCCACCGCAAAAAAAAAAAAAAAAAAAAAAAAAAATGGAATTAAGTAGAAGTTTAATTACTAAATATTGAGAACTCTAGCCTCTTCCCTTCCACTTAGATTCTAGAGCTTGGACAGCCAAGCTTACATCCCCCAGAGAAGCTCGCTCTGACCAAGGCCAAGAGGAAAGCTCTGACAATAGTGACATTGGCAGTTCACCCAGTGACAACTCCCAGCTTGATCGTACCGTGGTAGTCCATGAATAATCAACAAGTGCCCCCGAGCCTTCAGAAGCGTTTACAGCTGGACAGGGGTGCATAGCCAAGGATCACCAGACATTTGAGGAAAAACCTCTGATGTGGAAGACTGAGGCCAAAATGCAGAAAAATGAGATTTGGAAAAAAGTGGTAACAATGCCAAGCAAACAGTCTTAACGTCTTCAAAAGGAAGACATTAAGCTTTAATCCTTTGAAGACATGTGTCTTAGTATCTTCAAAAGATGAGGAAGTGCTGCCTCCATGAAACTAGAGCATATTGTTATCAAAGGAACATGCAAAAAACAAAAAGTTAAAAATATGAATGCAGAAATGAAATTTTCACCGAGGGAATGGCAGACTATTTCTGGTCACCTGAAAACAATTAGCAGCTCAGACACGCTCAGCACAGAACCAAGCACAAGGCAGGTTTTTCAAATGAATCAGTCAATGAAATAGTGCATTAAAAAATCCTTCATTCCTGTTATCTGTTCTCTGTGCCTCCTGGCATAATTCTTCTGAGCCAGGAGCCCAAGGAGGGCAAGGGCTTCGTGGACATTGCAATTGATGGCCTCTTAGGTCAATAAAATATGGCAGCAGCTTACATTTGCAGGCTGTTGTATAGTTTGCCACAGTATTTCACGTACCTTTTCCTTCTTAGGCTTCGCAATCTCCTGAAATGAGTTTTACCAACCCCATTATGAACACCAAGAAAGAGATTCCATGTGGTGAAGCCACTGAGGGCCGACGGCCGCATGGGCTGCGGGCGATGGATTTAGGGTTGATGGAGTACCTTTTCCTTACCAAGTGTTTTCAACAGATCACTTCATTTGGGTCTCCTCCACCATCTGCTCTTTTGACAGCTGAAGGAAATGAGGCTCTGCGGAGTTTGGCAACATGCCCCACCCCACACATCCAGTAAGCGGCAGAGCCAGGATCTGAATGCGAACATCCCTCCACTGCCTCTGCTGTTTGGCTGGCCTCAGGGGCCAAAGCTGTGTTCCCGTGGGAACCAAACATGGGACACCACCAGCCCACCCCAGAGTAAGACCCCCACCACTGCCCTCCCCGCTTCTCCTGCAGCTCCAGTGCACTCACTGCATGAGCCTGTCCCGGGCCAGGTCTGAGAGGTAGCGTTTGGATCCAGGCAGGTATAAGGACCGATACCGCTGCCGCCTGTCCTTTGTCTCCATCAGCCAGGTGTTGAGGTAGCGGCCCACACCTACGGGGTTCTGCAACAGGGAGATGGTGGCAGGCCAGTAGCAAGCCTGGCTTGGAGACAGCTCCTCTCCTCCCCTCAGACTCTTCCCTACTCCATCTGTTATGAACTGAATTGCATCCCCCAAAAGGAGATGTTGAGGTCCCCACCCCGAGTAACCCCAGTACCTCAGAATGTGAAATAAGGTTGCTAAGGACATCATTAGTGAAGGTGAAGCCACACTGTAGTAAGGTGGGTCCTTCATCCAATGTGACTGGTGTCCTCATAAGAAGCGACACACAGGAAGACAGCCAAGCAGAAAGACAGACTGGAGAGATGGCTACAAGCCAGGGAACACCAAGGGTTGCTGGCCACCTATGAGAAGCTATGAGAGGCAAGGAAGGATTCTTCTCAACAGGTTTTGGAGGGAGCACAGACCTGCAGACACCTTCATTAGACTTCTCGCCTCCAGAACTGTCAGAGAATATATATCTGTTGCTTTAAGCCACCTAGTTTGTGGCAGCCCTAGGAAGGGAATACAGCATCCCACCCGGCTGTCTGGGTCGCAGATCCTCGAGATAGCAACAGAGAGGTTGGGAAAGGAGATGCAACTTGCCCCAGGTGACGTAGCAAGGGCAGAATAAAGGCAGGACAAGAACCCAGCCATCTGCGGAGAAGCAGTCCCAAGGCTGGGCTGGGGAGATGTTAGGACCCAGAAGCTAGTCCCATGCCAAACAGAAATTGCCTCCCACAAGGGAGAAGTCTGTTTCAGGAGGCATCAGGTTTGGGGGTGCAAGCAAAGGGGCTCTCCCACCCTGTGGGGTGCGGCCAGCTGAGCCACCAGAACCCGGACCTCACATCAGTCCTTCCCACTTCATGGTGGCTGGCCCTGTGGTAGCAGCAGGGTCATTTGGCTCTGGTCTAAAGATTTTATTAGGGGGCTCTCAGGTAAAGACTACTCCCCTGTGGGGTGCAGGCTAGAGGTGAAAAAAGGAAGGATTCGGAGACAACCAGCTGGTCCTTACAAGAATTAGTCATTGGGGTCTGGGCATGCTGAGGACCCTGCCACCATGTAGGGAGGTGAGGTGGCTGGCATGTTCCCCAGAGGAAAAGCTCAGATGTTGGGGTGCAGGATGGGGCAGTAGGATGGAGCACGATGGGAAGGCAGGTAAGTTACAAGCAAGGCCTACCCAGGAGAGACCTTAAAAACGGAACTGTTCAAAACCAGGCAAAACTAACCTGTGCTACTGGAAGACAGGACAACAGGCTAATTGCGGGTGGGGTGGGAACTGCAGGGGCTCTTGGGGTGCTGGAAATGAGAGCTGTTAAACTCTCTGGGGGTTAGCTACAGGCCATTATGTGACCATTCATGGAGCTGTGCACTTAGGATTCAGCACCTTTCTCTATGATTATTAGACTCCAGTAAAAGGTGCGTTTACAAACTGAAGAGGGGGTGGAATAAGAAACAGAATGAGGTCAAAGGCCAAGGCCAAGAATTTAGCTGGTTTACAAGACACTAAAGGTTACAGTGCACACTTGGGGATGCCTCTGGAGAGAAGGAAGAGAATGGGAAAGGCAAGGGGCCGGAAGGGGGCCTTGCTAGGAAAAGGATGGGAAATGGACCAGCTTCACCAGCTGCCCTTGAAACCCAAGACAAACACAAAGAGCAAAGGGAAGGAGCGTTTCTCTGGGAAAATAAGAGAATGGCATGGCTGCCGTGTGATGTTCCTTAGCTCACTGGCTCTCAAAGTGTGGTCCCTGGAATAGCATCATCCCCATCACCTGAACTTGTTGGAAATGCGAATTCCCAGGTCCCAACCCAGGCCTACTGTATTAGAAGCTCTGACATGGGGCCCAGCCATCTGTTTTAACAAGCCCTGCAGGTGAGGCTGATACCAGCTCAAGTCTGAGAACCAATGCCTTAGGAAAAGAAGAGTGGGAGTGGATCTCGGGCCCCTTGGGGAAAAGAAAGGGGAGGCATGTGGCTCACTCAAAGCATGGGTTGCAGGGGACAAAGAGGCTTTAGTGTTGGCTGTAGAGGCAGAAGAGCATTCCCACGTATCCCCCACCCCAGACCCACTCACCCAGCTTCCCAAAATCATCTGGCAGGCCTTTGCACCTGACCCCTTGGAGGAGAATAGGAATGGTGGCTGGTTGACAGATTTGCATTTCTTCTCTTGTGGAAGCCAGAAACCAGGGCCAGATGTGGCCTGTGAGTAAGGAAGGAAGGCTGAAATCTGGAAGGCTGTGGCAGTGTCAGCCTGGGCCCAGGGCAGGTGAGGGCTCCTGGCAGCTGACTCTGCCCATTCAGCAGCCCTGGGTCTTGAGCCAAGGATGGTGGGAGGCACCCAGCTACCTCCCAGCAAAGGGGCCCTCATGACCCATGCTACCCACTCTAGCACCCCCCACCACATCCTGACGCCTCTTTTCAGGTGCCCAAGGGCCTTCATGGTCTAGTGGGGCCCAGACAGCTGAAGGCCCCATTTCTGAGGAAAGAGGCCACACCAGACTTGGAGCCAGATGAGCTGGGTTCCAATCCCAGCCCCTTCTCACCCTTGTTGGGAGAATTTTGGCAAATCCTTTTCCAGATCTGGGCTTCAGTTTCCTTTAGTGAAATGCAAATGATAATGCCTACCTCAGCGGGTTGGGGTGAGGGTTGGAAAGTGCCTCACAGGGGCAAACCCTGCTTGGGGGGCCTGCTCAGACCCCCAGAGGGCTGCTTTGACACCAGGGCCAAGCGCACCACTCCTTTGGGTGGAGCAGGTGGGCAGGCCCTCCAGTAGGGAGCTGTACTCTGCCCTGCTCCAGTTTCCTCTGCCCATCCTCCAGCACTCTGAGGCCAGAGGAAGGGGAAGGTCAGCACTGGGTAGGCCCTTCCTGGGCACCACACACCATGCTACAAGCTCTGAGTACACAGCCCCATCTAATTCTCATAACCACTTCACCATCTTCATAGGACAGGGGTGTAAACCGAAGCCTGAACAGGGTCTCATCTGAAGTGTCCCAATGTCCAAGACCAGGACTAGAAATCAAGTCAGTCTGATCCCAAGACTGAGCTATTCCCCATGAAATTAACCACCCTGCCCCATGCCAAGCCCCAGAAGGACAGCTGCCCTCCAAGAGAGGAAGGCCAGCCATAGCAGTGAACTGACCAGAAGGCGGGGGCACTGGCTAGGGTTAGACCAGTAAATCCTCTCTGTAGGGATTTTCGGGTTGCGGGGAAGTTTAGAAAAAACCCCACGCTTCTTATTGTGACGTGAGTTAAGTTCTTCTACGAAGCTCTTGAAGTTCATCAGTTCCCTGGGCTTTTCTTTCTGAGAAAAAGAGAGAAAGAGGAATCTGTTATGCCAAGAAAATCAAGAGCTTCTTTCTCAACCCTCCCCTGCAACCAGAGAAAAGCTATGGGACATCACTTACTACCCTGCTGTGCAGACATCCCGGAGGCCAGGCCAGTCTCAAGGGCCCCTTGACCTGGGCTGGTGGAAACAGCCAGCCTTCCCCCAACCATCAGGCCGGGGCAGAGTTAGTCTCTTGCACCCTGTACCTGCTGCACCCTACAGCCTGGCTCCTTTTCATCCATTTCTTTCTTTCATTTGTTGGACATGTACTAAGTCTGGCACTGTTCTGAGCAGGAATGATACCTTAAATATTTAAAACCAGCACGACTGGAGGAGCACAGCAGATTTGGAGGGCAGTGAAACTATTCTATATGATACTAAAATGGTGGCTGCATGTCACACATTTGTCCAAACCCACAGGATGTACACCACCTGAGTGAACCCTAAGGCACGCCACGGAGGTGGGGTGATAATGACATATTAGTGTAGGTTCTTCAACTGCAGCAAACGAACCAGGATGCTGTGGGATGTTGATGGTCAGGGAGGCTGTACATGTTATGGGGAGGGCAGTGGGTATATGGGAACTCCTTGTACTTCCCACTCAATTTTGCTGTGAACCTAAAACTGATCTTAAAAAAAAAAAAAGTTTGGCCAGGCACGGTGGCTCACGCCTGTAATCCCAGCACTTTGGGAGGCCAAGGCAGGTGGATCATCTGAAGTCAGGAGTTCGAGACCAGCCAGACCAACATGGAGAAACCAACCCCATCTCTATTAAAAATACAAAATTAGCTGGGTGTGGTGGTACATGCCTGTAATCCCAGCTACTCAGGAGACTGCGGCAGGAGAATCCCTTGAACCCAGGAGGTGGAGGTTGTGGTGAGCCGAGATCATGTCACTGTACTCCAGCCTGGGCAACAAGAGCAAAACTGCCCCGAAAAAAAAAAGGTTTTACAAACAAAAGCAAACAGCGTGGCCTGAGCACTGGTCGCAGTGCCTGTGGAGGGTCCCTTGATCCCTGCTGTAGCTGGTCATGGAGAAGTCTGGGAGGCTCCAGGGAGCAGCCAGGTCGAGGCCTTAGCTCAATGGCTACCTACTAGCTATAGCCCCAAAGTCCTTCTGCATTAACCACCACCCTGCTAAGCGCTCCTGAGCTCTGCCATGGCACTCATCACCTGCTCACACTCGAGAATTTTTTTTTTAATTCATTGATAACTGAGTTTCTTTTCCCACAGAATGTAAGTTCCACAAGGTTGCTTTCCCCTGCACCTCGCCTACTACCTGGCCTGATGATACCCACTGCGAGATGCAAAATGGAGACAAGACAAACAGGCAGTTAGACAAAACTTAATTCCATCGGCTATGAGCACAAAACAAGCAAAGTGCAGCGCACTATGAGATCACATCACAGGGGCGGAAAGGAGCCCATCAAGATAAAATTCTACCTCAGTTTCTCCCCCTGGGCCTCCTTGTTCTCTGCTTTGTTAACAAAGCACTGGCACTAACCCAGCCAGCTTGGTCTACAATGCCTGCTGTCTCCAAAATAGGAGGGCGCCCCGCCTTGTGTCATCAAGGTTCCTCATGGCCAACCTCCCCTGGCACTGTGGACCATCTTCGCCTCTTGGGCACGTCAAGCCAATGCAGAGGCGAGAGCTGGCAGTAAAGTCAGAAAGACGTCCTTGGGTTCAAATCCCAGCTCTGCTCCTTCCAGCCATGTGGCCAGCCTTCCCTTACCTAGCACAGGAAGCCGGATGCGCCTGGCTGTGAGGGTGAAGTGAGGGTGTGTGGAAACAGCCCGGTGCAGAGCCTGGTGCACAGGCTGGTGTTCCTGGTGCTGACTAGTGGGGCCTGTCATCCTGCTGGGGCATGGGCGAACACCCTCCACCCCCCAGGTACACACCTGCATGGAGTAGTGCCCATAGGGCAGCGGCTTGCTCCGATCACCAGAGAAAGTGTCATAGGGACCACGAGTGCCAACAGATTGTGCCACATACGTATCAATGCCGCTTTTGATGGAGTAGGTGCCAGGTGCCAGACCACTGCCCTAGAGCACAGCAGAGGCAATGAGGCCTGCAGGACAGCTCAGCTTCTCCCTTTGCCCTGGGAATGCCCCTCCAGGACGGGAAGGCAGGCTGGGTCTGGCCAGCCAAGGGGGTACCTGATGAGCCCGGGGGTGCGGCTTGTTGCTCATCCTGCACATGAGGCCCTCGGAATGGGACCGGTTCCAGGCATTCTCCTCCAGCTTGGTGTATGGGTTGCCCTTCTCCCCATAATTTCCAGGGCCCGGATAGTAGTTCTGTGGGGCGGGGTAGGGGCATAGAGGCCGTCAGACCCACTCCTTGTGCTGAGCATGCTCCTGAGAGACATCTGGGATTGCCATCCCCAAGAAGGGAACGGGGTTTTCAGGGTGACCCTTTGTTACTTGCCCTCCGACACACAACATTGTTGCCCATGAGCCTCCACCACTGCTCACACCTTCACCTCCAAGCTCAGCCTCTTCCCTGGGCTCCGATGGCCTGTCCAAGTTACATCTCCCTGCTTCCTCCTCATATCACACACTCTGGCCAACACAGTGGGCTCCTTGCTGCTCCCCAAGCACACACCATTCTGCCCAACCTTCCCTCGTTGGCTCGTGCTGTAACCACTATGCCAAATGCCCTTCCTGCCCTCTTTGCCTTGGACAATTCCACTGTTCCTGTGAAGCCAGCTCAAACGTCATCTCTCCTGGAAATGAAGCCTTCCTGCCTTAACACCTGAGACTGTTGCCTGCTTTGGTGGATCTGGCAATTCCAGTCTTCACACCCCTGCACCACAGCCCTGTGTGACATGAGGGCTTTCTCAGTGTGCTGTTTCAGGGAAGGACTGCCGTTCTGAGTTCAGATCCCGGCTCCTAGCTGAGTGACCGCGGGCCTTCTGAGTCTCATGGTCCATACTGGTACCACGGGATAGGAATGTTTTCTTCCAGGTGATGACGATGAAGTTAAAGAGTGTCTGTAAGATAATGTCTGCAAGCAAGGGAAGGGGGCTGGGCGGAATGATGTGTGCTTCAGGAGTAGCAGCATGGGATACAGGGAGGCAGCAGTGAGACAGCATGGACGGGCCAGTGGGGCCCTGCAGGAGAGGCTGAACTTGGAAGTAAAGGTGCGAGCAGTAGTGGAGGCTCACAGGTGCCTGGCACATAGAGACACCGACACGTGATAAGTCAGGCTGGGGTGGCTGAAGGTCTTGGGGGGCAGGAGGAGAGGTTAAGAACTGATTGGAATGACCATCTGGGACCTGGGCTGCCAGGGTCAGAATCGTGATTTTGTAAGCAGAGTGAGGAGAGAAGTCCACCTTGGGTAGCCACCTGGCAGGACACTTTCTGCTGCTCTGCACCTTTTAGCCACGTGGGGTCACTGCTGCTCCATAGATGGCTCAGCCGTACCCACCTCTGAACCTGGCATCTGACCCTGGGGAAGCATGATGGGGCAGAGAGGGCAGGGACCTCTGCATGGGGAGTCAGACCACTAAAGGCATCCAATTTGTTCGCTCCCAGAGGAATGGGACTACAAGTCTCCTTCCGTGGTTCCCATGTATGTTCTGGAGAAAACTCCCAAGGATAGTTGCATGGTGTGTTAGGTGCTTCACAAGCCTCAGCATCTTGGTCCTGGCAGTGACTGAGGGAGATCAAGTCAGCACCATCCACAACTAACAGATGGGGAAACTGAGTCTCAGAGAGGCAAACTGCATGTCCCACGTCCCACCTCCAGAAAGGGACAGCATGAGGGTTTCAACTCCAAAGTCCATAACCTTTCTGAGCCTCTACTGTTTGCCAGGCACCGTGGAAGGCACTGGGTGGGTGAGCAGTGGTCACCACAGGTCCTGGGAGACTTTGAAGATGAGGTTTATGCCAAGGGTCAGAGTCGCCCTGCTCCTGGAGCCCAGGGGCAAGCGCAGTGCTGGGCACTTCGTCAGGATAATCCCATTTCTTCCTTAAAACCTTCAGGTTCAGACGTTCAGTTCCACACTTGGGCTGATGGGAAAGCCCATGGTTTTAACTAGAACGTTATGTTGCCAGAGCTTTGGGGACTTAGAGAGGGGGAGTGTGGGAATGAATGAATCATCACTTTTAAGTTGTTCTTTTTTTTTTTTTTTCCAGGCTGGACTTTGAAGAATGAGAAGGATTCCCAAAGACAGGTAGGAGGGAGGGTGGGAAGGTCCCCCAGTGGAAAAAAGCAAAGGCAGGAAGGAAAGACAGTCAGCTTGTCCCCCCAGTTCCCTGCCATCAGCGAGGCTAAGTTCCCACACCCAGACCCTGGCCTCCACAGAGACTCAGGGAGCAAAGTCCAAGAACTGTGGGGGCCAAGCCTGTGGGTGAAATGCCAGGTACGTGTTGGACACCTGGGATTGAAGTCTGCTTCTGCAAGCCGGTAGCTTCGTGACCTTGGGCGGTCGGTTACTTAGCCACTTTATACTCCATTTTTCTCATCTGTAGAATGGACGTAATGATAGGGCCTACTTCACAGGGCTGTCATGAACATGAAATTAATTAGTACATGGTAAGTGCTATGCTACATGTCCACTATTAGTACTTTGGATTGGACAGTAATGGCATTTTTAAATGTTCCAGGCATCCCCTCTCCCTAAGTTACAGTACAGCTTCTGCACCTGAAGATGCATCTGCTCATCCCCCGATCATGTCAGGAGGAATTTCCAGCCTTCACAGAAGCATTCCCAGTGTTGAGGTGTAGGAGAAAGGCCCCGGCTCTGGGACTGGACATTGCCATGTCTGCATGTCAGCAGCTGGGGCAAGCTGCTTATCTTTTCTGAGTGGCCAGGGCCTCATCTGGAGTGGTTGCAAAGAATTAAAGAGAATGTTTTGGAGCACCTGATACTTCGGATGCATGCACTTATTCAGTCCACAAATATTTCCTGCGTGCCTATGTGTGCCAGGCACTGCTAGAACCCCAGAATGCTGCAGTGAAGGAACCAAGCAGATGTGGTCCACCCTCAGGGGCTGCTATCCAATGGGGAGGGACAATAAACACACAACCACAATTGAGACGCCTAGGGAGTTGAGACGCCACCTAGCAGCACCGAGGAAGGCTTCTGGAAGCTGAGAGCTGCAGGATGAGTAGGCGTGCCCTAGGAGAAAAGGCTGCTGAGAGAAGAAAGGCATTCCAAGCAGAGGGAACAGCAGGAGCAAAGTCCCGTGTGAAATGGCATGGCCTGTGTGAGGGGCTGGGAGAAGGATACCAGCATCCATCACAGAGAGGTCCAGGCTAAAAACTGCAGCGCTGGCTCCCTTGGAAGGGGGTGACTCCTGCCTTCTCCCTTGTGCCCTTACTGAGCCTCAGCATCACTCAGTGTCTTCCTGATGGGATCATCATCCCCCAGTGCTGTCACCCCCACCTCTCAGCACCATTGCCTCCTCCCAACCCTAGCCCTCATGAGGGTATTCCTCTAAAAAGGTAAGTCAGGTCCCCCTGTCAAAGCCCTCCACTGCCTGCCCCCCCGGCAGCACCTGGAATAACACCAAAGCTCCACGTCAGCTGCAGGGTCCTCATGACCCAGCCCTTCACTCCTCTGCCCTGTCACTCTCCTCCTCTCACCCTCACCCAGTGCCCTCCAGCCACACTGGCCTCCTGCCTGCAGGTCTGATTCGACAGGCATGTTCCCGCCTCAGGGCCTTAGCCTCTGCTGCTCCAATGCCTAGAATGCTCTACCAGACACTGCAAGTCTCCGTTGCTCATGACCTGCAGGTCTGCTCAAATGTTACCTCCTCCCAGAGCCCTGACTACCCTCTATCAATTGCACCACCATCGCTGTCTGTCTCTTCCCTGTCTCAGTTCTGCTCACAGCCCTGCTTATATATGTATTCTATTTCCTTCTTTGTACCACTGTTTCCCCCACTAGGACATCTACTTCATGAGAGCAGGGACCTTGTCTTTGTCACTGCTAGATCCCCAAGGCCTAGGTCAGCATATGCCACTTAGGAGGTACTTCACCCTTATTCCTGGCTTGCTGGATGGATGTACAAGTGAATGAATTTGTTGGGCACCCCATGTATGCCAGGATCTCTGCTCAGGACTCCAGACATGAGAACCTACCCCAATGAGTCCTCGGAAGCGAACCTCCCCAGAGCTGAGCAGCCCCCGGGTGCTACATGGTTTCTCCTGCAGCTGTTCTAAGAAGTCTTTGAGGTTGTAGGAGCCAGGCCCCAGCTTTTGCTCCTGTGCCAAGAGAAAAGAGCAGAAGATAAGAGCCTTAAACTTGGGAAAGTCCACACAGAAAGAAGCCCAAGGCATGATGGTGTTCCTTAAAGGATAGTCTCCATCTGGCCCTGGGAGGACACTGACGGCCACACAGAGCAGCTGCAATGGACAGGAAGACCTGGCACCAGAGAGGGAGAGGCCTGGCCCCAGAGGCCTCACCTGCAGCCGCTTCTCTTTCATGATGGGCTGGTACTGGAAGTGGGGTAGCTGGGTCAGCCGCGTGGCTTCCTGGGCCTTAGCCGAGCCTGTGTCCACCTCCTTCATCAGCTTCTTCTTGCTGAAGCAGGTCTCCTTGGAGCTGTAGGTCCCAGGGCCTATGTGGGACTGAGTCAGAGTGTGGTCAGAGCTGTGACCACCACACCTGCAGTCCTCCACAGAGGACTGCTCCACAGAGCAGGTCTTTACCAAGCCACCACCCTGGCCCGGAGGCAATCTCCCCTGTGGCTCCCATCCTCAACACCGCGGCTGACACCACCAGGCTTGGCACTCAAGGTGCAATCATCACATCCTCTATCACTGCTCCTCACACTGCAGGGAGGTAGAACAGCTCCTTCAAGAGCCCACAGCTAGTCAGTGCACAAGCTGGGAGTGACGCAGTCCCTCGCTTATCAAACACACTGGAAGCCCCCAGCGGGCCAGCTCTGTGCTGGAAGAATGCAGAAGGTATGCTCCTTCTACAGCTCAGCTCATCCACCACAGCAGGGGGCTCAGAGGGACAGCGGCCAGACGCTGTGGGAGGAATCGGGAAAGCTGTGCAAACTTACCACTTCCACAGAATAACGCGTGGAGTACGGGGCCTCAGTGAAGGTGCAGAGCTTTTTCCGGTTGGGATAAACAGCAGAGATGTCAAACCTGAGGGGCCAGTGGCCCAGTGAGAGCCTGTGCCTGGCCCCAGGCCCTGACTTGAGCAGTCCTGGAGCATGGGGGAGTTGGTTGCCCATGGAGGTGACTTTGGAACAAGCCCATGAAGGAAAAGTAGCAGAGTTGCAGTGGCTTCAAATGTTCCAGGTCACTCCCACCCCACCCTACCCGCCAGCTCCTCCCCCCAGCTTCATGTTTTTCCACAACCCTTATCAATATCATTTTACAAATATACATACTTTTCTTTATTATCCACCCCCACCCCCACAGAAGAAAGCAAACTCCGTGAGTACAGAAGTTTGCTGTTGTGTTCACTGCTGTAGCCCCAGATCCTAGAACAGTGCCTGGATCCTAGTAGGTGAGAGAGAGAGACAGAGTGGAATATGAATGAATGGGAGACAGACACCTGGGCTGAAATCTCACCCACCACGTTTGAGCTGAGTGGCCTACTATGGACCAGGCCATGTGGCCTCTCTAAACCTGGCACAGAGTAGCTGCTCTGGAAATGGTTTTAAAGAACTCACCGAGATGGTAAAAGAACCCTGGGCAGGGAAGAGCAGTAAGTATGGGGAGAAGAGTAAGTCCAGCCCCTTCTCACTGCCAGACCCTTCTCCCCTTATTCCCCTCCCTGCCAGGCTCAGCCCTGTGTAAGTGGACACCCTCTCTCCCGAGGTCAAGGGTGGCTTCGGGGTGGGCAGTGGCTGCCTTGGACCGCAGGCATGAGCCCAGGACACAAACAGACCCCACCTGTGGCTCTGCACCCCGAAGGGCGCACCAGTGAACCACTTGGTGGCCATGGCGCCGGTGCTGTTCCAGCCACTAGCCACTAGTTCCTGCGGGGTCCTGGCCTTCCCACACCGCCGGCCTCCGCGACCGCCTCTGCCGCTGCCACGGTGACCAGGCCTTGTGATGCACCTCGGAGCAGTGGGCCACGCCCTCACCCACGTGGCCCCGCCCCCTTTCCCCCCCCTCCCCGCACCAGCGTGCACACGTAGCCTGCTGATTTTTCACTTGTCCATGCACATTTCCAGGGGCTTTCCCTGGCCCCTGCAGATGTAATGGACCTTCTTGTATTTAACATGGATGCCGGGCGCGGTGTTTCACGCCTATAATCCCAGCACTTTGGGAGGCCGGGTCGGGTGGATCACTAGGTCAAGAGATCGAGACCATCCTGGTCAACATGGTGAAACCCCGTCTCTACTAAAAATACAAAACTTAGCTGGGCATGGTGGCGCATAGTCTCAGCTACTCAGGAGGCTGAGGTAGGAGAATTGCTTGAACCCAGGAGGCGGAGGTTGCGGTGAGCCGAGATCGCGCCATTGCACTCCAGCCTGGGTAATAAGAGCAAAACTCCGTCTCAAAAAAAAAAAAATAATAATAACATGGATGTCATCGAGTGGGGTTGTTTGTTGAGGAAGTGTTTCCGATTTCTGGCTTTGTCCCAGAGCCCTGCATGGAGCCTGCCTAGGCTCTGAAAGAACCTCTTAATGTTCACCTCGTGCTGATGGTAAACTGAGGCCCACAGAGAGGACATCCAGCTCCTTCTCTACTCCGGGAGTCAGGGAAGTAGAAGTAAGAGGGACGGGGCAAGGAAAGCCAGAGGGTGGAAGGCTGGGCAAGACTGCAGGGATAGCCAGGGCTCAACCGGGCCCTAGACACCCCTGGCACCCAATCTGGGAAGACATCGTGCAAGAGTGCCTGGGACCCAGATGTGGCCCCTGCCTTGAAAGTAATGGGGGAAGCAATGACCACATACTGTGGTCAGGTCTATGAGAGAGGGAGGCCTCTAACCCAGCTTGTGGGTAGGTTGGTCAGGAAAGGCTTCCTGGAGGAGAATTCCAAACTCAATATTAAAGCATATGGATAACTTTCCAAGTAAAGAAAGGAATTGAGGGTATGTGCCCCACATATACCTGCAATTCAGTAGTCAGCTCTCTCTTCCCTCCTTCCTTACCCCCTCCACCAGTGCTCCACAGCCATGCTCTGAGATTGTCTAATTTCTCCCATGATGGCCTGTGATCTTCCCAAAGGTCTTAGGCAAAGGTGGGGCAGAGATCCATACCCCATTCCATGGTGACAGCATTGAAGCCAGAAAGGTGTAAGTTGTACCAGAGGTCCTGCTTCTGGCCCATGGTGAAGCTGGATCAGAGGCACAGTGGGTCTTCTGCCAGGCCCCACCCAATGCCCTTCTGACATCGCAAGCCAGTAACTAAATAAGAAGGGTGGCTCCCCAGCACAGCTAAGAGCTGGACTCTTGGGAACATGGCCTGATGGGCACGTGGCCACAGCTGGCAGAGCGTCTGCACTACACCACTGAGCTGATGGTCAGAGGTGTCAGGCCTCAGGAACAGGCAGCCTGGGTCATCTAAGCAGACTCTGCCTTTCCCAGCCATGGGACCTTGAGCAAGCCATTTCTTTCTTTGAGTCTCAGCATTATCAGTTTCATTCTATGAAGTGAAACTAATCATCTCTGTCTCCCAGGCTGCTGGGAGGATGAAATGACCTGATTTAGGTAATACCCTTTGCACACAGCAGGAGCTCAACTGAAGGTCATTCCTAGCCCTTGGATAGGGACCTTACAGAGGCCTGAGGACAGAGACTTGTCTCATTTCCTCCTGGTGCAGCATCCAGCACATAGTAAATGTTCAGGAAATATTTGTTGAATGACAAGTGAATGAATACATGCATCTAGTCCAACTACCCAATAACACATAAATCCTTGAAGAGACATTTAAATCCGGCTCTGCCACTTCCTGGCTGTTGGCCCTGGGCAAGTTACCCTTGCCAACTTGGATTTCCTCTTCTGTGACAGGGATAGTCAGGACTCAACTGGGCCCTAGAACACCTCTGCCACCCACTCTGGGCAGATATCGTGCAGAGTGCCTGGGACCCAGATGTGGTCCCTACCCTGAAAGTAATGTGACATGGACATATGACTGTAGCTTCCCAGGAGGGCTGTTTCGAGGTGTCAGTGAGGTGTGGACATGCACACGCTCCAGTCCCTGCAATTCAGCCAGCCCTGGGTCTGCTTGGGTATTCTCAGGGTGGCCCAGACATGCCTGCAGCTACATTGCTGCTTGTCTTCTGGCCTGAGCCTCCTGGCTCCAGGACTCATGGAGGAGTGACCAAAGGCTATAAGCCAAGGTCCACTGGGCTGGGAGTCCTGGCTGCCAGGGAGGCCAGAAAAGGCCAAGTGAGTCAGCTCTGCAGCAAGTCCACTGCCCTGGTGAGTCCAAGGTCTCCCATTACAGCAGCTTCCTTGTCGTAGCACCTCACCCATTTTCTTTTATAGGCACCATTACACGTTCAGTGTACACAGGAGGAAACTAAGGCTCAGACGGGGAGGATAACTTGACCTGCACTTCCCAAGAGCTGTAGGATCATACCACAAATGTGGGACTCATAAAGACATTTAAGAGCTCCCTGGCTGCAAGAGCGTCTAACCCATCCAGACTCCAGAGCCACCTGTTGTCAGTGGAGTCAAGTCAAGCTTCTCAGCCAGGTCTTGGGCCTCTGTGAAGGGGCTATGGCCACTGCCTTCAGTTTTCATCTCCTACCATCTCTGCCCCATGCTCTATAAGCTTCAGCCACAAGGTGCTCTGTCCCTAGTATACCCCCCTCCACTAGAGAACCTCTGGCTTTTTCATGTATTTGCTGATGATGATATGCACCCCCTACCAACCTACCCTTCCCACCCAACTCCTACTCATCTTGTTCAGAGTCAAATCACCATCACACCCATTAGGATGGCTATTATTTAAAATAAATTAGCAAATAATATGTGTGGGTGAGGCTGTAGAGAAATTGGAACCTTTGGCCATTGCTGGGAGGAAAGTAAAATAGTCCAGCTTCTGTGAAAGACAGTATGGCAGTTTCTCAAAGAATTAAACATAGAATTACCATATGATCCAACAATTCCACTTCTGGGCATATACCCAGAAGAATGAAAGGTGGGAGGAACTCAAACGGACATTTGTACGCCCACGTTCATAGCAGCATTGCTCACAACAACTAAAAGGTAGAAGCAACACAAGTGCGCATCGACAGATACACAGATAAACAAAATGTGATATAGTCACACAATGGAACATTATTCAGCCTTTAAAAGGAAGGAAATTCTTTTTTTTTTTTTTTTTTTTTTGAAACAGAGTCTCACTCTGTCACCAAGCACCAGGCTGGACTGCAGTGGTGCAATCTCAGCTCACTGCAACCTCCCCCTCCTGGGTTCAAGCAATTCTCCTCCTTCAGCCTCCCGAGTAGCTGGGACTACAGGCACGCACCACCACACCCAACTAATTTTTGTATGTTTAGTAAAGACGGGGTTTCACCATGTTGGCCAAGATGGTCTCAATCTCTTGACCTCGTGATCTGCCCGCCTCAGCCTCCCAAAGTGCTGGGATTACAGGCATGAGCCACTGGCCTGGCTAAAAGGAAGGAAATTCTAACACATGCTACCACATGGATGAATCTTGAAGACATTATGTTAAGGGAAATAAGCCAGTTGCAAAAGGACAAATGTTATATGATTCCACTTATGTAGGGTAACTAGAGTAGTTGAACTCGCTGAAACAGAAATAGAATGGTGGGTACCAGGTGCTGGGTGGGGAGGGAATGAGAGTTATTGTTTTATGGGTATGGAGTTTCCATTTGGGAAGATGAAGAAGTTCTGGAGATGGAAAGCAGGAACAGTGGTTCAACAGTGCCCTCAGGGACAAGGGCGAGGCCAGCAGAGCATTCATGACCCTAAGGCCACTGAGCTGTACACTTAAAAATGGTTAACAGCATACATTTTTTGTTAACTATATGTTGTCGCAATTTTTTTTTCAAAGCCATACCCTCTGGGAATCCGTCCCTGACACTCTCAAGCAGGGAAGAGAACAAGTTTCATCTCAGGATCACCAGCCATATATAGCAAATTTTTCAATGACAAATTATTAAAATTAATTTTATATTTAAAAATTGACAGGTGAAACATATCACCAGGATGTTGTTTTAATTTAACTCTTTTTTCAATAATGTCAAATATTTTTCCAAGTTTACTAATTGGTTCTATTTCCTCTTTTGGTCTCTGTTGTTCGGTCTTGAAATGCTGCTCTCTGTTGCTTCGTCCTGAAATATATCTACATTTCATCTATGTGAAATATAGATATTTACATCTATATCTTTATAGACATGTATACATATTGCACCTAGATTTCATCTAGATTTATATTTCATCTATCTATCAAGATGAAACAACAGGGATGGCGGGAGCCAGGCCCAGGTGGAAGGAGGAGCGGGAGGAACCAGCTCCTGCCACAGGGAGCACTGCCATCCAGCCTCCAGGCTAGAGGTTAGGGGACCACTCTAGACCTGGGAGGGAAGCTGGCCAGAGCAAGAAAGCTGGGAGCACAGGTGGAGTGCAGGATGGGATGGGATCCAAGCTGGAGGAGTGGCAGTTGACATTTATCCAGAGTGGCAATTTTTCAGGCTTACCTGATAAATGAGGAAGGGCTGTCATCCTCATGTCACAGCTGATGAAAGTGTGGCGGGTCATACTTTATTAGGGGTGGAGAAGCGGGATTAGAACCAGCACATGCAGCCCATGGTCTTTGCACAGGAGCTCACTGCTGAGCAGAGAGGGCTCAGAGAAATCCCAGGTAGGAAGCCTAAGTAATGGCCGAAGGAAGAGAGGAGGGAAGTGGCAGGCTCCATTAAGAGGAAGGGCACTGAGGACCTGCGGAGAAGATGGGACACCGGCAGGAGTGAGGGTGGCTGCCGCAGCTGGAACGGCCAGTCCTGACTCAGCTCAAGCAGACACGGCGGAGCAGCGTTCCTGGAGGCAGGGCCCGGCCTTCAGCAAACTGGGGTCCCGGCCCTACCTATTTGGGTACGCCTCGGTTCTGTGACCTGGGCAAGTTCTCTTCCTCCTCTGAGCCTCAGTTTTCTCCTCCGAGCCTCGGTTTCCTCCTCTGCTTAGCAGAGTTAAAAACACGCCTTTTGCCTTGCACCAAGGTTTGTGCGCCCCGTATTTGACAATGCGCCTGTTTTTCTGGCACACCTGGTTGTGCAATGTCAGCGTCTAGAAGCCGCTGAGCAGCGAAAGCGGAAACACCCACAGGGCGCTCTTCGGGCCCACCCACCTGCGGGAGGCGCCCCGAGACCAAGAGGCGGCCGCGCCCGGGGCCTCTGCGCGCTGCCCCTGGCCTCCCGCACGGAGCTCGCTCGGAGGGCGCCATCCACTGCTCTCCGCAGCCTCAGGGATCAGGGCGAGGCCAAGGGAGCAGAGGGAGCCGCCATGGCGGAGCCGGAGGCCGCGGCCGACGACCTAGACGCCCTCATCGACGACCTGGACTACCTCCCGGGCCACTTTCACCTGGAGATGCAGTTGAACTTCGAGCCACGCTCGCCGACCCCGCAGCGCGCCCGGGACCTGAAGCTGCAGCGGGAGGGTCTGCGGCAGGAGCTCGAGCTGGCGGCCGCCCCGCAGCGCCCCGCAGTGCATCACCTCCTGGGCGCTTTCGCCTTCTACCTGGAGGAGCTGGACGAGGCCCGCGAGCGCTTCCTCGAGGTGGCCCACGAGCACCCGGGCAACCTCAATGCCTGGGCCAATCTGGCACACGTGTACGGGCGGCTGGGCCAGGAGGAAGAGGAGGAGGCGTGCGCTGCGCGGCTGGCGGGCCTCATGGGCCTGGCTGGGGAGCCCGAGGCCGCCGGGGACCCCCAGCTCCGCGCCGCTCGCTGCCTGGCAGAGCAGGGCTACGCTCACGGTTTCGACGTGGGCTGCGTCAGCCCAGAGGAGCGCGCGAGAGGACTGGCGGCGGGCATCGCACTCTACGACAAGGCGCTGGGCTACGGGCAGCAGGTTGGTAGACTCCTGTCTCCCTACTGTGATCATGCTCCCTTCTGTCTGCAGAGATGGGCCGGTACCCTTGATTCTCCCTCAACCCTGGTCTTTCAGCCAGGTTCCGAATACTTTACCAATGTGCATCTTCGCCCGCCCCAGGCTAGGCCTGTAGCTGTCTCCTGGTCTAGGGAGTGGAACCACTTCCTAGAGGGACTGCCAGCCCAAGCCTCTCTTTTGGAAACAGCACACGTCCAAGTCCAACCTGGACGATTCATCCTTTTTATCTTGCTCCACCCAGCAAGTGCCTGTTCCTGCGCCTGTGCACACCCACCTAAGTAAAAGGGACAATCGGGCATCCTGCCAGAAACGTGGGTAGCATTCCCACCTCTTCTCTCCCCTCCCACCTCCATCCCCACCTATTCAGTCCCCAAATCTCGTCCCCTCAACCTCCTCTTATCTCTGGTCTCTCCACACTTCTCCAGTCTTCCTCTGCCAGCCCAGCCTCCATACCTTCCTGCCTGCACCAGTGCAGCTGCTGTCACCCACCCTTGGGGTCCTGCCCTCCAGCTTGACCCTTCTGCCTCATCTTCCTGTCTGCTGCCAATGTGGTGGTGCTCCATCTTGCTAGCCATGTCCCCGCTGCCTGGCAGATACGCCCTAGGCTCTTTGGTGGGCATCTGACAAACTCCATGATCTACCTCTCTGTCCTTCCTCTGCCACATTCCCCCTTCCACGCTAGGTTTTTGTCACACTCTACCTCCCCTTGTTCATCCATGGGCCAGGTCTCCTTACAGCTCACCTTGTCCCTTTCTTGGCCCCTTCCCGGGGTGCCCTTTGGCTCCACCTTTGCCTGGAAGGTTCTCTTCAGTCTCAGGTTGGTCCCAGATATCCCCTGCTCTAGGAAGCCTCCACTAACTCCCCAGGCTGGGTCAGGTGCCTCCTCTGGGCTCCCATAGCACTGCTCACACTGTCCATTTCCAAGTCTCCAGTTCAACCATGAGGTCTCTGAGAGTGGAGACAATGTCTGTCTGGTTTACCACTGTAAACCCAATACACACTGGCACAGCACCTGGCACACAGTGGCACCCAATAAATGTATCTAATAAATGAATGGATCTATGTGCAGCAGAGGGCCTAGCACTCAATAGCCAAATACTAGGTATATTATCTACTGCTGCATAACAAATACCCCCAAAATGTAGCAGCTTAAAATAATAAGTATATATTATGGCCCAGTTTTTGTGAGTCAGGAATCCAGGCATGGCTTCACTCAGTGCCTCTGGATGGTGGTCTCATCTGAAGGCTTGCCTGACTGGAGGATCTGCTTCCAGGCTCACTCACCTGCTGGTGGCAGGATTCAGTTCCTCACTGGCTCCTGCCAATAGCTTCCCTCTTTTTCTTGCCTCATGGACATTTCATCACTTTTGCCATTTTCTGCTCATTAGCAGCAAGTCAGAGGTTCATCCCACACTCAAAAGGGGAGGATTACACAAGGACATGAATACCTAAGAGTGGGGATCACTGGGGCTCTCTCAGAGGCAGCCTGCCACACTAGGCACTGGATGACAGACAAATGATGTGGGAGAGCATTATTCTCTTTTACAGAAGAGGAAACCACGGTTTGGAGGTGATCTATGAAGGCACAGCACAGACAGGGTTAAGTTGACGACAATGATGTCTTATAATGTTTCAGATTTGTGATATGTAAATAACAAGCCTTCACACATGGGTAGCACAGCACCCTTCACAAAGGCTCCGCACACTCCCCTCAGTGCCTTTTCCACAAATGCTCATGGCTTCTGTAAGAGAAGATGTGAGAGTCAAGACCTCAGAGAGCACAGGTTGGAGGGCATGGGCCTGACTGAAGGCCAGCCTGCAGGATAGAGGTTAAGACAGTTGACTCTGAGTCAGATGGTCTGAGTCCAAATTCCAGCTCCCCGATGCTCACTCACTTCAAATCAGTGCTTAGCACCACCGAGCTCCTTTTCTGTCCCTGTCAAATGGAGATAATAATGTTACACATGTCATAGGCTTCCTCATCTGTAATATGGGGATATCCCTCATTTGGCTGATGTCATAATTAAGCGTTACTATTTGTAAAGCACCTAGAAAGAGCTTGCACAGGGATGAGTAGGGTCACAGATGACCCCTCCCTCTCCCTGCTGGGAATGCTTCCTCTGCTCCTAAGCTGGGTGCGGACGTGACCATTGATGGCCAACAAGGGCCATGTTGATGAGGTCAACAAGGACCCAGGTCTCTTGTTTCAATCCCGAGCCTGTAGTCCTGAATGGCAGCTGCCCTCAGTGGAAGGCACAGCCAACACTGATGTGTTGAGTGTGGTCATGGCAGCAGAGAGGGGCCTGAAGAGCCCTGGGCTAGAAGCTTAGGTTCTTGTCTCAGCTGCAACAGTCCCTACAGTGGCGCCTTCTTCTCCCCGGGCTGTGGTTTCTTCATCTGTGAAATGGGTGCAGGAAGTGGGAACTATATGGTCTCTGAGACACTTTCTTGCTCTTAGGAGGCCATTCACTAGGGGAAGGCTTCCTGGAGGAGATGATCAGGGAGGCAGAGATTCAGGAATAGCTATCAAACAGAGGCTGGCTCTTCCTTCTCTGGGAACATGGCTACAGTAGGGACTTCTCAGTGAGTGAACATCCAGATGACAGAGTGTTAAGCAATGTGGCCAGCACTCCAGGGAGGGAGCTGATTGCTTCATGGGAGTGTGGCTGCCAGTCCTGTGCTGTGTCCCGGGGCCTGGCCCAGCAGCTGCTCCATAGTTCTGCACAGAGCAGCTGTAGTCAGCCCCCTACACAAACCTCCAGAGAGAAGTGGGGATTTGGAGACCCCATTTATCATCTGAGGATTAGGTGACATTATGCTTATAAAGTAGTTGGCACAGAGTAGGAGCTCAAGAAAGAGTTGAAGGCAGGATGATAATAACGGTGGTTGCATCATTTTCATAGTCCAGAGGTTCGGTTCTGAACACCTAACTCTGTTATTATTTTGTGCTGTATGGCTGTGGACAAGTCCCGTGTTATATCTTGTCACTTGCCTGAGTATCTGCTTCATAAATATTGATCAGCTCCAGGTGCATTGGGATGATGCAGCAAATGATAGGAGTAAAATGCCCACAAACTGGAAAAGTCTGGGCATGTCTGAGAGGCGTTTACTGAGCATCTTCACATTAACTGAATACCTACTATGTGCCAGGCTCTGTTTTCTTAAAGAAACTCTTGAACAAAAGGAGAAGCAAACATTTGCTCCTTCATTACTTTTAATTTGCACATTACAGTTAATTTGCACATTAACTGTGCTTACCTGAGCCCCTCTTCTGGGGGCGGGGGGGCAAAGGGACAAATCAGGGTCCTGTCTACAACTGGCTGAGGACACAGGCATTCATCACAGGCCTGTCATTGACAGTCATCTCTAAGTACTGTACACCCAGAGGTCACACTTTCTGAACCTAAAACAGGGCCCCAAGGGCTGATAATGAAAGTACACGCTCGGGATGTGGGGAAGAAAGATTGGCATCAACAGTGACCCGGGAAGTCCGGGCCCTGTGGATTCAGTGGGAGTGACTGAGTCAGGGAGGAAACATGCCCCTTCAGAAGGAGTTCCCAGGCAGGAATGAGGGGAACACACCTCGAAGGGGCATAGTGCATGCGAAGGTCCCATGGTGGAACCTGCAGAGCACGGGAGCTTGAGCGCCGGCTGAACTGGGGCAAGGAATGAGGCTTGCCCATGGTCACAGAGCGAGTAAATGGCAGTTAAATTCATGCTATTCTGGTTGACTGCAAAGCCTTTGCTTTTTCTGGAGAGTTCAGAGAAGTGGGGTATAATGCTGATGGCTAGCAGGATGGTGAGGGGAGACCCCTCGCAGGCGTCCTCCTGGAAATCTAAGGCAGAGGAGTATGGAGAGAGAGGAGGTAGGTAGGTTGCCATGTGTCCGGCAGGACATGAGGATGAGGCAGAAGGTGAAGTCAGAGTCAGGCCAGGGAAGGCGGAGGAGGAGGGTCCCCAACTGAGAGAGTAGCCACCCGCAGGCACACAGCAGGGGTGGGCAGCCAGTGATCTGGGCCAGCCTGCGCTGCATTGAGAGATTTTCCATCCTCGTGGGGCTGGGACTCTCCCAGGTGGGGAAGAACCTCTGAATCTCGAAGGACAAAGAGCTGCTGAAGAACCGTGAAGAGCTGCTCATCTGCTAACCTAAACTACAAAAAAAAGATAAATTATAAAAGTTAATCATTCAGCCTGTAATCCAAAAATAATCAGTGTCTGTATGGAGGGGTGTGTCTCTGTGACTTCCTCTCTTTACTCTTCATTCCCTACCATTTTTCTTTCTTCTTCTTCTTCTTTGTTTCTGAGACAGTCTGGAGTGCAATGGTGTGATCTCAGCTCACTGCAACCTCTGCCTCCCAGGTTCAAGCAATTCTCCTGCCTCAGCCTCCTGAGTAGCTGGGATTATAGAACCCGCCATCATGCCTGGCTAATTTTTGTATTTTTGTAGAGAGTGGTTTTCACCATGTTGGCCAGGTCGGTCTTGAACTCCTGACCTCAGGTGATCCACCTGCCTCGGCCTCCCAAAGTGTTGGGATTACAGGTGTGAGCCACCACACCCAGCCACGTTTCTCTTTCCTAAATTACAAAAAATATGAGGAGGCAGATTGCTTTGATCACTCCCCCGCCTCCTCCCACCACCCCTCTAAATATACACACACGTGTATACACACGCCATCTCCCACACATATATACACTCACAGATGGACTCTCGGTGGCAAATCTCTAGACTGAATAGCTATTAAGAGTATAAGCTTTGGAGTTAGACCTGGTTAGAATTCTGCCTCATCACTAGCTGGCTATAGGCAAGTCTTTATTCCTCTGAGCCTCAGTTTCCTCCTCTGTAAAATGGGATTCTAACATGAACTTCACATGGTGGCTGTGAGGATTGAGAGAACATGAAAAAGCTCCAGGCAGGGGCACATGAGGTTCCGCCCGGGCTTCTCCCTGCCTGGCCCACAGCGCTTTGCCGCTGCTCTTCAGCAGAGCCTTCCCAGCCTCTGGCTTACCACCACATGGTTTCTTTCTTGCCCCTGGAGTGTGAGCACTCTGTCTTGGGCTTTTCTCTCTCTTCCCCATCCACCTTCCTCAATGTCTGACATACAGCTGAACACCCAGGAGGAGTTTGCAACCATCGTGAAATTTAATTTAGTCGAATAACTAGATTTTGTCTTTAAAATCCCTATTTTTTAAAAATCGGGTAACTTAAGTTTGTATTTGTCTAAAACAAAAAAAAAAATAATATACCTGTCCCAAGCCAACTCAGTTATGTTATTTTCTTCCCATTTTCCCAAAACACTGGTGCCTTAACACACACATGCAGTCACTCACACACACCAGGGCAGGCCCTGAGTGATGACAGAAGCCACACCTGCAATGGTGTCTGTGCATTGTGCATTGAGCTCAGGCTCTCACCTGCCTTCGTGCATTTTATTTATTATTATTATTATTATTTTGAGGTGGAGTCTCGCCCTGTCACCCAGGCTGGAATGCAGTGCTGCTATCTCAGCTCAGTCTCCCAAGTAGCTGGGATTATAGCCACCTGCCACCACTCCTGGCTAATTTTTTTTTAATTTTTAGAGACAGGGTTTCACCATCTTGGCCAGGCTAGTCTTGAACTCCTGACCTTGTGATCCACCTGCCTCAGCCTCCCAAAGTGCTAGGATTACAGGTGTGAGCCACTGCACCCGGCCCATTTTATGTTTATTCAAACCTCACAGACACACTGCCAGGTATTGTGGTTCCTCCTCATACCCTGGGCATAACAGGCTCAGGGAGGGGAAGTTTGTCCAGGTTGTCCCAGTGCACCCAGGGCTGTCCACACTTCACCAGCCAGCTGAGGCAGCTGGGGAGGGAGGTGGCTAGTCTCACGAACAAAGGTGTGGGCATTCCAGTCTATCACTCCTCCCAGCGGGGTGGGGACCTGGCAGGAAGGGCCAAGAAAGTGCCATAGGTCAGCAACCCCAGGATCCCTGGTATGCATGCATGCATGCATGAGTGTGCACGCACACACAGACACACACACACACGAGTCCACAATTCTGAATGGTTTGACTTGGTTAGCTACAAGAGGAGGTAGATGAAGCTGGATGAGATCTCAGGCACTGTGCACACAGTGCTTTTCATCAATGATCTCATTTGATCTTCACAGAAATGCTGCCAAATCCACATTGTTATTAACCCCATTCTATAGATGGCAAACTAAGGCTGGAGAGGTGCTGTGACTTGCCCAAGGGCGCATGTGGCTGGCAGGAACTGAACTCAGGTCTGCGGGATATCAAAGCCCAGGCGGAAGGACAGCTTTCCTCAGGGTCTGGCTCCAGACTTCCGTGGCCTTGGGGCACTCACCTTTGCCTATCAGTGTCTTCTAGGCTTGTTACTGGCTTCTCTCCCCACTTAGCTGGGAAGTTTGAGAACTGGGTTCCCAGAAGCCCAGAGCCAAAGCTGCTTTTAGCATCATCCAGCCCAACCACCTCTTCTACAGGAGAAAGATGATGTGTATTAGAGTGCAGCACGGCACAGACCCACGGGAGAAGCTGAGCAAATTCAGGCATCACTGTTGTTACACGGAGGGAAAGAGCTCTGCAGACCCACTCAGCTACTATCAGTGCTAGAGTTGGATTTGGACTCTGGACCAGGAAGGGATGGCCCTCTCACTAGGGACAATGAAACTGAGAAGTGGCTCAACACAGTCCAGCAAGTATGGGTCCCCGCACATAGCAAAGTTGATTCACAGGGCCAGTGTTTGCATGACAGGCCTAGGACCAGAAGGGAGGTGGCAACAGGGAGCTGCTCAAAGCTTCAAATCCACAGGGAACTGCCCAGAGAGTCCAAGACAGGGCTGAATATTTGCTTCCATGGCATAACACCCAACCCCCAAATTCTCCCCGCCTGTGCGCACACCACCCCACCAACATGCCTGTGGCACCGGCAGAGCACGTGGGGTCACCCCTGTTTGCAGATGTAGAAGTTGAGCCAAGCCAGTGGGCTCTCCAGGACCCCTGGAGGAGTGAGAGGCAGGGGTGGGACTCCAATCCCATCCTGTGTTTCCTCCCCACAGCTGACAAGGCAGGAGCACGACGCATCGCCACTGGCAGCTGGGTGTGGGGAAGAGACACCCCCTTCCCTGCCTGTGTTGTGCATGCCCCACAGGCAGTAGGCTGGGGCCAGATGGGGCGGGGCTGGGTTTGCAGGAGCAGAAAGGCTGTTCCGTGTCATCACAGAGGACATTCCAGTTGTGCAGGAAGGACACGTCCACAGGCCTGCCACCTTGTGACTTTTATTCCTGCAGTGTCAGCCTTCACAGAGTCAGCACGATGAGGTGGAAACAGCAGGGGCACTGGAGGGAGGCAGATGTGAACTGGAATCCTGGCGCTTCTGCCCTGAGCTATGTGGCCGGGCCGGTGGCTTTTTCTGTAGTCTCTGTTTCCTGGTCTGCAAAAGGAGGAAGATGCATTATACTTTCCAACGCTGCTGTGAGAACCCAGTGCCACAATGCACTGAGGATCCCAATGACACTGCAGAAATGTTCATTCTCTTTCCTGCTTGTCATTCCTCCTCCCCAGAAAGAAAATTTGTCAGCTTTCAGGAACTGACTCTGAATCTAGAGTACAGCCCTTCATCAGGAGCAAAGTGCAAACCGCAAAGCAAATATTTTCTTTAAGAACCAGCAAGAGCTCTGCATGACCTATTCAAATGCGTACAAATTTGAAAGTCATTGGTGTAGTAAAAGATCTTCTACTGGAATCACTTAAAATAGCCGAGCACCCCAACATTTCCTTCTTTTGGGGCCATCTTTTGAAATAAATGGGATGCTGAGATCCAACCTTGTACCGCAACCGAGTTAAGACATACCTACTCCGGTAATGGCTTATCCTAATCCTACCATTTCCTACAGTTTCTGCCAGCTCGCTAACCTTTGTTGCTTACTCACCCAGCCCACAGGAGCTTCGATCTTCATGCTTCCCTGAGGATCACAATTTCTTTTCTTCTTCTTCTTCTTTTTTTTTTGAGACGGAGTTTCGTTTTTGTTACCCAGGCTGGAGTGCAATGGCGCGATCTCGGCTCAATGCAACCTCTGCCTCCTGGGTTCAAGCAATTCTCCTGCCTCAGCCTCCTGAGTAGCTGGGATTACAGGCACGCGCCACCATGCCCAGCTAATTTTTTGTATTTTTAGTAGAGACGGGGTTTCACATGTTGACCAGGATGATCTCGATCTCTTGACCTCGTGATCCACCCACCTCGGCCTCCCAAAGTGCTGGGATTACAGGCATGAGCCACCGTGCCCAGCCCTTCTTCGTTTTTTTTAGTGACGGAGTCTTGTTCTGTCACCAGGCTGGAGTGCAGTAGCACGATCTCCGCTCACTGCAACCTTCACCTCCTAGGTTCAAGAGATTCTCCTGCCTCGGCCTCCCAAGTGCTGAAATGTGCGCTCTGAATGAAGAGACCAGCAAACAGACTTTGCATGAGAAACATGGCTGTTTATTCACCTGGGTGCAGGCGGGCTGAGGCAGAAAAGGACATCACCACGCCCAGCTAATTTTTGTATATTTAGTAGAGACAGGGTTTCACCATGTTGGCCAGGCTGGTCTCGATTTCTCGACCTCATGATCTGCCCACCTTGGCCTCCCAAAGTGCTGGGATTATAGGCGTGAGCCACCGCACCCAGCTGAGGATCACAATTTCTCATCCTTTTACTCACTAAAAAAAGAGAGAAAACTGCTAGCCCATTTTTGCTCCACCTTAGGGCAGTACAGCGAGAGCCTCGCATAACGGTTCTGAAACTTCAGCATGCAGGAGAGGGTCTGTTAAAACACAGGTTGCTGGGCTCCCACTCCCAGAGTGTTAGATCCAGTGGGTCAAGAATTTGCATTTCTATTAAATTCCCAGGCGATGCTGCTGAGGTTGCTGGCCCCGGGGCCACACTTTGAGAACGACTATCTAGGGTAGTTGGAGGCAAAGACTCTGGAGCTGTCGCAGAGTTCTCAGCCCTGCAACCTGTGTCATTCTGGGCACATGCCCCTAACCACTCTGTGCCACAGTTGCCTCATCTGTAAACTTGGGAGAATAACAATCACTACCCCATAGGTAACCCTTGATAAAGTGTAATGGGGTAACACATGCAAACCAAGTGCCCGTGCATAGTAGGTGTTCAATAAAAATTGCTGTTATTAGTATAGCAAAAGAGCATCGCCTCCAGGCTTCAGTTGAGGCTTTCACACTGGATGTGTGACTCTGAAAATAGCATCTTGCCTCAGTCTTCCCATCTGTGTGAAGAGGATAATGATACATTCCATGAGACTGCTCTAGGATCACATGGAATCTGTGTGAAAGCCCTTTGTAAATGGTAAACACTGTACAAACACTAGCTCCTTGCAACTAGATCTTGTGGGAAGAGCACTGAAGTCAGAGAGACCAGGCCTGAAGGACCAGGTTAAGTAGGCAAGTCTCTGCTTCTGTCAGCCTCGGTTTCCCCATCCCTAATATAGTGAGGAAAGTAATAGCCAGGGCCTCAGAAGAGCTGGGAAGTGTGCTGAGAACACCTCACCTGAGGTCTGTCTCTCACTCTCACCTTCAGCCCATACCAGGGTCTAGGAACTTCATTTATTGACAGCATGGGCCTTGCCTAGTTTCCTCCCATGAACCTGCCACAGAACAGCAGCCTGATGTAAGCTCCTCCGGCATAAAGCCTGGACTCACTGGCCAGCCTCTCTCACAGACCATGGAATCTCCAGCCCATGGGATTGTGATAAGGAGAGAAAGAGGGGGTGTCCTCACCGGAGCCCCCCACCCCAGGCAGGCTCACTGTAAATACTCCTCTTCTGGCAGAAGTCCTGTGAGCCTCCTCCCAGGCTGCCTCCAAACATCTTGCCTCTGGGAGTCGTAAACTCTGTAACTGAATTCCTTGCAGCCATAAGAGGTTTCACAGCAACTTTATTCTCCGGGAGAGAGGTGGAACACCCCTCCCTTCTCCAGGAGGGGAGGGGCACTCACAAGCCTGTTTAATTTAATTTAACGCACTCTGGCTTGCCAGGTTGCCCTTGGTAACAGCCTCAGCGGTTGCTTCGGTTACCGCTTCAGTTACAACCAGAAAGATTTTTAAAGAGACAGTCCAGGGCCAGGTACGATGGCTCGTGCCTGTAATCCCAACTTTGGGAGGTTGAGGTGGGCAGATCACCTGAGGTTGGAACCTTGAGACCAGCCTGGCCAACATGGAGGAACCCCATCTCTACTAATACAAAATTAGTTGGGCATGGTGGCACATGCCTGTAATCCCAGCTACTCAGAAGTCTGAGGCAGGAGAATAGCTTGAACCAGAGAGGCGGAGGTTGTAGCAAGCCGAGATCACGCTATTGCACTCCAGCCTGGGCAACAAGAACAAAACTTGGTCTCAAGAAAAATTTTAAAAAAGGAGAGACAGTCCATTTTAGAGCCAGCATTGCACCGCAGAGTGAACAGCCAAAACGGGTTTCGCCACAGGGATAGAGGGGTAAGGTCCAGGCACAATGAGGCTTTTGACTAGATCTGTGCATCCCATTAACTCTGTTCCGTATCCACTGACCCCATCTGCAACCCCACAAGCCCTCCTACAAATGCTGCTCTCAAGCGGGATCTGATGAAGGACAACTTTAGGAATTTGTCACACAGATGTCACCCAGCTAGGTACTTTTTCGAAAATCAATTTTAGTCATCAGGTTGAAAGGGAGGAGAGAGTTGACCCTCAGGAGTTGCCCCTGTAATTCAGGCATACTGCCACCAGGTGGTGGTATTGCTTGCTTAGTGAAAACCATAACCAGTAATATTCAACAATACACAGAGTGGTAGTGAAACCATTGGGCGGTAAGCTCTGATGCTAACTAGTGTGGAACCCTAGGTAAGCCACTTGGCCTCTCTGGTCTCGGTGTCCTCAGATATCTAGCAAGGAGATTGATCAGGATGACTGAGTGTTGTGGACAAGGCTTGAGAATAGGATCATAGAGGTATGAGTTCAAGTCCCAGCTCTATCATGTACTAACTGTGTGGTTTGGACATATAATTTGATTTCTTGCCACTTAAATACCAAACAAGAGAATGGCTGAGAGAGCCCTGAGGACAACATATTAGTCTGCAACACTGGGGACTTGTGGAGGCAAGAAAGGTGCCTGGGGACCGGAGGTCCTGAGGTCTTGGGAGCATCGTGGGGAGACGACAGCAGGGTACCACGGGATAGCTTCAGACTCCAGGGCCAAAGGCCACATTGCCCCATTGGGCACTGAAACATGACACAGTGGGCAAAGCAGCCTCCTAGAGAACTCTAACCCCACTCAGCTCTACCTAGACCAAGAGGAAGGGAACAAACATCTATTTTGGGCCAGGCACTGCCCTCACAACTCCTGAGAGGCTCATATGATTATTCTCCTTTTCAGACAAGGACACAGCCTGCCAGGGTTAACTCAACCCCCAAGGTAACCCATCTCATACAGCCAGACCTGCCAGGCACACAAGCCTCAGCTCTTCACATTCCCACCCGACAAGTCTACTACACCTGTTCTCACTGGACGCTAGGCTCCCTTGCCAGGAGCAAGGCAGGGAGAGTGGGTTCTCTTTCTCCCCACCATGACTCAGTTGAGCCAACCACAAAGCAGGAGCGGGACCAGAGGTCATGGGATTGTTCACATAGAAGCAATCGGGGGGCCGGGCACGGTGACTCATGCCTGTAATCCCAGCATGGGAGGCTGAGGCGGGCAAATCACTTGAGGTCAGGAGTTTGAGACCAGCCCGGTCAACATGGTGAAACCCCATCTCTACTAGAAATACAAAAACTAGTCAGGTGTCATGGCCTGTACCTGTAATCCCAGCTTCTCAGGAGGCCGAGGCAGGAGAATCACTTGAACTCAGGAGGTGGAGGTAGCAGTGAGCTGAGATCATGCCATTGCACTCCAGCTTGGGCGACAGAGCAAGACTCCATCTCAACAACAACATCCAACAACAACAAAAAAAGCAGCAGCAGCCAGGAAGCCGAGAACCATGTACTCTTAACCCTTCACGTGGTCAGGCTTTTGCCAGCTTGGCCCACACTAGGTGCTCCCTAAATCCCAGTCTCCTTCTTCCTTCCTAGGTCCAGTGTAAGTAAAGCAGATAAGGGTATCCAAAGCCCTATCCCCGTCTTTTGCTGTGGGAAATGCTCCCCACTTCTCAGGGATGCACTTTAAGCCTTGAGGCAATCCTCTCATCCCTCCAGACAGTCCTATTCCTCAGCTAATGTCCCAATATACATATTCCCACCTAAGAAACAGGATTACCTTTCAAGGTGATATAAATGTCAAAACACACATCAGTCAGATCTTGTTATTTCTGAACTCTAGCCTCTTTTTTTTTTTTTTTTTTTTTTTAAAGAGACAGCATCTCACTTTGTTGCCCAGGCTGGAGAACAGTGGTACTATCATAGCTCACTGCAGCCTCAGACTCCTGGGCTCAAGCCATCCTCCCATCTCAGGCTTTAGAATAGCTGTGACTATAGATGTGTACCACCATGCCTGGCTATTTTAATTTTGATTTTTGAGGAGACAGGACTGCTGTGTTGCATAGGCTGGCCTTGAACTGCTGCTGGGCTCCAGAGATCCTCCTGCCTCAGCTTGCCAAAGTGCTGGGGTTTCAGGCATGAGCCACTGTACCCAACCCCCTAGCTCTGTCTCCTTCTACCCACTACCCTGCAGATGAGCTGTAAGTCCTGACCCTGGCCCTCAGGGGCCCCTCCTGGTATGCCCTTGCTGGCTCCTCCCTCCACCCCTTACCACCAGGGTTCCAGCCCTAGGGCTGCATGCAGACCCCAGCATGCATTGCTCACTCATCTCTGAGCTTTTGCACTTGATGTCCCATCCTCCTAGAGTGCCTCTTCTCACTGTATCCACCTGGGTGATTCCTACTTGTCCTTGAGGACCCTGCCTTAGTACCTCCTCCTCTAGAAAGCCTTGGGGATACTCCTGGATTGTATAGGATACCTCCTCCGACTCACATAGTCCCAGTGTTCCTAGTGTTCCTTCTACTCTAATTGTGTGTTTGGGGCTGGCCTTCCTGCAGGACCCAGAGCCCTAAAGGTGGGACCTGCCTTTCCTCGCCTGTCCTTATTGCCCAGCCAAGAGCCACACAGAGAAGATACTCAGGGATTACTGACTGAGAAATGCAATTAGTGGGGCCCCCTCTGGGTGGTCTGACTGGGACCTGGGTTCCAGACCCTGTCTTGATGGGTGGTCACACCAGTTGGTGGGATCTGACTCACAAGGACCCCTCCCTCCCACCCTTCCTCCCTCAACATTCATCAAGGGTATCCTCAGAGCAGCCACAGCCTAACCTGCCAGCGTTGGCTCCCCCCAGCTCCCCATTCAGACACACACTGTGCTGCATACCCATCAGCTGCCCATCCCCCACATCTCCAGGCCTCTGTTCCCGGAGCCCTACATCTGGAGCCCACCCTCTGTAGTGCCAATGTGACTCAAGACCCTCCGTAATCCCCCATTCCCTGGCTGGGAGTAGCCTGCCCATGCCCAGTACTTCCTCTGTACCATTCACACGGCCTCGATCAGACCTGGCTTCCTACCACAGCTACTGGCAACCCACTGTGGGGAAGAAGCATGGGCTTTGGAGGCTGACAGATGGGACTGAATCCCAGCTCTGGCCCTCAAAAGCTGTGTGACCTCAGGCAAGTCACTTTATGTTTCTGAGCTTCAATATGTTCCTCTATAAAATATGTTCCTCTATCAGGCAGGTGACCACTGCCTGATAGGTTTGTTGTGAGATGGAGAGGATGGGGGTCAGGATCCCGGCACACGCAGGCACTCAGTCGTGTCCCGTTACTTAAGCCTGAGTCTGCTTCCCCAGCCAGGTTTGAGCGTGTTTGGGTCAGAGTGCAGGTCCCATTCAGTACCACATTCCCAGAGCACCCCACACAGAGCCTTATGCCGTAGGTGCTCACAAATGCATTCACCCCAGCTGCTGAGGATGGGGTAGAGAGATGATGGGTCCCCCTCCCCCACAGCTGAGGAGGCCACGGGGGGTGGGGGGGCGGGGGTTATCGAGTGGAGTGAAGCCTCCAGTCGGGGACAGGAGATGAATGTGGAGGGAGGGGCTGGAGCCTGAAGGAGAGCTGCTGATATGCACTGGGGGTTTTATTGGTTTTCATTAAAATTCCTTCCCGAAGCTGGAGCAGCTACTCCCATAAATAACAGCATAAATATTTTATCTGGTGCCCAAGTCACACAGCAAGGTTGGCAGGAATAATAATGGCAAAACAGTTCGGGGGGGGGTTGGGCTTCAGCTGAGCTGGGCTCACTTAACATGCCCAAAGGGGCTTTCTCAGGAAGTGAAGGCTGCAGGGATGGCACCAAAGGGGGAGGCAGGTGGGCATGCAGAGAGGGTGGGCAGTCAGCTGTGCGCCCTGGCATTGGGGGGCCTGTGGAAGGTGGGGAGAAAATGCTCACCATACCTGCTCTAGGATGACCATCTCACTGGGGGCTTTCACAAAGCCTCTGTAGTCAGAGGAGTGAAGTGACTTGCCCAAGGCCACCCAGCCAGTCACGTCAGAGCCAGGACTGTAATCAAGGGTGTTTAAGGTCAAAGCCTTTCCCACTGTGCTTGCTGCCTCTTGGAGTTCAGGGAGAGGGGGGGTTTAAGGACCATGGCCAGAGTACCTCAGTAATGGCAGTGAGGGCTGTTCTCTGCTTCCCTAGATCCCGATGGAGGAGAAAAGGGGCTGGTATTTCACCATGGCAACACTCTACATCAGGTCAGGCAAGAGGGGGGCGGGGGGTACGGGATGGGGGAGGGAGAGGTGTGGCCTGGCACACAGCCAGCAGGGCAAGGGCAGAGGTGGCTGGGCCCATCCTACTGGAAAGGGATCCTCAAGGCCTCCCCACCTGCCATGGGACTGGGCAGAGCTGGCAGTACACAGGACAACCGGCAGGGCGTGCCACCCAACCACATCTCCTTCTCGGCCACAGGCTAGATGGCATCTTCCTGGAGCTGGGCAGTGAGGAGCAGAAGAGGCTGCCCACCTTTAACCGCACACTGGCCCTGCTCCGGCAAGTGCTCAAGTCTGAGGACCCCCACCACCGAGGTAGGGCCCAGGGGAGGGCGGGACAGCATCCTCTGCCCCCGCCACCCACCTCTGGCACTACCTCCCCCTCTTGGCTCCTTTTTCTTTCCCCCTCACCCTGTTGCCTACACTCATCTGTGCACCACAAGGAGCCTTGCCCAAGTGAACATGCCAACTACAAGTCACTGTGACTGCAGGCTTCCCCTCTGCCGCTTGAGACCTGGAGGGTGAGCGGCAGTTTACCCCATTTCCACCTACTTATGGTCAGGAGATTGAATCCTCTGTTGGAGAGGAGTCATTTTTGTTTTTGCACAGACAGGAGTAGAACCACCAGAGCCAGTGAGAGCTGAAGTCAGAAGAGACCTACGTACCTGAAAAGAGGTCCCCCCAATGACACACTGAACACAGAATAAGCGCTAAAAATAGGTTCACTCACCCCTCACATGCCCTTTCTCTCCACCGTTGCTTCTTTCTGTCCCGGGTTTGCCCTCAGTGATCTCACACTACTGTCCCTTGCTTTGTCTTCATGGGCGACACCTAGGATGGAGATGGCCCCTTCCCTCTCTCCACCCTGCTGCCTCCTAGAGACCCTCTCCCACCCTTCACCCCCAGCCCTGGCCTGGTGCTACCTCGGGATGCTGCTGGAGCGGAAGGACACCTTCTCCACCACCCCCATGGGCATCCACGACTGTGGGTACTCGGGGACCGACCCTCTGGACTGCTTCGGCAAGGTACGTGCCCCTAGCCACACCTGCCCTCTAAACTGAGATGGACCCTGGTGCCCTAGCCTCTCTGCCCAGAACACAGGCTTCTCTGGGTATCATCCCCCACCTTGTGGCCTGCCCAGGAAGTACACCTACTCCAGACTTCTCTCCATCCTCTCTTCATTCAATACAAAAGAGACCCTCCCCATATCCAATCTGGCCCCACCCCATTTCTCCAGCCTTGAAATAGACCCTTAGACTTTTTCCCTCAAGACCTTCATTCACAGTATTCCCTCTGCCAGGAGTTCCCTACCTCCCCACCCCCAATGGCATAGTAGAAAGACGGGTTTAGCTGGGGTCTCCCTGCCAGCCCTCCCCATAGGCTGTGTGACACTAAGGCAAGTTGCTTACAACGGGAAGCAGTCAATGACAATAGTAGGGGTAACTGCTATCACCTAGGTAGAAACCCTGTACTTTGTAAGGATGGGGGATGGAGAATGCCTCTGGCGCTTCCTCTCATGTGCCCCAGGAAGACGGGGGAGCATACACTGGGAAGGAGGGGTCTGACTGGAGTCTGGAAGGCTTTACTGGATGTGACGGGTGATGTCATGGGTCGGGCTCTGAGGAGTTGAGTGCCAATGGGTTGTGCCCCAAGATGTTGGGTTCCATGATAGGACAATTTACTGGCAGGTGGATAAGGTGGATATGGGGAAAGGCACCATGGTGATATGGCCGTATCCAGAGATGGGGTTCCTATGGTTCAGCACCATTTAGCCCGCTGTGGCTGACAGCCAGGCAAGTGGTTTGCTTTTTCACTCCTGCCTCACCTAGGCCATCGAGATTGCCAAGAACCAACCGCCCATCCTCAATCGCCTGGCCAAAATCTTCCACTTCCTAGGAAAGCAGGATATGGCCATTGGAATCTGCAACATGGCCCTGGATGCCCTACGAGATCCAGAGCTCAACTGGCAGGCGTACTGCACACGGGCCAAGGTGGGTCAACCTGAAGCCAACCCTACCCTGCCATCGGGAATCAGAGAACAAGGGCCAGAGGCCAAGACCCTGTTGCCAGGGCCCAAAGGTCAGGGAGTCCCCATGGTGGAAGGGAGCTTAGGAGCCATTAGAAAACATAGTTGGGTTCTATAAAGTTTTTGGTTTGTTTTGAGACAGGGCCTCGCTCTGTTGCCCAGCTGGAGCATGGTGGTGCCATCATGGTTCACTGCAGCCTAGATCTCCTAAGTGCAAGCAATCCTCCCACCTCAGCCTCCCAAGTAGCTGGGACTACAGGCGCACACCACCACACCTGGCTAATTTTCATTTTGTTTTGTAGAGATGAGGTCTCGCTATGTTGCTCAGGCTGGTCTCAAACTCCTGGGCTCAAGCAGTACTCTCACTTCGGTCTCCCAAAATTCTGGGATTTTAGGTGTGAGCCACTGCACTCAGCCCTGTAAGGTTTTTGAGTGAAAGAATGCAGGAGCCGCCAGTCACTGCAGGAATCCCTTCTACAGTGCCTGGTCAGTGAGCCACCAGACTTCTGTACTGGCACAAGTGGAATCAGACTGACCAGAGTTGAAATCTCCGCCTTGTGGAACTTGCAGCAAGCCACTTACTCCTCCAAACCTCAGCTCCCAAATCTGTAAAATATCAATAACAACACTTTCCTTAAAATGTTGTCAACAGACTCAGTGAGGTGGCATCTAAAGCACAGTGCCTTGGATATAGGAGGTGCTTTTCTGAAAGGCAGTAGAGATTGTTTAATACAGTGGATCAGAGCTCTGGCTCTGAACACAGACAGCCTTGATTCACATCCCACAACACCACATGCTATGGGACCTTTGGCAAAATACTCTTGCCCAGATTCTGAGCCTCAGTTTCTTTATCTGTAGACTGGAGAAGATAATACATCTCGTAGAGCTGTTAATCTCTTAGAGACTTAGATTATGTAAAACTCAGCATCAAGCACACAGTAAGATCTCATAGGAGACTGACTGCAACTATTCTAATATTAGGTATATTTTTTAATTGTCTCAGTGTCTCTTGATGCGCCCACCACATAGTTATTTAGCTCTGCAAGTTACACACTTAGGTGGGCGTTGCCTCCCGCTAGCTTCCCATACTAGTCCCAGACCTTCCTGCTAGAGCCCACACAGAGCCCATATGCTTGAGGAAGCAGACTCAGATCTCCAAGGTTAGTTCGCTGCAAGCCGAAGAGTCCCCCCATGCCCTCATCTTCTCTTCTACCTTCCACATGACCTGGTGGCAAATCTGATCCCAGTCTTGGTCTCAGTGGCTTCATTACTTTGCCAGCAGGTACAAGGCAGGAGTGAAATTCCTTCACTGTTGTTGATGTGGTCATTATTATAGACACTAATGATACTAACAATAATAGTAAATAATAAAATATTTCTGTAAAACTCTGCATTTCACCAAGCACTTTTCATGTTCATGGTCTGATTTAATATTCACAAGAATCCTGTGAGAGAGGCCAGACATGTGCCATTCTGCAAATGAGGCCACAGAGGACAAGGGAGGCAGTGAACTTCCACTAGCAACTGCATTTAATTATCAGAAACTCCAACTTTACCCTCCTCCCTCCATCACTATCTGATGTCATATGATCCTGGCCTCTCTGTGGCTCCAAAGGTCATACATACTACTCAGATGACCAGAGGAGCACAGGATGGTGGAAAAGAGATGGTGAGGAGGAGGGAACTCACATTATCTTTGTAAAAGCTTCAGTACTTCAGTCCACGCTGCGGCCCATAAGCACGGCCCTGGCCCATGACCTCTCTACGGTACCTCCCTCTGCTCATGCCTCACTCAGCCTTCCAACCCTACAGGCCTGGGCCTCTGCCTGGAATGCTCTTCTCCCAGATATCTGATTGGCTTCCTCCCTCACTTCCTTCTGGTCTTGTTAAAGCCTGGCCAACATTTAATTTATTAATTTATTTCTTTTAAAAATTCTTTTAGAGACAGGGTCTCACCCTGTCACCCAGGCTATAGTGGAGTGGCGTGATCATGGCTCACTGCAGCCTCGAACTCCTGGGATCAAGTGATCCTCCTATCTCAGCCTCCCAAGTAACTGGGACCACAGGGGTGTATCACCATACCTGCCCAGCTAATTTTTAAAAAATTATTTGTTGTAGAGACAGGGTTCTCTCTATGTTATCCAGGCTGGTCTCAAATTCTGGGCTCAAGCAGTCCTCTAGCCTCAGCCTCCCAAAGTGTTGGGATTATAAGCGTGAGCCACCACACCTAGCCACCGTCAACATTTTATGTTCTCCTTTCCTGGTTTGGTTTTCTTCTTAGCACTAATCATTCCCTGACACACTATTCACATCTTTATCATGTTCATTGTCTCTCTCCCGCAAAGCACAGAAGCCTCTTGAGGCCAGGGATTTTTTGTGGTTTTGCTGTCTACTGTATTCTCAGTGCCTGCAACAGTGTCTGGCACAGAGAAGGCTCTTAGTGAACATTTGCTGAAGGAATGAATGAACTGAGCACCTACCATATGCTAGGTCCTGGCTAGAATATGTTCCTTCAGTCATCATGGTAATTCCGCAAGGAAGACATTCATGTACTAATTTTTCACTTATAGAAATGAGATTCGTAGAAGTTGCGGAACTCCCTCCAGATGACATGACCAACAGCCAGGGGTTAAAGGGAGGACTGGAATTCAAACCCTAGTCCAACTGACCCCAAATCCAGAGATTCATCTCTTCCTGCCCCCATGATGCTGCCTTGTAACCAGAGCCCTTCTGATGACTATAAAGCATTAATACCTTCAACAACAATGACCCCTTTCCCTTGCTTCCTCCTACCCACCCAACCCCACCCCTCCTAAACCTCCAAACTTTGTAAATCCTCTAAGTGTGGGGAAAATGGAGGAAGTCGGGAAAGCAACGGTCTGAAATCACTTGTGACACTTGTCAGTTGGGGCTGCCTGCCATTCTGCCCAAACTGCTTGTCGACATAAACTCACAAAATAGGTGCTGCCATCCTACCTAAAAGAACCCTCCCCAATCACCTCTATCCTGTTGTCCTGCTTATTTTGTCGTAGCACTTGCCACTTGAAATGGCACCGCTTACTACTGACTGCCCCCTACCAGAATGTTAAGTTCTACCAGAGCAGGGACCTTATCTATCTTGTTACCACGGTACCTCCTGTACCCAGCATAGGACTGGCACATGGTGGGCACTCAATATATATCTGTTGAATGAGTGAGGGGCTCTTTCTTCGTCCTACCCACTCATTGCACAGACAGGGAAACTAAGGACCAGAAAGGGGGTGTGGCTAGCCCAACTTGGTCCAAGAGTAGGACCTAGGACTCCTGGGTCCTGGCCTCAGGGTCTTTCTACTGCATCGCAGAACCTCCCTGGTTGCTGTTGAAAAACGGACTGGGTTCATTTAGAGCAGAGAGGAGGGCAGAGGCCCGTGCCTGGATCATCCTTCCTACACTGGCTCTCTGTTGGCAGATCCACATCAGAACATACCTGCACGACCTGGAGCGGGCCAAGATGGGTCTCGGGGGCATGCCTGACAGGAACCACCTGGCCTGTGCCAAAGCTGACCTCGAGGAAGTGGTCAGGGTGTGCCCAGGCTTCAGGACATACCTGGACATCGGCCAGGTAAGGCAGTCTCTTGGCTTAGCCAATGGCTGAGCAAGAATCTGTTTACTCCCTGCCAGGCTAGGCCTGGGCACCAAGGACACAGAGGAAAAAGATGCACCCCTCGTAACAGCACCCACCTCCTTCAGCCATGGTGAGGACTGAATAAGGCCTTGCTCTTCATAAGCACTCAGGAAGTGTGGGCATTATTCTTTATCTAGATGATGTCTATTCTCTATCTGTATTCTGGGAATGACCACCAACGAGTGACAATATCATAATTTTAGATACAAGAAAGCCGAGATCCAGAGACCGACTCACTCAAGGTTACACGGCTAGGTGTGAAGGGGCTGCAACTGGAATCAGTGTACCCTTTTCTAGAGGCGCAGGAATAAAACGTGTGATTCATCATTGTCGATGGAGGGAGGGTGGGAATGAACGAAGGAGTGCAATTTGTTTTAAAGCAAGCGTGGGGCGGGAATGAGCTGGGGACCGCGCCTAAAGTGAAGGGCTCAGACCTTGTCCCCCACCCCAGGTCTACTACTACATGGGCGTGGACGCGGTGCAGGAGCTGCTGGCGGTGGACGAGGCGGCGCTCAACCAGGCGCTGGTGTTCCTGGCCAAGGCGGGCGAGTCAGAGCTGGGCGCCACTCTGCCGGAGCTGCAGCTGCTGCGGGGCAAGTGCCTGCGCATCAAGGGCGAGGATGCCAACGCGGCGGCCTGCTTCAAGCGCGCGGTGGAGCTGGACGACGCGGGCTCCAGCCACACCGAGGGCTTCGGCTGCCTGCTGGAGGCGCTGCTGGCGCAGTGGAGCCAGGCACAGCTGAGCGACGCCGAGCTGGGCCGCGAGGTGGACGCCTGGCTGCGCCGCGCCCAGGACAAGTACCCCGCGGCGCGCTTGCGCCAGGAGCTGCAGCGCGTGTGGCGCGGGCATACGGACGAGGTGCTGGGGCTGGCCCGGGCCCTGGTGGCCCAGGGACGGCCCGCGCTGGTGCGGCTGCTCTTCGAGACCATGGAGCGCGAGGGCGAGGGCGCCAGCGCGCCGCGGGACCGCCGGGCGGTCTCCATATAGGGCGTGGGCGCCCAGGCCGGAGGCTCCCAGGTACCCCGCCGCGGCCCCCGAGGCTGATGCAGCCTGGTCCGGAGGGCCCCCCTGCCTTCGCTGGCGGGGGAGAGGAGCCAGTTCGATTCTCTGTCGAACTGTGAATGGGGGTGTTGCCACACCGGGCGGTTTGAAATATGACCACCCAGACTGGAGGCCTGATTCGCCAGAGCAGAAGAGGCTGGGAGCAGAGGTTAGAGAACACCGCGAAGCTGCCAATTGAGGGACAGAATCTTCTAGACAACAGGGTTGTGAGGCCCTCGAGAGAAACACAAGACAGTTACCTCAGTGTAACTGGCCGTTTTCTAGTCCAGGCGCTCTGTCCCTCAGGTCTGAGCGCCTGTCCTTGGACTCCCGTGGGCCACACTCTGTCCTTATGTGAAAGCCCCTTTACTTTAGTTGACTGGAGTGGCGTCTCAGCTCCCGTGGCCAGAAAAGCTATGGCTAAAGCAGAGGGCGAGATTGCACCGCTAGTGAGTTAGCGGACAGGGCCCTAGCCTAAGCCTGGTGCTCAGGGCTCATTCCTGCCTCTCTGCCACTCTTCCAGCAGGCCTCCTCCTTGGTCAGTTTGGCCGGAAAGGCCTCCCAAACGCTTGAAACACAGCCCATCAACAGAATCTTCACTTGACTTCTCTGTTCTTAGGGGAACCTGGGGGACCCACCCATTAAGAGGTGCCACCTACCCCCAATCTTTTTTTTTTTTTTTTGAAACAGAGTTTTGCTCTTGTTGCCCAAGCTGGAGTGCAGTGGCATTATCTCAGCTCTCCTGGGTTCAAGCGATTCTCCTGCCTCAGCCTCCCAAGTAGCTGGGATTACAGACATGCACCACCACACCTGGCTAATTTTGTATATTTAGTAGAGATGGGGTTTCACCATGTTTGTCAGGCTGCCTCGAACTCCTGACCTCAAGTGGTCCACCCCCCTCGGCCTCCCTAAGTGCTGGAATTACAGGTGTGAGCCACCGCGCCCAGCCCTGCCCCAATCTTGACCATTCTACTAATTCTAAAGAAATTCTTGGAATTTTACACTTTTGGAATCATAGTCATATAGAATTTTTTTTTTTTTTGAGGCAGAGCCTCACTCTGTTGCCCAGGCTGGAGAGCAGTGGCCAGATCTCAGCTCACTGAAACGTCAGCCTCCCAAGTTCAAGCGATTCTTGTACCTCGGCCTCCCGAGTAGCTGCGATTCCAGGCTGTACTCCCTGCTTTGTTCATACCCTCACTCATACCATGGACAGGCCAGCACCCCTGCACTGCATCCCACATATCCACTGACGGATGGAGAACAGGCTGAAATTCAGTGCCATAGACATCAACACTCCAACCCCGTCACTGTGCAGAGGAGAAAACAGAGCTGTAGAAGGGAAGTGGCTTGTCCAAAGCCACACTTACTGTTTTCCCCACACTGTACCTCCAACTTACTTTCACCCTTCTTCAGGTTTGGAAAAATACTAATAAACTGATCAACACTAAAGTATTCAGTGTTTATAAGTTAAAGGCTTGTATGTCACTTGTTACATGTCACTCTGAGATCCACTGGGACAATGCTTCAACACTAATGGTGGCATTCCGGGTACCTGTGAAATCTGGCAGTGAGACCCGTCTAAGGATCCTGAATTCCACCTCATGGCTCACCATGGTTCACCATTTTCAATGGTGACATTCTTTCTCGCCTCCTTCTCCTCTCACGGCCACTACAGCAGAGGCCAGAAGGTGACTCAATAGCAGGCTACACACAGCCCTGTTCACTCCCACCCCACCCACCCCCATTCCTCCTCTGCCCAAGACTGTGACCCATGATCATCCCTAGGATGGGAACCCACTTATTTTTTCCTTTCCTTTCCTTTCCCTTCTTTTCTTTTTTGAGATGGAGTCTTGCACTGTCAACCAGGCTGGAATGCAATGGTGCAATCTCAGCTCACTGCAACCTCTGCCTCCCAGGTTCAAGCGATTTTCCTGCCTCAGTCTCCTGAGTAGCTGGAATTACAGGTGCCTGGCACCATGCCTGGCTAATTTTTTGTATTTTTGGTAGAGACAGGGTTTCACTATGTTGGCCAGGCTGGTCTCGAACTCCTGACTGCGTGATCTGCCTGCCTTGGCCTCCCAAAGTGCTGGGATTACAAGCTTGAGCCACCGTGCCCACCAGCCTGGGAACCCATTTCTTTCTTCTCCTTCCTTAAACAAACAAACTGAATTTAAAGCAATCTGCTGGCAAAACTTACAGGTTGCTGAAGTCTGTCTTTGTTTCCTTTCTTGCCTTTCCTGTCCCCAAAGGCATTCATCTCTCCCACCTTGCCTCCTTGTCCTCTCATAACTTTTTCAGTAAACTTTCTGATAATCTCATTCACACTAATTTCATAAATGGCTAACAGACACCCACTATAGCTTATCTCAGGAGTATCTGCATATTAACAAAAAGCCAAAGAGAGAGAGAAAACCATTTCCCAGACTGCCTACTCTGTGCCAATCTCATGTAATCTCACTTAATGTACTCTCGTGTTGTCATCTCACTTAATGCTCTCAGCAACTCTGAAGGTTAGCTATTAGAATCCTCATTTTACAGATGAGAAAACTGAGACACAGAACAAGGTCACAGGCATGTATGTGAAGGGCCAGGATCTGAACCAGGCCAGTGTGGTTTAGTGCTTCCTCCTGGGACACAGCCCTGTGCAGGAGCTGTGTCATCTTCGGCCTAGAGTTGGGCCTCTTCTCTGCCCTGTGAGCACCAACCCTGCCTGTCACTTTACCCCTGATCTCTTCCCACACTGCCTTACCTTGGTGCCCTTGTCCACCCTTTCCCCCCCTCACTGGCTTTTTATCCTGTCGTTTCTACCCCAAATGCTCAGCTCAAAGGTACCTCCTCCAGGAAATCTTGCACATCCTACCCCCTCTCATTAATCACTCCCTTTCACAGATGGAAAGCTCTCGGCCATTTCACCCCACTGTGTTGCATTTCTTTCCTTCTCTTTGCATGTTCATTTCCATTTCGACTCTGGGTCCTTCATAGCAGGAACCACAACCCATTTGGTGCCATGGCCCGCAGTGAGCTTGGCAAAGAAGACAGGCTGAGTTTTGGCTACTGAACTCAGTAAACACCCAGCAGTGATGTGGCACCTCAGTCCCAAAGATGGGTCCATTACCAGGTCCACATGACAGAGGCTGGGGCCACTTCTGCAGCCCAAGGGTCCTTCAGGTCTAGAGCTCAACCAGAAAACATGGCCTTTCTTCCTACCTCCTATCCAGCCTCATGCCAGTTCCCCAATTCTGTGATTGGGAAAACTGAGGCCCAAAGATCAGGGACTTGTCCAAACCTCCAGACTCACTGTACTAGTCCCTTCTCACAGGGTTACAAAGAAATATTTGAGGCTGGGTAATGTATAAAGAAAAGAGGTTTCATTGGCACACGTTTCCTCAGGCTGTGAAGCATGATGCTGGCATCTGCTCGGCTTCTTGGGAGGCCTCAGGAAAACTTCAAATCATGGGAGAAGGTTTTAGGGGAAGCAGATAAGTCTTACATGGCCAGAGCAGGAGCAAGAGAGGGGGTGGGGGTGCTACATACTTTTAAACAACCAGATCTGGTGAGAACTCTATTGTGACAACAGCACTAGGGGCATGGTGCTAAACCATTCATGAGACACCACCCCCACGATCTAATCACCTCCCTCCAGGCCCCACCTCCAACACTGGGGATTACAATTCCACATGCAATCTGGGTGGTACAGTGCTGTCCGCCCTTTTAGGGATGCCTGCTTGACGAGTTCCCTTCCGTCACATTCAGGAAGACCACAGGTCTTCCATTCACTCACTCAACAGATATTTACCAATGCCGGTCAAGGGCCCAGCATACTGCCAAGCTCTGGGGCTACAGTACTGAACAAAACAGACCCTGTCCTTGCCTTCAGGGAGGTCACAGTCTGGACCATGGTAAGCAAGTTAGAGTGGGCCCTAGGGATCAGTGGGAAACTTAAGGGAAGCTACTGAAGGCTTTAACTAGCAACCCGAGTCCCTCTGCACCAGCCATACTCATCCTGGGTTAGTGGCCTTTCCACAGCCCAATAGAGACGCGGGCATGGCTGTTTCTGGACCTTGGGATTTGGCCTAATGCTGCCCCCTTCAACACGTCCTGCTAAGGTCAGGCCTTGCAGTCCCCAAGGACTGCAGCTTCAATGGGTGAGTGATGTTTAAGTACAGCTTTGAGCCCTGTGGGTCACCCCTGCGCACTGGGCTGCTGCGAGGATCAACTGTCATATAGTTGTGGGAGCAGGAGGAGTTCTCCAGGGAGCACTGCAGAGTGAAAGCCTTAATGACCTCATAATCAGAACAATGAAGATGAATCACACCTTGCTCTGCCTGCTCACTCCCTCTGTGTCATGCCATCATCAGGCAGCCAGAAACTCCTGTTTAGACAGCAGGGGCAAGGCATGTTAAAGATGGTGAAAATGGATGAGATTCTCAGTTACAGGTTTCCAGAGTCTCAGAATTGGAAAGAACCTTAGTCATAAGCTCTTTTGTCATCCACCGCATCTACAGCAGACTCCTCCTTACAGTGAGGCTTCTGAAAGGAGGGTCTAGTCAACATTTGCCTGCCACTGGCAGACGAACATGAAGGAGTCATTTTTCAACAGGTCTAAGTCTTCTGAGTTTGTCCTTCTATTGAGTTGAAATCTGTAATTTTCCTTGGTTCAAGTTCACCTTCTCGGGCCATATAGAACAGACCCTAATGAGCAGAGTGACCTTGAACAACTTACTTTCCTCCATTTTGGCACCTATTGCAGTGTTTGGGCTGTTCAGAGGGTGGCTGGCTCCTCTGCCAACAGCCAGGCTGAGCTCCGACCTGGCCACCCAGTCTGGAGCCTGCACAGAGCGGTGCTAGAAGCTGAAAGCAGAAGAGAATAGGGCTCCTCTCCCTCCCTCACCAGACCCCAAGGGAGTACCCATGTGGATGATGGTGGCTGGATGCCAAATGAAGTGAAATATCTCCTTTTCTCAGACTGTTAACTTTTTTCCTTGTTTGAGGAAGGGGAGGATAGTGACATTTAGCACTTTACAACTCAGCGTAAAATGAGCAGATGGAAACAGATCCTGGCATTGCGGGCATGCTTCCAGTGAGAAACCCTCCCCAGTTCCTGGGGCTGGAGTCTCTGGTGAGGCTTGCTTATGGGGTTAGAAACACAGCAGCTTCCCTCCTTCTCCCGGACAGCACCTCCTCCCGGACAGCACCCCAGGCTGCACAGCTGGCTCCACACCTGCTCTCACTTCCCACTTCCTTGCCTCTGCTCCCCTTAGAGCACTTTTCCTGCCTCCCATGTTCTCGTTGGAATACAACCTCTGTAGTGTTTTTTTGTTTTGTTTTGAGAAAGAGTCTCATTCTGTTGCCCAGGCTGCAGTACAGTAGCACAATTTTGGTTCCCTGCAATACCTGCCTCCTGGGTTCAAGCCATTCTTCTGCCTCAGCCTCCTGAGCAGCTGGGACTACAGGTACGCGCCACCACGCCTGACTAATTTTTGTATTTTTAGGAGAGACAGGGTTTCACCATATTGACCAGGCTGGTCTCAAACTCCTGCCTCGTGTGACATTCCTGCCTCAAGCTCTTAAAGTGCTGGGATTACAGGTGTGAGCCACAGCAACTGACCACTCTCTAGTGTTTAGATGAGAAGAGGAGGGGGATGTTCTTGGTGAGAGAACGGTGAGCAGACTCCTATTGAGCTGTGAAGAAGCTCCAGCCAACCTCCAGGTGGCCACAGAAGGACAACTGCCTGAACTGGGAAGCTTCCCACACGGAGGTCACAGAAAATTATTCTCATCACCATTATCAAAACTATGTCCTGGGCAGGCGCGGTGACTCACACCTGTAATCCCAGCACTTTGGGAGTCTGAGGCAGGTGCATCACCTGAGGTCTGGAGTTTGAGACCAGCCTGACCAACATGGAGAAACCCCATCTCTACTAAAGATACAAAATTACAGGTGTGTGCCTGTAATCCCAGCTACTTGGGAGGCTGAGGCAGGAGAATTGCTTGAACCTGGGAGGTAGAGGCTGCGGTGAGTCAAGATCACACCATTGCACTCCAGCCTGGGCAACAAGGGCAAAACTGCCTCAAAAAAAATTTAGAAAGCTATGTCCTGGAAACTTGCCATGGTCAGTCGCTTTGCATGTTTCACACACCTTATCCCATTTAATCCTCACAAGCCCATGAACTCTCCATCAGCACCATTCCCATTTTACAGATGAGGAAACTGAGGTTCACAGAGGTTAAGTAACTTTCCCCTGAGGTCCCTTTATACTGCATTGAATGGCAGGCAGGCTAAAGTGTACTAGTGAATGGCTTTTTAACTATTAGGGGTTTAGATTATTTTCTCTTCTCTGACATAGGTTGCTCTATATTCTGAATACATACAATTAGGATGGATGTTTCCTGTTTGTGTTTCCAAACCAGTCAATAGCTCTGTGGTGAGGCTTGTTCTATTTTGGCAT